AGTGTTAGCTTAATCCTAGCGTAAACCTTGGCCTTGCCTTAGCCTTGCTTTAGCTTTGCACTACTTTGTCCTAGCCTCGCCCAACTCTTGTTCTTTTCTTGCTTTAGCCCTGTCTTAGTATTGCTCTATCCTGGCCCTAGCCCGGCTCTAACGTGAGTCTAAAACAGCTTTAGCCCAACCCTAGCTTTAGCTCTTGCTTCAGCTTAAGCCCTAATTTGCTTTTTCTGATGGTCCTGCGCTGCTCTGCCCTGTTTTTACCGTATTACCGTAGCCAACTCTTATCTTTGCCTTACTCTGATACTCTATCATAGCCCTACTTTCTTGACTTTACAAAACAGCAAAACCTTTAATAAGTCATGACATTCTTTACTGCAAACCCTACTACAATTTGTACTTTAAAAACGTAAAATTTTAATGTTAAAACGAGTTTAACACATGAGATCGTATCTGCATTGTATGCTCGCGTATCGTTCATGTGAAGAAGCACACACAACGTCTGACGCAATTTGTAAAAATGAAATGAAAATGGTTCGAAACGAAGTATACTTTGGCCGCCGTTATCATTAAAGTCGGTGCGTTTGTAGTACAGTACGCACACATGTCTATCTATTTATGGTAGGAAGGTAGTAGGGTGCAGAGTTTTGGGGATAAGGTTGATGAAATTAGTAAATGTACAGTATACTCTTGGTATAGTTAGCAAAAAATTTTGTCTTAGTGGCTTTGTTCTGTTTAAAAAAGGCTGGATAGACCCAAAACCTGTCATATTTTACAAGAAATTCATATTTGTAGATATTACCTATGACAAGAAACTGTAGTATTACATAAAAAATAAAATTCAATACTATTCTTATCAAAGAATGGCACTAAAACACTTAAAAACAGTCAAAAATCAGGCACTTTCTTGTGTTATGTTAAAGCATTTTTTGATGCGAAAAGAATGGCGCGCTGGCAAATTTCTGTACTAGATTATGAGTACGAGGCATTTTTCTATAGATCTTTAAAATTTTTCAAATTTTCGTCTTCAGGATCCATGTTTACGTCACATTTTGTGAACACTGCTTTTAAATTGAAATTTTAAAAACAAAATTTAATTTTCTTGAAATTTTCTCAATTTTTCTTTTAAATAACACAGATTATGACAAACATGTTATTTGTTTGTATTATGAAGGTCATTCCTACCTGTTATCATTAATTATTTACCATAAAATTTATTAATTAATTAGTTGAAACAGATTCATCCAATTTAACTAATCCTAATTAAATTCTTGGTTTTGTAAACATTTGGGGAGAATAATACATATGTTGGAGTAAGATGATATTTAGTGTGATAGAATGATAATTTATGTAAAAGGCAGAGAAAATTTAAAGTTTAGCTTTTGGTACATTGGTATCTTTAATACAGTAAGCTGTGATAAAAACTGTTGTCATTATTAGCAAGAGAAAAGGCAAGGTTAGGACAAGGGCTAGGTTCTGGCACAACAAGAAAAGGGCAGAAGTAAGGGCTAAGACTAGGTCTAAAGCTAGGGCTAGACCTGAGGCTAGGGCTAGAGCTAGAGCTAGGTTTTCGCTTAAACAAGGGCTACGACTAAGAATAGAGCTAGGACTACGGCTAGGGCTAGGAGATCTAGGTGTGGGCCTAAAGCAAGGGCTCTGACTAGGGCTAAGGCAAGGATTAGAGCTAATGTTATGGTAAGGGATAAAGCTAGGGCTAGAGCCAGCTTTTTACCTAGAGCTAAGTATAGGACTAGGATTAAAATCAGGCCCAGTGCTAAAGCTAGGAATATGGCTAGTATCATGACTAAGGTTCTTGCTAAGGCCATGGCTAGAGTTGTGCCAAGATAAGTCTGGTACAAGTCAAAGAAACGCTTGTCTTCTATTACTCTATAGTTTATTATGATCAAAATTTACCGTATCTACGTACTTTAACACTTTACATCAAATTTCGAGTCCACAGCGCAACTGTAACATGTTTATTACAGCACCATGTTATTGTATGCCCATTTCCTTAAAACTTGTTGCATTCAAAGTCCATTTTGCGTTATCAACCCCCAGGGTTTCGAGAGTTTTGCCCTTTTAGCGCAAACATGTCTGCACACGTAAAGACTATCAATTTCACGTGAATACCGTATTCGGTCGCCGTTCGCGGAAATTTCCAATTGTTTTGCACGAAAAACACGCATATTAACAGGCATTTTACAGGGTGATAAGTAAACAATGACATGGTGATAGGTATACAATAATATGAGAGATCAAAATGTACATTAACGTAGGGTTATTGTGTACAGTACAAACTAGTAGTTTCTATACCATCCTTTTTGTATATGTCATCATTATCACACAAAGAAAGATCAGTCCAAAAAAAATACAAAATCATACAAAAAAGCTTGATCAAATAAAACAACCCAATTCTCTAGCACCTATAACAATATAATTATCCACAACTAACTCTGTAAATACCCAAAACCATCAACACTAAAGCATAATGTAACAAAGATCACTACAAAGCTTTAAAAATTCAGACCAGCCGAATTTAGGCTGTTTAACAACCGTGTTTGAAAGGTACTTTGCTCCGAACGTGTGTGTTATGCCTATGATAAGATCGGTTTGCGAAATTACTCAACTTTCATAGCCAAATTGACAAAAAGTGGAAACAGAATGAAAGGAAATACGATTGATTTACTGTAGATTGGAGACTTTGAACTTTAGGTACAATGGGTGTGTAGTATGAGAGGGAATGTGAGGGTCTATTGCGGTTTAAGGTAGAAAGTAGAAGACGAGTAAATGATAGAAAAGATAGACAGGTATCTTGAACAAGAGTGATGCAATAAAAACATTGACTGATTTTTTTACTTTACAAGGTTATATTGTACAAAGTTAAAGTAAAAAGCATAACATTAGATTTAAAACTATAGATTTAAACTTATTTTAGATGTTTATTTGGTCAGATGATGGCTATTTTCATCATTTTTCGTCAGAAACCTAATTTTATGATTTTTGAAAATATTGAGAAAAGCCAGTTTATCTACTACACTATTTGAGAATACTAACGCATTGTTTTATTAATACGAAAGATTACAGTGTTGTAAAGTTGACCGTATTCCGTTTTTCAAAAAAATATGTATGTCCAATTTGAACTCATGATTAATATAGTTCTTCTTCATCGGTCAAGTCAATTTATGCATTGTTCGAAAGCACATCCAATTACCTTTTAAACGGTGTATAACATTGGGTAGTAGCTGTCATTGGAAGTCTGTAACATTGCGTACAACGTACACTACTTCAAAAATTTCAGCAATTTTTGTAATTTTTTGAAAAAAGAAATTTTTCATTTAGAGTCATGATTAATATAGTTGTTCTCCATCGATCATGTCGACTTATACATCGTTTGAAAGCTCATTCAATTACCTTTCAAATGGTGTGTAAAAGATGTCTATTGTTGTTGTCTGAAGACTATAGAATCAATTGTAAATAGGCGCTACTTTGCAAAAATTAGTTATTTTTTAGAATTTTTTTAATTGTTAGGAGGATCAACGTGTTTTACTTTCCAAAACTTTATTTTTTATAAATTGGTGCTCTATTGTGTTTTATATTAGCTTTTACATCAATATCATTTGTTGTTATTTACTTTTTGTAATGGTACCATTGTCTTTTTTTCTATCTTACTTTATTCAGAGCCAAACTTTGAATCAGTCATATTTCTTTAAATATCTTAACTTTATTAACATTAACTTAAATATATCAATATTACCTTAACTTTATCAATATTATGTTAACCACAACAATGCAAACATGTTTTTGCTACTGTACCCGCAATTAGCGATACAAGTAAATCCGCTGATTAATCCCACCGTAATCCGCCCCTCCCCTCTCGTAAAGGCGGGCGCCTGGCATGGGCGTGGCATTCAAAGTCTAAAGAATCTGGGAAAATTTTTGCGAATCGCCGGTTCACATCTATAAAACGTCTCCGAAACTTTTGTGGAACGCTGCACAAAGTTTTGTCAAACAATTCACTATCGAAACACAAAAAACGGTTCGGATTTTTTTTTCGGGGGCGGGGCGTGGCTGGCGGGGAGGGCGTGAAAGCATGTTAGCAGCGTGGTTTCAGACGACTCTCTCGAGAGTCTCGAGACCTTTTTATTTTTATTCAAATTGGCAACGAGCGCTCAGTTTTGTTTCACCTTTGTTTACATTTCGGTTGAAATTTCAGACGCCTCGGGGTGACATTCTTTTTTGGATGTTTAGCCTTGACTATAGTCACATTGGGTTGGGAATGTGCTTCGGGTTGTTACATCTTATATAGCTTTATATTCGTTTACGTTACATTTTTTGTTCAGCGGCATTTCGAATTTTAAATTTAAAAATGCGTTTTTTCACTTTAACTTATATTAACCATGATTTTTAATATTTCTAAAGTGATTTTATCACTATTTTAATACTCTATATCTTTTACTGCTTTTTCGCTTTACGATTTTTATAAAATCAGTCATTTTGAGCTTTTCAATTTTTTAAAATAATTTTTTGCTTTTTCTTATATTATCCATGATAAGTGCGGGATTTTTGATAGATACGCTGCTTTTTAGTCAGGTTTACATAACAAACCTTATACCTATTGTATGACAAGAAAATAAGCTTCCATATGAATATAAATTTGCCCTGATTTTTAACTTTTGACATTGTTGTATTACACTTCAAACTATATTTTTTCGAGATTTTTTGTCAATTTTCGTCAATTTTTTGAATTTTTTCGATACTTTTATAACCTTTTTTGAGCTTTTCTGCTCTTTACTTAATTATTACCTAAAAATCAATGTTATTTTTGCACTAAATATCCATTTTTCCCCCAACTTTTGATCGATTTTTCAGCCGTTTCCGCGAAAACACATTGTATCCACGTGAACATACGAAGCAGTCGTGTCGTATAACATGATTTTTATCTGATTCGTCTTCAAACTACGACTTTCTTTTCTAAATTTAAAATTTTTTCAGATTTTTATTTTGGAATGGTACTTCAAACCTCCAGCGCAATGTCGCCCGCCTTTCAGCCTGCACCCGCCGGCTATCGAAAACGAAAGCTACATAGTCATGAAACGTCATCTGACAATGATTTTAGTGATGTAAGTTGGGTTTTGTGACACATATTAGGTTAGGTTTAAACTTTTTTTAAAAAATTTTTTGAAAAAAAGTATTTAAATTTTGGATCTTGGCTTTAAAATTGGCCCTACTATAACATCAAAAAGTTGATCCGGGAACTTTCCTAACACCCTCTCGATCTAATGTTGTTGTAAATATGTTTTCAATAACATTTTACTCTTTAGACTTTAGTTGATCACAACAAATATTCATATATTGTTGTACTTTGCCCCCTTTCGTTTTAAAGTAACAATCACACGTTTTGTCGGCAGCAAAGAACGCCTGTAATACTTTTTTGTCTTGTTCTGACTGTAGTCTGAAAGTACAAAAAGTTTTTGTATCTCATGACAATAAAAGTTGTAACAACTTATTTCGAAACGAATTTATATTAAACATTATGTTAATGTAGGTAGGGTTGATGTAATGAGGTATATCTTTTGAACAAGTTAGTGTATTTGGTTGATTTTTTGTAAATAGTGAGACAAGATATTAGTGTTTTATTTAAGAGTAATTTTGCATTTTATTTATTGCTTAAGATTAAGATATTAATCAAGAAATGAAATTTGGGTTATATTAGGGTATGGTGAATACAATGACGTATATCTTGATAACTATCTTATAAATCTTTTTTATTTTAAAGAAGATTGTGTATAAGATACTTGGGTTTAAAATAAAAGTAGTTTCAATATTTTATCTACAGTTGCCGCAGGCACAATTTAAAATTTTTTCCAAAAGCTGAATTCTCATCATTTTTCAAAAATTTTCTAGAAAAACAAAAATTACTGTAGAGTAAACAAAGCTTTGTTCGCATAGTAATCAACAATACTGTTTAAGGATGATGAAAGTCCAAAGAGTGGCTCACCTTCGGTCGACGAAGACCGACGCGCACATCACAACGAGTTGGAGCGCCGACGTCGCGATCATATCAAGGATCACTTCATGGCGCTGAAAGGAAGCATTCCACTGCTCGAAGGCGAAAAGGTAACAACTTTTCCGCTGCTACCGAATGTCTTTGACGAGATGGGAAAAGTTCGGGATAATCGGGTTACTGTAGAACGAGATATTGGGGTTTCGTGCAAAATATGAAAAATGACGGGTAATATAGGTTTTTTAGTCATAACTTGCAAAGTAGTAAGGGAAAATATCTACTGTAATAGTAGTTTTAAAATACAAGTAATGGGACATCTTTTCACAAACATTTGCATACATCGGGTTACTGTAACCAAAGTTATGAGGAGCCAAAGTCAAGCCTCCAAAAACTTTTAAAAACTTTGTTTAGCCAAGATAACTCAACTTTTTGATATTTTATCGTAATTCCAAGCAAAAACAAGAATATTTTTGAGTTTTTCAAAACCATAAAAACTGCGTTTTTAAACTGCAAACACTTCATTTTATCAAAATTTTGCAAAAACATATAAAACCAATCAAAGTTGAAATACATTCCATGTGACTTTGGAGGCACGTGAATGTAATGTGGTTTTATGAATTGGTTTGCTTAATGTCCTGGTTGGTTTCGGGGTTCAAAATACAGTTTTTCATATGGAAATTATGTTTAAAAACGTGGAAAGAGTACTGTAATTTGAGGAAAGTTTTAATGCTTTCTAGAAATTTAAAGTTTTGGAAAAAGTTGGTTTTTATTGTAGTAGGGTAGGTTGTAAAGGCTGTAGTAAAAGTTTAAGTAGAGTTTGTCAGTCGATCTTTATAGTGTTACATAGAGAAGATAACAAGGTATCTTTTGACATAAATTTTTGGCTATGTCTCTTTGATCTGTGTCTCAAAAATCCTATATTATCCATGACATGTCTCTTCGGAAGATGAAAAGACTTTTCCTATTGTAACTGTTTTATGTCATAGACAATATACACAGTTCATATTACTCACCTGAAGCTTAATCTTTGTCTGCACTTTCTACTACTAATACGTCTTCTTGCTATGTAATACATCCTCCTACTATGTCATACGTTTTCCCACCATCTACTAAACCTCTAATACGAAAAACTAATAATATTTTTTCATAATCATCATCACCTTATCTTTCGAGTTTTGTGCAAAAAAGCGTCATAATCCCGGTTAAAACAGCTGAGTCACGACAATCCACGTTGTTTTCCCAAAATACTGATGCAATCATTCCACCCTTAAGGCTGATGCAATAGTATTTGAGACTCATGTGTCCTTCACGTGTCTCTGCCCGAAACGTTTTATTTGAACTTTCTTTGTTGGGGCGAGGCAAATGTTTGTTAAAAGGGCAAGATGGTTGGGAATAATTGGATTAGGCTGCGGAAATAAAAAATCACGTTTTTTAGGCTTAAAATTAAAAAAAAAAATTTTAAATAATTTTAATTTTAAAAAATTTTTGAAATTTTAAAAAATTAGCGAAAATTTAGGCTTAAAATAAGGAAAACTGGCATTTTAAGCTTAATTTTGGCATTTTAAAGCAAGGTTTTTACTTCAAAACCCAACTTTTTCTATTTTTTGGGTACAAAGTTTATGTTCATCTACCGTAACTCAATAAAACACGAAAAACTTGAACAACAAACTCGTCAAGTTAACTCCGCCTTTTTTGGTTTCATTTTGGTTACGGTATCGAAAACTTCAAGTATACTGTGTACAGTTTCATTTTTGGTAGTTTAAACACACTGTATGTTTGAGGAAAGACAATGTGCGTAGAAGTGAGTGAACGTGAGTCAATGTGAGCAAAATATGAGTGAATGTGAGTAAAGAGTAACGTGAATTTGAAAGCCAATGTTACCAAATAGAGTGTTGAGTATACTCATGAAACAAGGTGAATATAGGGGGAAGGTAAAGGTGAATATCAGGGCAAAGTAAAGGTGAATAAAGGGGACAATGTACATGTGAATATAGGGAAGAGTAAAGGGCAATATAACTTGAAAAGTTGAGCGTTTTTTGTACTTTGCACGTTTTGTTCATCTCCACTAAAACCCATTCAAACAACTGATTTCTTTTGTTACAGCCCGCCAAATACGTTTTGGCTTCAAAACCAACAAAAAACTAGAACAGAGGGGGGGGAAAGGAAGGGAAGATGAAGGGAAAGGAAGTAAAGGTAGGGGGGTTTGTGTGAAGTCAGAAGGCTTTTGAATAAAATATTAGGTTGTTGAAAGTCAAGCACGGTGATATATAAGATGTTAGGGAAAAGAAAGTAGGAGTAGAGGAAGTTAGGGAGGACAAAGTAGGCATAGAACATGAAAATAAAGGGCAAGAAGACATAGGAATAGAAAATAATGAAAAAAGAAACAAGAAAAAGACTAAAATAAGCTTAAAATTCAATGAAACAGATAAAAATAAACTTAAAAAACGCTAAAACAGTAGAAAAAGAAGTTGATCAAGAGTAGAAATTTAAGAAAAATAAGATAATAGGTATTCAAAACATGAAAAAAAGATCAAGAACTTAAGATTTAGATACCGTAACAGGGTAAAACTTGAGATTCAGAAGCTTTAGAAGGCCTAGAAGTTTTTTCAAAGACTTTTTTCGTAAAGCTTTGAAATGTCTACCTCCTAAGAAAACACTATTTTTCTTACCATATACCAAACCCTTCTCTAAACCCCCCTAAACCCTCTCCCTTGTGCCCCCACTCCGACTGTTCACATGCCTTCGCACGTGAAGCACACTCGCCACTGATCCCGTTCTTTGAGTGCAACAAAACCGCTCGAAAAGTGCACGCCGGCTGGTTGTAAAGGCGGAAGGGGAGAAGGGTGCGGTGTGCTGGGGACACGTGGCCCCCACACTCGCCCGTCGCCGCTCCAAAAAAACCCGTTCTCTGAGGTCATGTGGCCTGCCGGCGGGTCGAAGTACAGAAAACAAAGGAGAACAACCAGAAGCCGCGGTACCAGGGTGGTGGGGAACGAACAATAAATAGATTGCAAACGAAACGGGGTTCAGGGTTACGGTAGGTAGAGGGGGAGAGGGAGGGATGATGACGGTAATGAAAGGGAGACGATGATAATAGTTGATGGTAACGATGGGGGTGATCATGACAAAAGGTAGGAGATAGTATTATTGGCGAACAGACCTGTCTCACCCTACCATACCCGACCCTAGTCTACCATACCCTACCCATTCTACTCACTCTACTTTATCTTTTCCTACCCTCTTATCCACTATAACCTACCTTACTCTGAAGTGTGTAATAGGGATCATAATGACATAAGGAATACGGTACTTTTAAAAAAATGATGACAATAGCTTAAGTTAAGTAATAAAAATGGGTTTAAGGTAATAAAACACGGCAGTAAAACAACATTGAGTATAAAGTACAATGTAGGACGTGTAATTCCAAAACATATTGCATCACGTTCGTTATTTATCATCGAAAAACACATGGCACAGAGTTAAAAATGGAAAATCAACAAAAATAACTTTGGAAGTAAACAAGGCTTGAAATTCCACAAAAAAATCAATTTTTTATTTTAAAATTTAAAAAAAATAGTTTGAAATTTGAAAAAATAGATGATAATGATAATATGTTCTACAGTAACTCTTCTATTTCGCAAAATTTTTTCTACAGTAAATTCACAAAAAGTTTTTTGAAGTTTTAAGAGAGACATAATGCTGCAAAACCATAAAACGTCGTATTTTACAAAATTTTAAGCTAATTTTATTTTCAGAGCTCCCGAGCCTTGATCCTGAAGCGCGCCGTTGACTACATCAAGATGCTCCAAAGTCAAGTAAAAGACACGAAAACAGAAGTCGAAGACCTGAAGCGACGCAATGAAACTCTACTTCAACAAAACTCCTTGAAACCATTTTTGGGCCAACTCCAGCTTCAACCGACTTCACTCTTCTCTGGCCAAGCCACAGTTCCAGTCTCATTGTGTGTACCCAGTACTTCAGCTTTGCCTCAACTTCAGGAGCAGGTCTTGGCTTCAAATGTACAGAATCTGAAGGCTGGTTACGTTAAGAATGGCTATGGTGGCCAGAATGTCAACTTGGCCGGACAGGCTGCTTTGGTCAATCAATCAAATGGACTAGTCCAATCAACCGGCTTGGTCAATCAACCCATGGCTGGTCAGAACCAAGTTCTACCCCCTCAACCTTCAGCCGCTTTCAAGCCATCTTACCCTACCCCCGACCCGGTCAGCCCAACCCCAATGGCCTCAACCTCCACCTCTTCCAACAACTTATCGCCCAGCAACTTGTCCCCAAGCCTCGGCAACTTATCGCCCGGTCTCAGCAACTTATCGGCCAATCTCTCATCTCTTCTCCTACAAAACCCCAACCTGCTAGTCCAGCTGCAAAGCCAACAACTTCAGCAAAGTCAAATGAGTCAGCAAAACACCACCAGCCAACAATTCGAACCCCTTACTCCGCCACATTCGGCAACTCAGACCGTGTACTCGGATGTGATCACGCCCCAACTCCTGGCCTCGTCGCTAGCCATCAGAGAGCGACAATTCGCCGCTGTCGCCGCCGCCCAGCTTTAATTGTTTTGATCTTGAAGTTTTTCTTGATCTTCATTGATTTTGTGGATTTTCGGTTTTTAGGTTTATTTTTGAGGGTTTAGAAGGTTTTTGTAACCTAAAGTTCAAAAAAATTTTTGAATTTTAGAACTTCAAAATTTCAAGCCTAACAAACCTTGTTTATTACCTTCCAATCAGACTAAAACCCGCTCTTGGCTGAAGATCAATTACTATTTATGATTACTTTTTCCTTTAAAGGTCACATGTATAAATAAAAAAAGTTTTATCAGACGTTTCGGCTTTTTTCAATGACAGTTTTTTAAAACATAATACTTGTCACAAACTTTCGACACGTTGTAACACGTTGACAAAGTACAGAAAGTAGAGGCAATATATGGTATAAATATCTGAAAATTCAAAAAAATTTGTGTTTTCATAAAAATTAGTTTGTTTTGTTTATGAAAACGGCACAAATGTTATTTTTAGAGCTAACAGTTTATGACTTTACCAAAAATAATAGGTGTAGTTGCTACTTTTTTGATTTTACACAAGATAATGACAATATTGTAAAACGAAACATGGCTAGTTTGAAAGAGCATAAAAATCTGTATCAGAAACATATTTTTGTTAAATTAAAAGTTAATTTTTAATTGGCCAATCATTAAAAACAGCATTTTTCTATCCAAAAACCCTTTTGTAGCGCGCGCTTGGATTTGACGCAGTTGGAAGACCAATTCGCCGAATGCGCGCGTAGCGCAACGGCGTGTGCGTCGGATTGTTAATCCGAAGGGTGCGGGTTCGAGTCCCAATGATTGTCCTAGTTCATTTGGTATTGTAAATGTTTATTTTACCAAAAATAAAAGTTTTTTCAGGTATTTTAGTGGTTTTGACAGCATTTTTATAAATTATTTCTGCTTTTTTGAATACAAATACGTTTTATTTTTACAAATTTTTGGTTTTTTTGAAGTTTTTTGCAAAAATTTAATTAAAAAACTGGTTAAAAAACGAAAGTCTTATATTTCAAATAACAGTAAACTACTAAAACTTATTAAGTTTTTCAATTTTTATGATTCCAACAACTTGTGTACATTAGAAGCAACTCAACTCTTATCAAATACCGTAAAATCACTTTTATGTACAGTCGAATTCCGTGAACATAAGACCATATTTCGCGGAATCAAAGTGCGAGTTCGACTCAATTGACGTAAAGTACTTTTTATCAGCGATTAAAAACTTTTTTCTTTGATTTGTCATTAAAACGTAGACAAAAACGTTTTTTACGATCCCGAAACATTTGTTTGATAAGTAACGAAACAAATTAATAAAAGGGCGGTTGAAGGGAACCACGTGATCTCGAGACAATGTTGATGAGAAGATCAACCGAAAATTTATTTGGGCACAAGATGAAGAAGTGTCTTTGAGTTTGGACGTGATTTGGCAACAATATGCCTCAAAAAGGAGAAAATTTTAAACTTCTAAACAAAAAAAAATTAAAAAAAGTTGAAATAGCACAAACTACACGTATATCAAAAAATGCAAAATTAAAAAAACAGTTATTAAAAAACTAAACTTTTTATATTTTAAAAATGAACAGCAATCTATTTTTAATGACTGTACAAAATTTTAGCCAAATCGGCCGAGCCATTTTTGAGATATAGCCAATTAAATATCCGGCGCACTGTCTTCTCTACTCTCTCCGCTTTCCTTTTCTCTCTCGCGCACTTCTTTTCCTTTTGCAATCACCCTCTCTACTCCCCTCTCCTTTTGTCGCGCTCCCTCTTTGCGCCGACCTCTTTGATCAAGCCGCTCTCTACCCACCCTCCACTTTTTACGCGCTCCCTCTTTCTCTTCGTCGATTTTTTGTCTGATCAAATCATTCTCTAACCTTAAAAACCGTCTCTCCAGTTTGTACACTGCCTTAATTTTGTCTGATCAAGATTTCTCTGGCACTCTTACTTTTCTATATGATGGGTTCCTCCAAAATTTCCTTTTTCGGGTTCCCTCCTTTTTTTGCGTTCACTTTTCTTTCTCTGACTCGGTCGTCTCTCACTTTTACGCTGTATTTTTTCCGAACCTCGTGAAAAAGGCTAAAAATGGCTCAATACTTAATGAACAATTTCTCTAAAAAATCGCTGAAAAACACGAAAATTTTGTTGAAAAATGGTCCAAGTTTCGCGGTTTTTGGCTCTAAAAGTACCATTTGTTGCGAAGTTCGACTTTGGTTTGTATACCATAGTAAAGTTTGGTATCTCGCGCACATTTTGTGATATATTACTTGTTGTACATACTACGATAACAGGAATTTACGACGCTTCAAACACAAGACTGTCAGGCGGTCACGACTTTGCAGGTACTTTTCGACCTGTCGATATAGATGAAATCGGAAAGTACGACCATGCTATCGTATTTCATGGTATTCTCTAGAAAGCACTTCCAGGAATTTTTAAAATTTTGAGTTTAACATGGTAAAATACTATTGTAAAGTCTACATGTACATCTTTGACTGTGCATACTTTGATACGCCATAACTTACTTCACAGTAACGTCTCCTCATAGCAGAACATATCATTATGTAGATAATAGACTACTGTGTCATAACATATAAAGCATGTATTTTACCCTCTTAAGATACGATAGTTATGGCATGATAAAGTTGTACTAGACTTCAAGATATTTTTCGAAAAACAAAAAACCTTGGGATCCAGTACATCTTTGTAGTGTTATAACTATCGTATCTTGCGGTCGTAAGAAATGTGTTTAATATATTATGATACCGACGTTCATACTCTACATTATGGTATGTTCCGCTAAGAGGAGACGCTACTGTGAAGTAAGTTATGGCGCTTTGAAATATTCATGGTCAAAAATGTACGTATAAAATTTACTATAGTATATTACCATGTTAAACTCAAAATTTTAAAAATTCCTGAAAGTGCTCTCTAGAGAATACCATGAAATACGAAGATAACATAATAGTATTTTACATTTTCATCATTATCGACCGGTCGAAAAGTACCTGCAAATTCGTGACCACCTGACTGTGTTGTGTTTGAAGCGTCGTATCTCTATGTTACCCTAGTACGTAGAACAAGTGATATAGCTCAAAATGTGCGCAAGATACCAAGCTTTACTATGGTATACGAACCAAGGTTGAACTCCGCCATTAATGGTACTTTTGGAGCCAAAAACCACGAAATTTTGACGTTTTTTCAACAAAATTTTCTCGTTTTTCAGCGATTTTTCAGAGAATTTGTTCATTAAGTATTGAGCCATTTTTGGCCTTTTTCACGAGGTTCAATTTAAGATTTAAAATCTCAATTTGGAAAATTTTTTTATTTTTTGGTTCTACTGTCAACTTTGATCATTTTAGTAATAAAATCAATCAATAGCATAGTTCAGAATCCAAATTTATTGTTGTTTACAACCAACGACTAGATTTTGTTTCTTTGGCGATGAATCTGATGTTCAGTGAAACGGACAATGTACTGATTGCGTATGTAACGGCAGGCTTTGCGGACCAAACGAAACACCAATAGCAGCAAGGTTGAGATGATAAGGGCTAGTACGACTGAAAAAATATGAAATTATTACAACATTTGATAATTTTATCCTATACCCTAGGCTAGGCCAATGTAGACTAGATCGGGCTACTCTACTCTTTTCTACTCTACCCTATCCTACTCTACCGTACTCTACCCTAACCTACCCTAAACCACCCTAACCTGCTCTAGCCCTGCTCTGTCCTAACCCTTTCGTGTTTCGCCCTGCCCTGTGCTAGCCTTGCCCTATCCTACCCTGCCCTAGCTCTGTCCTTCTTTGTTCTGTCCTTCATTGCCCTAGCTCAGCCCTTCCTTAAGCTTGTGTTAGCCCTGTCGCTCTCTAGCCAACCCCGCATAACCCTACCCAATTGTCGGTCAAAAAGTTCATAGAATAACTTACTGAATCGAACCCAATCGTGAGTACGTGGACCACCATCAATGTCGCGAACACGCTCAAAGGTCTGACGTTCTTTGATCAGAATGAACATCTAAAGCACTATATTCTGTCACTTATAAATCCCTGACAATAACTATATCAATACATTTTTAAATTGCCATTCTACCTAAAAACTCATACAATAAACCATGTACAATATAATAAACATACCTGAGAAATGCTGGTACACAAGGTGACAAACGCCAGAGCTTCGTAGAAAATCTGAAAATTCAAAAATTATTCAAAGTTGCTTAGACCGAATATCCAAAAAACATGTCACGATGACATGACTCTCCACAAAATTCGAAAAAAATGTCACGATGACATACTTTGAAACTCCATAATTCAAAACAATGTCATGATGACACCTTTTTAACTCAAAAATAAAAAAAAACGTGTCATGATGACAAAATTTAAACAAAAAAATCCATAAATGTCATGATGACACGATTTTTAACCATAAAATCCAAAAAACATGTCATGATGGTATAACTTTAAAACAAAAAAAATAAAAAAAATGTTATAATGACTCAATTTTTAAATACCAAACACAACATAACACTCACAGTGATAGTAAAGACCGGTCGACTCCACTGAGTGATGGGCTTCAGGACGCGGCCAGTTCGAGCGTACTTGGTCAGACAAATCTCACACATATCCTTGCCCGACGCGCTCCACCATTGGTTCAGACAGTTCTCGTGAATGGTACCCATCTGGAATCAAATATACTAAAAATCAGTTACGTTCTAATAATATAGTATTAAAAGTCATACATATATACTGACCACATGATGCTACATAGCACTAAAATATAACGCTAAAGATCAAATCTACTACAATATAGCGTTATATACCTAAAAATATGATATGGTATAATGCCAACTACACGAATGTTGACCTTCAGAGAGTACGGTAACAAAAAGTGCAACAACTAGTGATTACTGTATCAAAAATCCCGTTACTTGAAGATTACAGAAGGTTACTGTAACAAAACCCGCAATAACTAAAAATTACTGTAACAAAAAATCCAAAATCCATTAACAACTTATTACTGTAACAAAAACCCTAATATCTAAGAAAGTAGAGTAACAAAAAACACAATAACCGAAGGTTACTGTAACAAAACCTCAAATACATAGAAGTTAATATAACAAAAACCCCTAATAACTAACCATTACTGTAAAAAAACCACAATAACAAAAGAGTACTGTAACAAAAATCATATATAACCAAAGATTACAGTAACAAAAACCCCATTAACTAAAAGTTACTGTAACAAAACCAAGTTTAACTTAAGATTACTGTAACAAAAACCCCGAATAACTAAAGCTTACTGTAACAAGAGCCTTAATACCAAAGATTGCTGTAACAAAAAGTCCAATAACTTAAGATTACAGTAACAAAAACCCCCATTAACTAAATACTACTGCAACAAAAACCCCAATAACAAAAGGTTACTGTAACGAAAATACCAAATAACCAATACGGTAACAAAAAACCCAATATCTAAAGACTACTGTAACATAAATCACAATGAATAAAGATTACAGTAACCAAAAACCGATGACTAAAGGTTACTGTAACAAAAAGTCCAATAATTATAAGAGTACTGTAACAAATAGCCCAATATCTAAAGACACTAGTTTAACAAAAACCCAAATAACCGAAGATTACTGTAACAAAAACCCAAATAACTAAAGACTATTTTACCTACCGATCCATCGCAAGCACAAGGCCGAACCATTTGGCCGGTCTCGGACTGACAGATTCGGCATACCACGGCACTGCTCGTACTCTCAAAGTTATGGGCCGAGGAGGAGGGGGGACGCCTCCACATTGACATGGCCAGCACAGCGACGTTCCGGCGTTCTCGCCGTGGACGTTTCCATTCGGATCGACCGGTCGATAGTCTAAAAATGAATAAGTTAGGATTTTTTGAAATTAAAAAAAATTTCAAAAAAAAATTTAAATTTTAAAATTTTAAAAATTAAAAATTTTTTTTTCGATTTCCAAAAATTTCAAAATTTTGAAATTTCAATAAAAAAAAATTTTTAAAAATTTCCCAAAACCCCAAAAAACGCCTATAAAAGCCTCGACCGGTCGATTCCCAAGCCATTTGTTTGATTATAAGCGCTACTGGTCGGTCGAAAAAAGAGATGGATAAGAAGAAGGCAAGCCGGTCGATGGTGGGCAGGCTGGGTGCCACCCAACAAACCGTGTCGGTCGAGCCGACCAATCAGGAGAGTTGTGACGTCGACGACAAGAGGGACATTGATCCCAAGTTCTTGATTCCATCGGCCGAAGTTCAGGAAGGGCCGCCCTTGGGCGAGGGCAATTTCGCCGTCGCTCACAAAGGTAAGTGCTTAGTAACAGGGGGGGGTGTTTTTTGGGAGGGCAAACTAATTATCAGTTTTTTGCCGGACCGGACGGACCGAAACAAAAGTTCGCGGACCGGTCCGGAAAAAAATTTTTATTATAATAAAACTGTTTTAAAAATTGCAAATAAAATATATTTTTTAAGAGTTTTTAAGCAAAAAGAACGCAGTTTTAGCGCTTCTGGCTTTTTTAAAAATAAAAAATTTTTTCCGGACCAGACCCAAAAATTTTGGGGTTGGACCGGCCCGGACCTAAAAAATTGAAGTTTGGACTGGACCGGACCCGAAAATCGCCCGACCGGACCGGTGAAAAACGTTCCAGACCGGTCCAGGCAAAGCACTGCTAATTATCAAATGCACTTTTTCTCCCACATTTTAAAGGTTATTGTATTTTTGTAATTGGTACCAAATATTAAAATTTACTATCAAAACAAAGAGTTCGATTTTTTCACCCCGGCACCAAACTTTTTAAAGTTTGGTGCCTAGGGGTGAAAAAAAGGGCCGGTCCACTTTTTTAGGCCCGGCCCAGGCCCGGGGCCCAACGTTTAGGCCCGGCCCGTTTTCAATTTTCTCTCAGGCCGGCCCGGCCCGGTCAGAAAATTTTCTAGGCCCGGCCCGGCTCGTTTTAAAAAATTTTAAAACTTAAAAAATAAACGGAAATTTGGCTTTGCATTGTTCTTTTAGATCATTTATGTATCATGGTACCCAATAAAGTCAAAAAACATCAACGGGGATTAAAATAAAAAATTTTTAAAAATTTAAAAATTTTTTTTTCGGGCCCAGGCCCAATTTTCAAGCCCGGCCCGTTTCTCACCCCTACATATACCTCTGCCGATTTTTTTGCGAAAATTTTTTTTCCAAAAAATCCACCACGTTCAACTTTTTTCGAATTTTTTTTCTGAGGGGAAGGGGGCCCTAGCCATATTGCTGTATTAAATACTACTTTTTTTAAAGTTTAGTACCATTTTTCGTAATTTTGATACATTTTCTTTTTTTTTGGTACTAATTTTAAGTATGGCTTAGAATATGATACCGTTTTAAATCGTGTACCCAACTCTAAAGCTTAATACAAACTTTTCAAACAGTACTAAATTTAAAGCTTTGTACTACTTTTTGAATTTAGTACTATCATTCTAGACTTAGTACTAATTTTTAAATTTAGTACTAAAATTTAACGTTTGGTACTACTTTTTACTATAGCAAACCTTTAGTACCAAAACTTACAAGCTGGTACTAAAATCACTCTGATATTAAAGTACTCTCTTAACTTTAGTACTAAAAAGCTTATTTTTTGTGTTTCCAGGTACCTACAAAGGCAAAAACGTGGCCTTAAAGAAAGGACTCAGCGAACACGAGACCCTCGACATGAAACGAGAAGCATTAATAATGTCACTGTTAGGAGTTCATCCCAATGTCATCTTCTTTTATGGAATGACCAGTGATCCTGTAGGTTGATTTTTTTGCTTTTTAGGCTTAAAATAAGCCTAAATTTTAAAAAATTTTCAAATAAAATTTTTTTGAAATTTTGTTTTTAAGCTTAAAATAAACCTAAATAGGTTTAAAATAGGCCTAACAAGCCTAAAAAATAAAAAATATTCAAAATTTTTCAAAATTTTAAAATTTCGAGTTTTTGAAATTTCGAAAATTAAAAATTTTTTGATTGTGAAATTTTGTGTTTTTAGGCTTAAAATAGGCCTAAAACAAGCTTAAAGTTAAAAATTTTCATTTTAAAAATTTTTGCTCGACATAGGCTTAAATTTAAAAAACTGAAATTTTAAAAACATTCCCAACTCTTTCAGACCCGCATTGTGATGGAGAACTGTACCCACGGCCCACTGGACGACATTCTCGGCAAAGCGAAGGCGGAAGTGAAACCGGACGAGTTGGTTACCTATTTGACCGAGATATCGTCTGGTATGATGTACTTGGTGGAGCACGGTTGTATTCACAGGGACCTAGCAGCCAGGAATATACTGGTCTCGGACGATGGCTTAATGAAGATTAGCGACTTTGGGTTAAGCTCGCATCGACTCTGCCCCGAACTGGAGACCTTCACCGGGACTAAGGTAGTGCTGTGACTGTTTGCGTAAGGTGGTACCAATTGGAGACATAGCTATTTTTAGTACTAAGCTTGGTTTTTGATACTAACTTTGGGTTTTGATATAAAGTTTAATTTTTGGTACTAATTTTGCTTTTTGGGACTAAATTTGCTTTTTTTGGTACTAACTTTGCTTTTTGGTACTAAATTTGCTTTTTTGGTACTAATTTTGGTACTAAATTTGGGTTTTTGGTACTAAAGTTGGGTTTTGGTACTAATGTTTGTTTTTGGTACTGAATTTCGGTTTTAGTGCTAACTTTGGGTTTTAGTACAAAGTTTATCTTTTGGTACTAAATTTGGGTTTTAGTACTATATTTGGTTTTTTGGTACCGTTTTTGCTTTTTGGCACTAAATTTGTTTTTTTGTACTAAATTTGGCTTTTGGTCCTGACTTTAATGTTTTGGTACTAAATTTCCTTTTTGGTACTAACTTTGGTTTTTTTGTACTAATCTTGGTTTTTTGGTACCAACTTTTGTTTTTGATACTGAATTTGGTTTTTTGGTACTAAATTTGGGTTTTGTTACTAAATTTGGCTTTTAGTACTAAATTTAGTTTTTTGGTACTAACTTTAGGTTTTGGTACTCAATAGGTTTTGACGCTAACTTAGTTTTTTAGACTAACTTTGCTTTTTGGTATTAAATTTAGTTTTTGGTACTAGCTTACTGTTAGTCCTATTAAATTTGTTACTTAAATTTATGATATAGTACTAATTTTAAAATTTAATACTAAAGCCTAAGATTTAGTATCTTAAACTTACCATTTTCCACTTACCATTTGCAGTACCATTTTTAGTACCATTTTCAAATTTTAACTCCAAAATGTGGCTCTAATTTTAAAATTTTTAGTTAAATTTCAATATTCCCCTGCGCTGGTGGCCTCCCGAATGCCTGAGACGAAACCCCAAATTTCTGCCGGCGATGGACGTGTGGTCCTTTGGAGTTGTCGTGTACGAAGTGTTCAGCCAAGGCGAGCGGCCATGGCCAGACGTGGATCCGAAGAAGGTGGCCACGAATATAAGACACATGAAGATGTTCAAGTACCCAAAGGACTGCCCCAGGCTCTTGTCAGTCATTTGTCGCAAGCGAATATTGGTACCGTTGGGGCAGAGGTGGGACTTTACGTTGTTGGCCAAGGTCATGAGCAACTTGTGCGCGGATATGAATCCAAGCAAGAAGTACTTGCGGGACCAGTTTGGGCCCAAAGTGGAGCCTCCGAAGCTGGAGCGAATCAAACTGTCGCCGGTCGAACAAAAGGATTTGGACGACTTGTGTCGCAAGAATGTGAGAACAACCGGTGGGCAAAACGCGCCGTCCGTGCCAGGGGCGGTGGCTCGGAGTTCGACCACGAATACATCACCTGCTTCTACTACGCCTACTTCCGAGTCTGTAAGTCATTTTGAATATTTTGATCTTGGCCACAAAATAGAAAGTTGGCACTATTTTTGGTACGTTTGAGACTTGGTACCAAAATCTAGGGCTTGGTACCAAACTTCAGGTTTCCGGCCAAAAAAGTTGGTACTAACCCGTACCTGCAGTACTAAGTTTTAAAGCCCAGTATCAGCCTTAATTTAAACCTTGGCGACTAACAGCCAAAACTGCACCAAATCCTAAACAAAACTTTAAGATGTGGTACCAATTGGCGAAAAAATAGTGCCAAACCTTTTAGTAAGCTATACTCTAAGCTGTAGTACCAGATGGCAAAAAAGTAATGCCAATTCTTAAATGTAGTACCAAACAAAATTTAGTACCTATTTCAAATATTTAGTACCATACTCTAACCTGTAGTACCAGATGGCGACAAAATAGTGCGAAACCCTTTAATTTAGTACCAAACAAAACAGTGCCTAGTACAAGTATTTAGTACCATACTCTAAATTTTAGTACCAAATGGCGAAAAAACTAGTACCGAACTTAAGTACTGTACCTAGTGGAACTGTTTAGTACTATAAACTAAACTGTAGTACCAGATAGCGAAAAAACTAGTACCAAACGTAAATATATAGTACCTAGTCCGAATATTTAGTACTATACTCTAATGTGTAGTACCAGATGGCAAAAAATTAATACCAATTCTTAAATGTGGTACTGTAGTAACAAACCTTATAATTTAGTACCACCCCCGGCCCCCCCCCTTTGAATTTCGAATTTGTTTCAGCCCGGGCCTAGTAGGCCCCTTTCAGATCTACCTGCTTTAAATTGAACACTTTCAGGCCTCGTACTCTCGCCAACTGACAAAGAAGCCGCGGACAGCGGGGCTCAAAAAGAAGAACACTTCAGTCAGTGTGGCCCAAACCATCACCACAACGAAGACTAGCGAGACCACGTCAGAGAATGTGGACGACAAGAAGAAGCAAAAGGTCACACTCCAGGACATTATCCAATCCGAACGTTTACCGGTCGATGAAACCAAAGAGAACAAGTCCAAAATGGGGATACCTTGAGGTTAACTTGAAGGTTTTTCGTATTTCTCAAATAAAGGACCAATACGATGTTGTAGTAGTTATTCCTTGAAGTTTTTGGGTCTTTTCTATGATTTATATTGCTTTATATACCAAGTTTTTGTTGGATATTAGTCTTATCTTCGAAATAAAGGATCAATACGATGTTGTAGAAGTTATTTCTTGATGTTTTTGGGTATTTTCTATAATTTATATTGCATTATAAACTAGGTTTCTATTAGATATTCGTTTTATCTTTGAGATAAAGGACTAATAAGATGTTATAGTAGTTACTTCTTGATTTTTTCGGGTCTTTTCTATTGTTTTTCTTTTAGTTATTGTCATTTTGAGATCTTTTCTATGATTTATATTTCTTTATATACCAAGTTTTGATCAGATATTTGTCGTATCTTCGAAATAAACCAGCAATACTATGTTAACATTACCATTTATTGATGTTTTTGAATCTTTTCTTTTACTTATTTTGCTATATATGGTAAGTTTTTATTAGATATTAACTTATACTACTTTATATTTCAATTTATAATGTAGTTCATTTTATTTTAACTTTTTTTGACCTATTTCTTCTAATTTTATGCCATTATTCATAGCGTTTTTAGTTACGAAAAACCGCGTTTTCTTGTTTTACAGCTTATTCGCCTATCAAAATTAGCGTAACCTCTTTCTTTTCTGCCTAACAGCCAGCATAACATCCCCAGCACAAGCAAGTATAACATCCCCAACACATTTTAATAACAAAACACTTCACATAGCATTTTTGCAATTTTATTACCTAAAAACACAAAAAAGGAGACTTACATTACTCAGTCATTTTTGCTCGTCTCCTTCTCGTCCAATTACAATTAGTCTCCATCGTGCTCACGGTCACCGTTTAGCCAACAGCTGATCTGGGAGCCTAAAGTAGCAAAACAATTACTTGCAAGGTTAAGAAGTTGTAGATGAATACTGACGATAAGCAATAAAGTGAAATAATTTAACAAGCGATCCATTTCCCCCCCCCCCCACCCCCCACCATACTGTAACAAAACATTCACACCGCATCACAATGGTGATATTTACAGTAACCACACGTAAAGTTACTTTAGTAAACAAAGCAAAACATAAAAAAGTAAATAATTTAACAAGCGATCCATTACCCCCCCCCCTCCCCCCCCATCATACTGTAACAAAACATTGACACCGCACCAGAATAGTCAAAGATACAGTAACCACACGTAAAGTTACTGTAGTAAAAGTAAAAAAAGCAGTCTAGTTTTACAAAAAAAAGCAAATTTTAAACATAGAAGCAAACCTATACCACGAAATCACGTCCTTTTACTCATGAACAAGTTAAAAGTAAATGTAAATATAAAGATCCAATCATTAAAAAAAACTAAAAATATATAAAGATAGTGGCTGTGAGCCCAAATCTCTTCGTTTCATTGATGAATACAACACCTAACTCAAGGGTATGGAGATCCAAAGTTTATTAACATACTTAACATTCGTAACAAGTTCAAAAAATTCAAAAAAGAAGTGATATCTAATATGATAATGGGCTATATTAACATAAACAGAGGTGATTTTAAGCTTGAACATAGTGAAATCAAAAAAAAATTGAAAAATCCGCCTCTAGGCCAACTAACGCACTGATCCACCCCCAGACCAAAATTTCGTTACAAAACTTAACATAGCCAAAAATAACATTATAGTTTTTGAAAAAGATCATTTAGGCAAAACCAGCATTATAATTATCAAAAAACAACTTTTTTTTCCATTTTCCAGCTATAATAGATGCATAATTGAGCTTGCACCTACTACAACATCGACAAAGCTGACCCCAAAATCAATATAAATCATATTCCGTTAAAAACGTATAAAAATTCTGTGCCCTCTAACACCAAAAATTCGCATTTAAAGAAGGCACAGAACTATTTAAACAACCATATATACCAATAACTACGTTATCCAGAACATCCTCTACACCCGCAATGAACACATTCGATTACTCTGTCCGCGTCCAGCTTGCTTTTTGGTACTCGGCAGATGCAATTGGTGCCAAAGTTGGTGTCCCTAACTTGAACACACCTTAGGCAGCACAGATTCTCAAAGCCATTCTTCTTCCACTTGGCCATCAGGTTGCCATCCACGAGTTTGGCGTCGATACAGAACTGGTACAGTTGGCGGCTGATCTTCTCCTCCTTCCAGAACAGGTCGTAGATGTAGCGGCTTCTTTGGTGGTGAATCTAAAAGTTTATCATGTTATTTCTTCCTTTCTTAACATGTTATGAACATTATTATCTTGTGTTAAGAATGTGATAAAGGATGTACAGCCGTTTTCAAAAAAACAGGTAACCTATTTGTTTCAAGCATAACTTTTTTTTAAAAAGATGTTAGAAACAAAGATTTTTTTTGTGATTTTAGATTGGTCTATCATACAACAAGCGCACCAACAATAATTTTTGAATTTATTAAATTTGAAAAGTTACAGTAATTCTACCGTACTCCTATTTGTCAACTATATGTATAATTTTTTTTCAAAAATCGAAGATATACGTTTTGTAGAGCATAAAAAGTTGTACATAATGTATGTTTCATTACTTCATCTCTTTTACTGAACGAGTAGAAGTGAGAAACGGGCGTTTTTTGAAAATTTTTTCCCGCCAAGTCCATAGTCTCAAAAACGATAAGAGATATCAAAATTTTAAGATTATTTATAGTAGTCAGGACCATTCAAAACATGGGCGTAGAAAAAGTTTCAGGCCAATTCGACCAGTAATTTTTTCAAAAAACGGGCCTGCTCAAGCCCGAGAGGGCCCAAATCCCGGCCCGTTTCTCACCCCCACCCCTATAAACGAGTAACAATTTTTTAAAAATCCAAAAAAAACGGCCATTTTTCAAGCGGAATCGAACTTTTCTTGATTTTAAAATTTTATTTTTTTACAAATTTAAAAAAATTGTAGCTCGTTGACTAGATAAGATGAAGTAATGAAACTTATAGAATATGTAAGAATTATACACATAGTTGACAAATAGGAGTACGGTAGAAATACTGTACCCAGGGCCGGGCGGGGACTTTCGGTCTGGGGGCAGGGGTCCAAAAAATCGGCACAGGTAAATCCACAGAGGGGACCACGTTCAACTTTTTTCAAAAATTTTTTTCCCCCCCCCCCTCCCCCCCCCCTCGCGCCCGGCCCTGACTGTAACTTTTCAAAATTAACAAATTCAAAAATTATTGTTGGTGCGCTTGTTGTATGATAGACCAATCTAAAATCACAAAAAATTCTTTGTTTCTAACATCTTTTTAAAAAAAGTTATGCTTGAAACAAATAGGTTGCCTGTTTTTTGACAATGCCTGTAAATATGAAGAAAGTAATATATTGTGATAGCCTTAAGAACGTGTTTTACTGTAACACCTTTGCACGACAAACAAGTCTACTATAATATCCAAAAAAGATGTTAAAAACATAAACCTACCCTGAATATTGGCCATTGTGTCTCGGTTTTCCTCTTCCCTTCATGTGGCTCTGACTCGGCTTCTCTCATTTTAGATTCGAATTCTTGGAGGGTTGGCTCGATATCGTCCCAGCCGTCTGGAGGCGGCTTGCGGTATCTGCGGAGCTTCATCTGGAGACTCATTCTAAAAATTATAGGTAATAACATATACTTCAACGTTCTAAACTATCGATTAAATTAGAGTCCTCGCTATGAAATCAAGTTGTTCAAATAATTCTGCGCCCCTGACAACAAAAAGTTGCTTTGAAAAGCACAAAATTATTTGAACAACCTAATATAATCAAAAATCCCGAAAAAAGATAAAAACATGTCAGTTAACAGCATTAAAACAAAATATAAAAAACAAAAAGCAAAGTAATACCTAAAATATCAAAAAAAATTAAAAAATCGAAGTGAAATTCAAAGATATTTCATGGTATGTTCAACCAATGTCATTAAAAACAATGTCCAACACAAGTTCAGCAACAATATAACTTTATTTTTATCAATAACAACATTATAAGTCAAACAGAAGTCTTGTCGTCAATTTTTACTCACTTTCAAGTTCAAAAATAACAAGTCTTTTTAAAAAGATAAGAAAAAATGAAATAAATACGTCAAAATGACATTATTTTAAACAATTTTATCAATTAATCTAAAGTATATTTTTAAAAAATTTTTTTTAATTTTTAAAACTATCAAAATTTCAAAAAATAACCTGATAAGTGACACTAAACTATACCCATTACTAACACCGATAATATTACTGTAGTGATTACTGTACAAAAGCCTACTTAAAATATAAAAACTGCTCTCAAAAAACGAAGAATTTTAAAATTTCACCCAAATTAAATTAGACATGAGGAACAGGCCAGGCCTGAGCGTTAAGCCCGGTCCAATCTAAATTTTGCTCAAAACCAGCCCGGACGAGCTGTTCGGGCCAGGCTTTGATTTTCAGGCCCAAGACAATCTAAATTTTGCTCAAGACCGGCCCGTCCCTCATGTCTAAGCAAATAAAAAATCAATTCTAGTCCTCTGTTCGAATCTGACATGCTATAATAGCATCATCCGTCATAACGTACAAACTCGAGTTCGAGTGTGCTACACCAAGTATGTTTTTACCATCGGTCGGTTTCATCACCGACGATGTGCTGATGACAAGTTGTTCTGCATAGGTTTGGCACGTTTTGCCGGTTTTTCGATTCTTCAGTACGGTATCTGAAAAGAATTGGCTTATCTTCTCTATATATGCTTTAGAGAGTAAACTTTAGCTAGAGTCAATACAGTATACTGTTAAAAAGATCATGTATAACCAATCTAGAACAATATCGAAATCATGCATTTGTTATAGTTAAAACAAGACTAAACTAAAACTTAAAATCATTCGTAAATTTGAAATATAAATTGACAGTAAAAGCCTATGAGCACTTACCACCTCCAACTGGGACGTTTTGAAGGTAGACGAAGAGATGATGGTCACCATGAACAACAAAGGCAAAGTTACCATCTTGGGCACAGTTTGAAGAGATTTTATTTGAATGTGAAGCCTGGAAATAAACAAAAACTATATTTTTCTAATCTAAAATTCACAAAACTATATTTTTCTAGCATGATATCCATAAAAACGGCAAAACACTTCGAAGATTCTACTACAATATTCTGAAAACTCCCATTTTTACTCCATTTTAGCCCAAACCAAGTAATTTTTAAACCTTTTAATATCAAAAAAAATAGCCCAAAACAGTACTTTTTAAACTTTGTCTTACTAAAAAGTCATTTCTCTTCCTTAAAATCAACAAAAAATTGACTTTGTTAGAGAAGAAACGTTAAAAACTACGAATTTCACCTACTATAATATACTAAAATCAATGTTTTAAGCCATTTCCCCCTTCTTACAAGCCAAAAACTAAAACTAATCCTTAATATTATGTTGTTCAAATAATTCTCTGCCCCCTCTCAAAGCAAATTTTCAAATTCAGAGGCACATAATTATTTTAACAACCTACGACAACATAATAAAACCCATTTTTCTCGCCATTTTTCCTCAAGACCACCCCAAAACCTTACATTCCTCCCTACTACAACACCCTCCCTACCCTCTCAACCCACCTGAATGTATCCAAACGCATTCAACGTGAACTTATGTCCAATTCTTTCCCCATCCCCCAGATCCAGCTCATCCACCGACCATACTATGCCATCGTGTTCGTATCTCGTACACAAATTTTTTGGGCCTCCTGGTTGTAGCCTGGTTTGGAACAATATCTGTTGGTTGCTGATATCGACCGTCTGTGTGAGTTCATGTGAGTCGCCTTGTAGCCAATGAATAAAGGTTGGTTGGTCTTCTGTCGCGTCGCATTCTTCCATTTGCTCCACATTGAAGGTGGACTGTTCGGCTTCTGATGAAGAGAGGGCTTGGGAATCTGTGGTGAACTTCTCCAAGGATTCGAGGGCTTTGCTGACTTCGTATGGGTCTGGTTCGTAGACGCCTCGACTGTCAGTTGGGACGAGTGTTCGCCAGAAGTGGCCTCGGGCTTTGAATACGGTTAGTTCTAGGCTGAAAAGTTGATTTTTAGTGAATGTAGATTTAAAAAATAATTTTTAAAACCAATTTGTATGTATTTTAGAAACGCCTTTCACATTCAGGCCCGGTCCGTTCCTCATGTCTACTCCCCCCAATATCTTACCTCTCCCCTCCAATAGTCCAGACCGATGAATCAGCATGAACTGCTCCCTCCAACGCTCCTTCCAACAACGTTCTGTCCTTTACTTTCACCGTGATTCCAGCTGAATTAAGTTTGTAGTTCACGTCTTTCTTATCAATGTGCTCTCCCAAAGCGAACGTTATAGTGATTTCTTCTGCATTTTGAGTCCAGACATAGGCTGGCTTTTCTGGTTCAGCCATTTCGACGTCTTCAACTTGTGATAGGTTCTGTTTCTCTGTGTCCGATGTGAGTTTGGCTTTGCCCGAGCCGACGGTTATTAGTTCAGTGGCATTGTAGTTGAGAGTGGCCATTTTTAGAACGCCTGAAGTTTGAAATATTGGGCAAGAATTTGTTAATATAGCCTCTTTAAATAAAAAAGGTAAACCTAAAACAACATTTTCAAATAAAAAAAGCCCGAAAAAGACCTAAAACAGCGTATTTCAACAAAAGAAAGCTCAAACAAAACCTAAAACAACATATTTTGATAAAAGGAAAAGCTCAAAGAAGACCTAAAACAACATATTTCAATAAAAGAAAGCTAAAAAGAGACCTAAAATAACATGTTTTAGTTAGATAAAAAAGCTCAAGGAAGACTTACAACATAACTTTTAAATAAAGGAACCTAAAGAAAAATCAAAAACAAACTTATTATAAGTCTAAAAAGACCTAAAACAATATGTTTATACCAAAAAAAAGGCCTCAAAACTTAGTTTTTAAGTAATAAAAAGCAAAAAACAGCAACCTTTAGTTAAAAAATGCCTTTTCCAGTTTAAAAAGACATCATTATCTCCTTTTTAAATACCTTTTAACAATAAAAACCCTACTTTTCCCCCAAAACATAGCCTTTCCTTACCAGTGTACTTCACCTCTCTCCTTCTGACCACATTACTCACATCCAGATCCAAATCCAGCCAAAGCAAGCTTGAATAAAAGTGCGAAGAGCTACAATACTTGTTCACTGTTTGCAACAACACCGATAACTTGTTCTGTTCCATGGATCTTGCATCTACTACAACATATGCTGTTGATTCTTCGTTTTCCTCTGTTTTCATTTCGTATACTAGACTCCATTCCAAGTTTTCTGCTCTTTGTTGAGTTTTGTAGATAAACAGTTGGCCAGAACCGTTTGATATTACTGCGTAGTCGAGGTCTGGGAAGACTAGACTTGGCGGGTATGAATTTTCAGATTCTGTGTACGTTATTGAAGCTACTGGCTCACTGTACTTGACTGTGCCGATCTGGAACGACCAAATATTGATATAAAATGATGCTTTTAGTAAGTTAAGTATTACAGGATTAAAAATATTATTATAGGTTGTTCAAATAATTCTGTGCCCCTAACCCAAAAAACGCTTTGATTGTAAAAGGAAGCAAAGAATTATTTGAAAAACATTACATTCTTATGATAAAATACCAAGAAAAATCTTGTCGCAATTCAACGTGGAAATCTTAGTTAAAAAACGACAAGACTTTTCTAGAGCCTTAATATTAATCCATAGTATAATAAATTGTGTTGCAAATACCTCAAGGCACTATCAATCATATCTCATACTTAAAAACATCTCTAGCAACATGTTATAGAAGATAAGACTATATTATTAAGCTTATTATACCTATGACCAGGGCCGGGTGGGGACTTTTGGTCTGGGGGCAGGGGTCCAAAAATCCACAGGAGGGACCACGTTCAAATTTTTTCGAAATTCTTTTTTCTGGGGGGGGAGGGGTACCCCCCCCGTCCCCACCCCCCCTCGCGCCCGGCCCTGCCTATGACGCTATATCATCTTACTATATCTATATATGACAATATAACACCTTACTATTCCCAACTTACTCTTGAGCTATACTCCATTTTAATCAAAGTTCCTTGCTCCGCAAAGTAATATAACTGATCTCTGGATGTTGTGAACGAATCTCTGATTAATCTATCAACATTGGCTGTAACTAACGCATGTTGTAGACCATATTGGGTCTTGGACAAGCTGAACTTCTTGGCTGAAATTAAGAATAAATAGCTAATTTTGAATTTTAAAAGCAGATTTTAAATTTTAAGAGCAATGCTATTCACTTTTTGACCAAAAACGTACTTAAAACATAATTTTTAGACAATGAAATGTTATTTCTACATACTTTATATCCTATTAAACTTTAAAAACTAACTAAATTCGTATAAAAAACATAATTTTTAATTAAAAAAAGCAATTTTATCGTAAAAAGCAGACATATCATAGCAAAACGCCAAGGATAACCATTGAACTTTCAATGAAAAAACCTACGAGACTCAATTTGAAGTCTTCTAACTTCACATTTCCTTGTCGACAACACATAATTCTCAAACTTTGGGTTCAAATATTCGCGTTTTGGTCTCAATTCCACAAATTTTGAAGTCTTCATCTGTAAGATACGAGTTAGCACAGCAATAAAACAGTCTCAATAATAAGGTACATATCAATACAAGTAGACAAATGCCCAGAAAACGTAGAAAAATGCAAAAAAAGTAAAAAAATGCGTTTAAACATTTAAAAAGCAAAAAAATTATAGTTTATGCTCCTGTTTTGGTAAAAAAAGATCTAAAATCACAAAAAAAGCTATGTTAACATACAAATAACTGCAGTTAAAGATGTTAACAAGCCGTACTTTACGTTAATATTCAGTTAAACACCAAAAAAATCAAAAAACAAACAAAGTGTTACCCAAAACAGCCCATAAAATCACAAAACAAGACACAAAACACCATAAAAACAATACAAACTGGCAAAAACCAAGTCATAATCCACAAAAAATAACAAAACTATACAAAATAGGTGTTTTATTATACATTAAGGCACTAATAAAATATCCCTGTACAATCTCGATATAAATATTGATGCTAACTGCTTGTGCTTTCGATCAGTTCGGGTTTGGGTGATGAAGTGTGAGAAAAGTTGTTGCTTTGGCGTCGTAGGCTTTCCTCTAGTCGGCGTCGGCTTTTCTGCTCTTGGACGACGATTTTAGTCAAGTCGTGGATTTGCTGCAAGTAACGCGGTTTTTGGAGTAACAAAATTTTTAAATCTCCCAAAATGTTTAAAAAATATCGAAAAACTTTTAAAAATGTCATCTTTATTCAGTTTTTAGAAAAATATTTTTCTAACTAATTTTAAACCAAAATTTTAAAAGTTTTTCATGAAGAATAACCAAAAAATAATTTAAAGCCCCAAAACTAGGCTTCAACCCTCACTTTTTTTCCATATATTAACGTTTTAAAAAAGTCTTGTCGTTGTTTCCCGTGCAAATTCAAGTTAAAAAACAACAAAACTTATTTTTCTATTGATCAGTACCTTTAAAATTGTTAGGTTGTTCAAGTAATTCTGTGCCCCCTCTCAAAACAAATTTTCAAGATTAAAGAGCAGAAATTATTTGAATAACCTAATAGACCAAGACAATTAACTCATGCTAATTATATTACCCATGTAAAGCAACCATTGAAGACCTGGTAAACCCCTTTCTGGTCTACCTTATATTACCCATGTAAAAAAGCCGGACTAACCCTAGTCTGACCTTTAGAATCTACATTATACTACCCACCTTTTCCAGACTAATCATTCTTGTACTCATATCATAAACAGTATCCACCAACGTTTTCTCTTTGAAGACAACTCCATCATCGGTCGATTCTTCTATCAACAGCTTCTCGTCACCAGCTACTATAACTTGTGGTCGTACTTCTTCCGTGAATGATGGCTGTTTGTGATGTAGAGAGCTGGACGATATATTCATTCTTGAGCTATATTTTGATACATTGGTCGATTGTGGCTGTGGAGCGTGATAACCTTCGATGATTTTGAAAAGGAAGGCATCTTCTTGCTCTTCGGCGGTTACTAAAAGTTGAAAAAGTAGTAAAAAGAAGTCTTTTTTAGCAAAAAGAGTATAATACTTAGCTTTTTATAATCAATACCTAATAAAAAATCAAAAAAATACGTAAAAAGTTAAAATTTGCCTACTATAAGATAAAAAAGACCCTAAAATACCTAATTCAATACCAAAAACAGCCTTATAACACTTTTTCAAGCCTTTCTAGCCACCTTTTACCTAAGAAAAACGCCTTTTTTACCCAAAAAAACCCCTTTCTAATCAAGATCTCTCACTTACATCCCTTCCTCAGCTTGATACTGCTCGATGAAGCCGAGTTCTGTAGAGCTACGGCGCTTCTGTTAGGCGGAATCGGCCTTAAGCATGATCCTGAATAAAGCTTCGCATTTCTGTTGCTTTTCGTGCCATTTCTAGATACTGGTCTTAATGAAGTGCTTCTTGAGAGATCACAAGATTGAGCAAAAAAGTCCGGATCAATCATCTCTATGTCATGATTCAGTTTTAGATCTCCGTTCGATGTGATGCTAAAAATTGAGTAAAATTAGGTATCAAATGGTAAAAAATGTAAAAATATGATTGTTTTATATACTAAAACAACACAATTTATATAAAAAATGATACCAACACCAAATTGAATATCTAAAACATAAAAAACCAACTCAAATTTGACAATAAAACACCAAAAAAAGCAAAAACTATCTTAATTTTACGTTGTTCATAATATTATGTGCCCCCTCTCAAAGCCAATTTACAGAGTTAGAGGGCACTAATTACTTGAAAAACCTTAATATAAGCCTAAACGCTTAAAAACAAATTAAAAAACCTACGAATTCTTCTTGGACAACGCTGGTTTAAGATTCCTGTAGACTTCTGTGGTGAAGCTTTCCGTAGAATCCGGTGTAGAAGCTACTGGAGTTGGCTGAACAGATTCTGACTTCAATTCAATGCCCTGACATTGAGTTAAAGCCAACGAAAAGCGGTGAAAATCGTCGGCTGATAAGCATGATATAATGACCAGTACTATGTTGTCTGAAAATGAACAATTTTACGTGTTTAATAGTTAAAAGGCTTTAAAATATTGTAATACAATTTTCAAGTTTAAGCCTAAAAATCAACTAAAAAACAAAATCATACCTTTTGAAAAAGAAATCTTTAAAGAATTCTCTTCTTTCACAACTTTCAGTCCATTTGTGGCCAGCTTTTCCTTTAAAATATATGCATTCTTCTCTATTGAAGGCTCCAGAAGTAACAAGGCTTTGGCACACAACACTACTGATCTAAAACATTATTATTACATGCTTTCCTGTTATAAATCATTTTTTAATCTATAAACAATAATAAAAATGCAAAAATAGTCGTTAATGAGTAAAACATCAAAAAATTTTCAAGTTTGTAAATTGTAAAAACTAATACTTATTACCTAAAATTTCAAAAAAAATTAAATATTTTTTAAAAAAATTTAAAAAATTAATTAAATAAGTTAAAAAATACATCCTTTTATTACCTAAATTTAAAAATTCTTGTTATTCCTTTAATTAAAAAAAAGTCTTCTTGTTACCTAAATTCAAAAACCATAATAATATTTGCTCTTACCTATCCAGAACTGTCTCTGGATCCTGCTGATTTGGTTGTGTTACAGTAACTGATGTAAAATGTATCAAAGGTCCTAGTTTTTCTTGATGATCCTTTCCTACAGATTTTTCCAAAAATCCAGAATTCAAGAACTCTAACTGAAGTTCTTTTTGCTTCCTCATAGATACACAGTCTTCCTGAAATTGATTTTTAAAAATCATTTTAACATCTCTAATCAAATAAAATTATTTTAACCTTTCTAATCCAAGAACAGCTCAAAAAAACTAAAAAAACCATTCAAAACTCACTGAAATTTCCCTGTAAACAGCCGAAGCTCTTTGCAAATTGCCCAGATCTGGATGGTTTTTGCTGGTATTCCTTTCAACTTCCAGTAAGAACGAAGCATACTTGTCAGTATGCCTAAAGACCAAACTCAATCCAGCTATCAGATCTTTGAACCCGCGATCTTCTTTCTTCAATACATTATCTATCTTCTTTTGTCTTTCTAGGTTATCATCATGTTTCTTTGACTTCTTTGTAATGATGTGAATAGCTAGCGGATGGTTCCAACAGTAAATGCGTAGTAAGACCTTTAAATCTGCTGCTTTTTTGAGAAAAATGTCACCAATTCGCTGGTCTGGAATTTGTCTGCTGAAAATCGTATGTTGTAAACAAGAATAGTAAAAACTCATAGTAAAACTAATAAAAATTTTCAATCTCTATTTAATTTTTGCAGTATATAGGCTTCTAAAACTTTTACAACCAGTTTAAAACAACAAACCTTCCAAAATACTTTAAAAATTATATTAACCATGAGTTTGATCAACTCACCTGAAAGCAGACTCAAGTTGAGCCAAAATGTTCTGTTTCACTTCAATTATGTCCACCAAATTTGATCGTATATCAACCTGTTCTTGTGGTGAAAATCTAAACTCCAAAATCACTAAATATAAAAATCAACTTACATTTTCGCTTCAAATATAATAGGTAATATGAGATTGTTAACCTCTTGCAATACTCCAATATGTTGATCTTCGTCTTCTATAAATTTCTCAACAACTGCTGTTCTGAAGGTAGACTTTTGACGCTCAAGCTCTTCTGAAGATCCGTCAACCACGTCGTGAGAAACCCCGTTCGATTTGGGACTACCTAAAATGAGATAAAGTGTCATTTATCAATGAAAACGTACCCTAAAATAATTTTAAAAAAAATAAAAAAGCAAAAACATACTTTCTGTTTTCACTAGACCAACGTAATCTGAAGGAAACCATCCAACAACTCCATCTAAACAACCTTCCCACCAACCACCATCAAGCTGTTGTGTTATCGTTATTACATCGTTCTTTTGAAAAGTCAGCTAAAACAGTAACCTTAACAAGCTAACTTTAAATTAAAATCCATTAAAATAGCTTTAATTTAAGCCCAATTTCTAAGGCGTACTTTAGATCTTACGAAAGATATAAAAATTGCAAAACCTGCACACCAACTTACCTCGTCGTTGTTTTTGCCTTCAAAGTTAAACTTAGCAATCGCCCTGATTTCCCTGTCCTCAGCATGACCGTTCATTTTGACGACCCTTGGCCATAAAACAACAGGTTTACCCGGATTTCTTTGGCAATTTGTGAAACAAGGAATAAAGCGAAAAAAGAAAGACTTGACATCCAGGTCAACACTACCTCTATTTCTTGTGTCAAGTCTCTCGTTTCCCCATTGCGTCAAGTTTCTCGCTTGGTATTCATGTTCGAATTGGCGCCAAACTGCGAATCTCTTGAATTACTGTAAATCGGGCAGAAATACGGACAATATCGCAAACCTTTTTCGCGACATACACAAGCTTGTTTTTGGTTATGTTCCACATATCCTTAATATGGAATTGTCCCCATTTTTTCGCATTACAACGCTGTCTTGCATTTTCGGTCAGGCTTTGACGCGTATATGGGTTTGTAGTTGACGTTTTGTTCATTTTTAGGTATTTCCATTTACCTCAGTTTTCGCACTTTTTCATAAAGTGCACTACAGCGATTTAAAAGTTACTTGTTGGCGAATTCCGTTTGTCCACATCTTCAAACTTTAACATGACTGATGCTCCCAAGTAAGTTGATTTTTATGCTTTTTTGTTTGAGTTTAGGTAAAATCGTTAGTACATGAGATGGAAAAGAAAAAGGATTTTCTAATGATGTAATATGCAAAAGTGTAGATTGAAAATTAATTTTAATATTTGGATATTGATTTAGACTGTCTAATTATGTAAACAATTTCTAGTTTTTTTTGAATTTTAGTTGAGGTTCAGGGTTTTGTAGAAAACTGTACGCTTGCTTATGAGTCACTTCAGTTTTTTATTGCGAAATCATAGATTTTTATATGTTTTCCATGATTAAAAACACTTTGATGTTGAACATGATCAGTTACCTAAATTTCAAAATTAACAAAATCGATAATAAACTTCCAATTTTTAAAAAATTAGGTATTTATTTTAGTTTAAGATTATAAAATCTATATTGTTGTTTTTTAGCAATGTGAACAGTACTTCCCTGGGTGGTGACACCGTCATCGAATCCAACTGCAATGAAGTCTACGAGAAGTTTGACCAGATGAACTTGAAGGAAGAGTTGGTCCGTGGTATCTTCTCGTTCGGTTTTGAAGAGCCGTCCGCTATCCAACAACGTGCCATCGTACCATGCTGCTCTGGCCGTGACGTGATTGCCCAAGCTCAATCTGGTACCGGTAAGACCGCCACTTTCTCCATCTCGGTCCTTCAACGTGTCGACGAGAAGAAGGACAAGGTCCAGGCCCTGATCATGGCCCCAACTCGTGAATTGGCCCAACAAATCCAAATCGTCATCCGCGCTTTGGGAGACTACTTGAAGGTCAAGGTTCACGCCTGTATTGGAGGAACCAACGTCAGGGACGATCAGAGAAAGTTGGAGAGCGGAGTCCAAATTGTCGTTGGTACTCCCGGTCGTGTTGCCGATTTGATCCAACGTAACGCGTTGAGTGAGTTTTGTTTTCTCATTTTCTTATTTTAGGCATGGCTTTTTATCTCTAGTCCAGCGTTATAATTCAACATTTGTTACCTAAAATCTTTTTCAGAAACCGAGGACATCTGCATGTTCGTGTTGGACGAAGCCGACGAGATGTTGTCTCGTGGTTTCGCCGAACAGATCCGTGATGTGTTCAAGTCCATGCCATCCACCGTTCAATCGGTTCTGTTGTCGGCTACTATGCCAGCTGAGGTCTTGGATGTCACCAAGTCCTTCATGATTGATCCAATCAGAATCTTGATCAAGAAGGAGGAGTTGACTCTTGAAGGTATCCGTCAATTCTATATCAAGATCGACGAAGAGGCCTGGAAGTTCGACACCTTGTGCGACTTGTACGATACTGTCAACATCACACAGGCCGTCATCTTCTGTAACACTCGCCGGAAGGTCGAGGACTTGAGCGAGCAGATGAAGAACAAGAAGTTCACCGTTTCCAGCATGGTAAGTTTTGGAACTTCATGAATTTGGGATATTTTAGTAGATTCTCAGTCTTTCAACTTTTTGTTTGATTAGTTGTTTTTGATTGATATTGTTTTAGGTTTATTCGTTTTTTATTGATTGACAATTTATTTTTTGAATTTCAGCACGGTGACATGGATCAAAGCGATCGTGACATCATCATGAGAGAGTTCCGTTCCGGATCTTCCCGTGTGTTGATCTCTACTGATCTGTTGGCTCGTGGTATTGACGTACAGCAGGTATCTGTTGTCATTAACTACGATTTGCCCGCCAACCGCGAAAACTACATTCACCGGTAAGAATTGTCTTCTTTACCATCTATCTTTAGCATTTGATGCAAAAGAGGGTATTAATGATAAAATTTTACTAACTTAATGCATTCTAATGCGAAATTACTAGAAGCAAGTCTTAATAACATAATATTTTTAGTATCGGTCGATCAGGTCGTTTCGGACGTAAGGGAGTAGCCATCAACTTTGCCACCACCCAAGACTGTCGTCTGATCAAGGAAATCGAAGAATACTACAACACCCAAATTGACGAGATGCCCTCCAACATCGCCACCTACTTCTAAGCAGTGATCCGAATTGTTTTTGATATTATGGGATCGGATTGTTAATTGTTTTCCGACCAAACCGATCCCTACTTTTGTCGTTTCTCTTTCTCCCGTTATTATTTTAATTAAATGTGGAAAAGGATATCGTTTGGCTCTTTCGAACTTGTCTGTACTCACTCAGAAACCTAGGATTCCCAAACATTCATAAATAATATTCATTTCATCATACCCCTTCTTTTTTGTTAATTTACCTAATATTTGGATAAATTTGTCAACAAACGTCAGTGTGGACTTGGACTAACAAAAAATTTTTAAAATCAATTTTTACTATCAAATTTATAAGACATAACAACTAAAAAAATATCCGTACAAAACAATAGTATATCTAAATAATTAAATATATCAAACAACTAACACAAAGTAAAGCACACATGAACGAAACACAAGTAGACAAATACTAACAAAGCTGTTAACTTTGAATAAACTAACACCACGTTCAAAATTGGATAACATTATCAATGTTTAATCACAAATATGTACTGCATAAAAGGTTGATTAAATGGCGGTACCTCTCTCGAGGTCCTCCTTGATGTCTTGTGTGAATTCGCCGTAGAATCTCTCCAATTTCTGGTTGAATTTCCTGTTCCTTTCGTTGATGTAGTCGATAGGAGCTTCTGGGTCGAACATTCTTCTTCTGTGGTACTGTTCTCGCTTCTTGGCCTGCCCTTTAACGTCATCAGACAGCTTGGCCAGAGCTTTGTCTGTTGGGTAATGTGAGCCGGTGATTAGTGTGTCCACGGATGGGTAGAATTCTGATTCTCCTCTAAAATATGACTTTATATTGGGAAAACCATATACATAAACACAGGTAATCTAACATCAAGAACAAGTAACATCATGTAAAATCTCATATTAAATACAAAAAACTAACTCGTCAACCAATAACTTACACGACTGTCTTCATTTTGTGATAATTCTTCATATCTGGCTTTATATTGTTGGTTAATCGTTCATATTGTCTCATAGACATAGCTTCATAGTTCGCAAATCCAGTATCTGGGTTCTTCTTTCGCTTCTTGGCTGCAGCTATTTTGTCAGCTACATCAGCTTGTATATTCAATGCCTTATTCCTGTCGAAGTCTTCCCCTCGTTCTTCACATTCTTTTCTGGCTTCCATCTCTTCCAATTCCCAGTCCTTTCTCTTCTTTCTGGCTTCAAAGTTCTTTGGCAACTTTGAGATTCGGTCTTCTTCAACAACTTCTTCATGGTTCAGTTTTCGTGCTTCTTGCTAAACAAAAATTGTTATTTTTAAAAATTTTGAATTGACAAAGGTAATTTATTACTTTACATAGCTATATTTAACTTTCTGCTAAAAGGATTGAAGGTTTAAAAGTTGAAAGTTTGATAAGAAGCAGTCTTGTCAACACTAAACATTTAAGAGTTTTATCCCTTCAAAAAACAACTATATAAATAAAATCCTTAAAAAATAACTTAAAAATGAAGGAAAAAACCAAAAAATCTTGTGAATTGTTAGTTTGGTCTATAAGACAACATAAACGTTCCTACAACAAAGTTCGTCATAATCTTCACAATTACAAAAGAATAACTTAACATAACTTCAAAGTTAATGAAAAGACAAGCAATTTCAAAGAAAGCGCGAAAAACACTACAGAAAATCGTCAAACTGTTACTCCGCCATAAACCTTGATAGACAATATATAGAAAAACCTTATTAACAACTTAAACAAGCTACACTTTCTATAAAAACTTGCTTAAAAGTAAGATTATAAACAAGTTTTACTAAATCAATGAGATTTTTAAGAAGACAACTCCAAATTTGTCTTGAAACATAAGGAACTGTTTCACCTCAATCATTTCATAGATAAGATAATATAAATAGCCCTTTGTTTTTCAAGACCTTAGTAACACATCCATTAAATAATTCTCACAGTGCTACTAAGCATCATTCTACCTAAATCAACAAAAATCATGAAGAAAACAACTTACTCTCTTCTTATGTAAAGCGTTCAATCGATCTTTGTAGCTCTTCGAGATGTCAGCCACACTTTTCGGCGCTTCAGAGCTTTGTGGAGCATCTGAAGACACTTCTGGAGTTTCAACTTCTTCATCCGACGACATTTTATTAATATAAACACCACTTGACTATAAAAACAAACTCAACAGACGCAAAAGCAAAGAAATTTCGTAAATAATTTTTTAAGATCGATTGTGATACTTCGTTTCGCTTTTGTTGCGAAGTGTCATTGTGATTAGGTGGTTGAATACTGCAGTATTGTACAGTATACTGTGTAGAAATGAGAAACGGGCCGGGCCTGAATGTTAGGCCCGGTCCGACCGAAATTTTGCTCAGGCCCGGCTCGGCCCGGCTCGGCCCGTTTCTCACGTCTAATACTGTGAATTGAATGATGTGTTTATAGAAAGGTCATTGTAAAAGAGTAACGTTTAAAGATGCTAGAAAGTTTAAGAAAATACAATTTTTTACTTTTCACACACATATATCTAACATAATATAAAAAAATATGTTTTTGATCGTTAGCTGTTTGTTTTTGGCTGCCATTTCTATTGTAATTTAACTTTTCTTTTCATAGCAGACAGTACACACACATTAACATAAAAATTTAAAATATTTCAGCCTCAAACATCAATTACAAGCTCCAAACCCCAACTTGTTCCGCCATCATGTGCAATATATCTGACTGAAGCAGAAGTTTGTGTTGTCTAATCCCAAATCCTTGAGCCCATTGTCGCAAACTTGCTCCCGATGTTCGTATTCTAATTAAGAGTTTGTTTTAGGATGAAAACGTTTCAAGTGGGGATTCGGTTGGATCAAGGGCTCTTGGTGCTTCAGAAGGCGCGACGCCAACGTTTTAAAGCCGCTTATGTTCGCGTTGACGGGCTTTCTCGTCGTATTTTATCCTATCAGAACAGGGAACAGGTCCGCAGGTCGTTTTTTGATTAAGAAAGTTTCATTTCGGGATGGCAGGTTATTTTTTGGGGGGTGGTTGGTTTTTTTGAGGGAAAATGGTGGAAAAAAGAACAAATTTTGAAAAATAAGTATTAAATTTTAAAATTAATCAAATTTTTGAATTTAAGGAGTGATTTTACAAAAATACTACTTTGACTTTGATATGAGGACAGTATCTATAAAGTCGATAAAGGTGTCAACTTTAACATTTTTGATTGTTTTTGGTTTTTAATGCTAGTTCACTGAAATTTTCTTATACAATACAGTATCCATATGTAGTATAATATACAGTAGTTCAAGAAAATCAAACTTCGAGTTTCCTATGGGAAGAATTTCCTCTACTAGGCGTTTTTTAAATAATAACGACTATTATTTAAATTCATACCTCCACCGTGCAAAATTTGGACTGAGAAAAAAATTAAAATTTTTCTACTTTTTTACTATGTAATCACAGCCATATTCATCCAATTTACTCAACTTCTTTGACCTTATTCTCGTTTTTTTTATCAAAATCTTTTAGGAATGTTCAGACGGGTTTGTTGTCTATTATTACTGTTAATATACGACGTGAACGGGAGTAAATGTAAGCACGTTGGGCAGAGATTCGTCGACAACTTTATTCAATTTCAATGCGCAGAAGGGGATGCGGCTAATGAGCTGCAAATCAAGCCTATTGGTATGTTATTCAGCTGTTCTATAATGGTTTAAATTATTTTTTTAAAGTTGTTCAAATAATTCTGTGCCCACTAAGCCCAAAAATTTGTTCTGAGAGAAGACACAGAATTATTTGAACAACCTAATATAAATAAAGTTTAGCCTTAACAATGTTCTAATAATATCAAGATAGGTTCGGTACTAGACGTTGTAGACAGTGCCGGGCGGGACTTTTGGTCGAGGGGTGGGGGTCGAAAAAATCCACAGGGGGGACCACGTTCAACCTTTTTGCGAAAATTTTTTTCTGGGGGGGGGGATTCCCCCCCCCCAGCGCCCGGCCCTGGTTGTAGACGTGGTACTAGACTTAACACTACCTTGTATTTGCCAGAATCGCACTCATTTCAGGTTGTGTCCCATCAAACTCGGGTAATGGATCAGCCATACCACTGGGATTGTCATATACGGGTAAACACTTTCGGTACGAATGTGTTAAAGACGATCTCAGGGATCATGTCCAATTGAAAATTACTCGTAAGTTTAAATATTTTTCATTTTTATTGTAAAATACGGTCCTAATTCCAAAGATCGTTATAAAAGAGTTCTCATTGTCTTTGCATAAAAACGATACCTAAACTCACATCAAAAGACAAAAATGCATTTTAGGTAATAAATTTTAATTCAATATACTTAAAGATAATAAGCCTAAAGCAATAAGTTTAGCAGCCCCTTTAAAATGTAATCGCTATAAACCAAATTTCAGATTGCGTAGACAACAAAGGCTCAATAATAGCCATTGGTGAGCATTTCACGATAACCAACGATGTTGGAGAACATGAAACCATGGAATGTGTTGGAGATGCTCAGAAAGTGAAAAAAGTCGTTTTTAAATGTGGGTTTGACAAATAATGATAATATCAACTCTGAACCTTGTATATTATACAAGGTTCAGAGTTTTTAAGGGCCTTAGACCCACTCCGAAGCCACAACTGTCTTGGAGCCGGATTTGCCCTGGAGCCGTTAGGAATGCTGACCAGGGTCGGGCGGGGCTTTTCTTCTGGGTGCGGGGGTCGAAAAAACTCCACAGGGGGGACCACGTTCGGCTTTTTTCGAAATTTTTTTTGGGGGGGGGAAACTCCCCTCCCCCCCCCCTCCCTCTTCAGCGCCCGGCCCTGGATAATACCCTATCATGTATAAATATAAACTAAAAATCCAAAAACATCCTTTGAAATATTAGGTTATTCAAATAATTCAGAGCCCTCTAGCCCCGAAAATTTTCTTAAAAGGGGGGCTCCGAATTTTTTTAAACAACCTAATATCTTACATAAAAATCCAATAAAGCGGTCGAAACATTAAAAATATTATGTTGTTCAAATAATTTTGTGCCCCCCTCTATTAGCGCCCATCCCTGACTCTGACTATAACAATACTAAACCTTATACCACAATTTCTAATTTCAGGGAAGAAATGTAAGCTGCCAGGAGGCTCCGAGCTCACTGAAGGCAACTTTATAACGAAAAAAGTTGCTCCAGAAAGTCTTCGAACCGAGCTGCAAACAGAAGAAATCATTTCATGTCAACGACGCGGAGCTGACGTTGATCTACAGTGCACTGGTAAGGTTTAGCAAAGATATAAAGACAAGACTATAAACTAGTGCTCAATATCATAGTATGTCATTTTAGGATGCGTGGCACTGGATGGAATTCACGTTGGAGTGGCTTCGTACTCAAACATACGAAGTCAATGGGTACAATGTCGAAGAGTACTAGACGGCTGCCGACTAGTCAACGTTACAGAGGACTGTAAGTCAATAGCTATTAAACTATAGGGTAACTCCTGTATAACAAATGGCTCGGAGACTTTATCTCTTGTGAAGGCATTTTGTTATACAAAAGTTGCTGCCTAAAACCTGTCGTATAACAAAAGCTCTTCTCTCACATATTTTAGGCTATAAATCGACTAATTATGATAAATTCAAAGCCTATTTTAGACATTAATTGCCAATACAACGACCAGACCTATCAAAATGGCGAAACGTTCGAAAGTCGATCCGGTAAAACCAGATACGTTTGTGATCATGGTGCTGTTCTCAAGCTAGGTATGTTTTTATAGTACTAGGTACTTCCTAATACTAACTTAACCCTTCATAATACTATCCTAACCCTTCATAATACTAGCCCAACCCTATCTTAGACCAGGTTTTGAGACCCAGACATAAGCCCAATGCCCAACGTATATGCTCAGGGCCCAACGTTTAGGCCCGGTCCGCTTTGATTTTTCTCAGACTGACTCGGTCTAGTCAAAAAATTCTAGACGTGGCCTGGCCCGGCCTAGCAGATTTAAAATAAGTTTTCAAAAAATTTTTTGATAGCGGGCCTACTTTTCAAGCCCGGCCCGTTTTACTTTAGCTCAAGGCTGGCCCAATCAAAAAAAATTTCGGCCTGGCCCAAAAGACAAAAAAATTTTTAAATAAAATTTTTGGGCTCTGGCCTACTTTTCAACTCCGGCCGTTTTGACTTTAGCTCAAGGCCAGCCCGGCCCAATCGTAAGGCCGGGCCTACACGGCCCGTTCCTCACCCCTAGTGGATCCACCTCCATTTCCCTTCATCATCCCTAGCGTTGCCCCTTTGTTAATTGTAATTGACTATTTAGATTGCCTTTTAGATAAAAAATTAAATTTAGGTTACTTATTTGGTACCAATTTACTATTTATATTTAGGCTGCCTATTCGACAACACTTTGGTCGCTTTGGGCAATGTACACTATGTTGATGGAGAGCCACAACTATGTCGTCAGGTCGACGAACCAATGAAGTTTGACGTTCGTACGTGACATTTTTTATACTGCTTTTTTATGTTACCCTACTCTTAATTATACTATTGCTTTTTATATTACAGTAGCCTGTCTGCCCCCATTTTCTAATCATTTAATAACTTTGTAGACTAAAATTAAGTAAAACTTAGATTTTATGAAGCTGCAAAGGTGTTCAAATAACTCTCTGCTCCCTCTCAAAGTAAATTTTCAAAGTAGGGGGCACAGAATTAGTTGAAAAGCCTAATAGATGCCCGAGATAATACAGTAAAGAACAATCCGATACCGCTGCATTAGGTTGTCTAAATAATTCTGTGCCCCCTCTCAAAAAACGTTTTTTAGGTTAGAGGGCACAGAATTATCTGAACAATCTAATAAAATGAATATTAATTTAGGTGGATGCCAAACCTCACCAACATTCACAAGAAAGTTCATGGAGACGTGGAAGGATGGAGATGTTATGAAAAGGTGTGGCTACACAATAGAAGGCAATTATGTCAAACCGGAGATCACTGAATACGGTAATCTTGTTTTACTATCAAATTTAAACAGCTTACTGTACCAAGCCATCAGACGTTGACTCATGAACAAAAAGCTTAAAAAGTGCCATACATGTTTATCTTATATGTATATGTTTATCAAAATTAATTTTTCAGCATGTTATCACATAAAAGAAGAAGTGGCTCTAAACACGGTGGTTCAAAGCCATCAAGGAGTCTTCAAAAAGTGTATAAAGACAGATTCAGGAGGTTTGATAATGCAGGAAATGGATAGTAAAGACACTGAAGCCTACTTGAAGCGAAAAGTAAGGCAATAGGTAGACCTTTAAAGAGGTTAGGCTGGTCCTAATTGTGCTGGCCTAGCCTCTTTCAAGGTTTAAGTAAACAGCTTTAACATCATATTCGTTTTACAACCTTCTCAAGTCAAATATTTCGTTGCGGGACCTTAGCTGAGCCCCTGAAGCCTTAATTTGGTCCGTCGCCTTTGGCCCCAACAGTACCGGTCCTTTCCAAACTTGCTTCGGCCCGGCCTTACTTTGAAGCCGGTTCTAGTGGGTCCCTTTCAGGTTTAATGACACTACTAACCTTAATTGATGATGTAATAAAGACTTTTCTCTATAAGTAAAGTGTCTATAACAATATAATTTTAGTCATTACACCTGAACCTAGTCGAATATTTGGGCGTCGGTGGAAAAGGGATTGTACAAAGCGATGTTCAACATGATGATAGTACGTTGTTTTAGATTTTTTTGAAAATCTTTCGCACTTTGAACTTTTATAGACCTTAAAATCAAGTTACTTTGTAATTCCACCATCTTTATACCTAGGGTCAAAAAAACAATAATTATAGTGCCTAAGGTCAAGAAAAGCATAATGTATCTAGGGCCAAAAAAAGACAATTACAGTGCCTAAGGCCAAATAATACTAATTATAGTACACTTTTAGGAAACTGCACATCACACTAAACACACACATGCACCATACTACATTTAATTGTAATACGCACCTCTCTCTCGGAAATTTATGTTAATGTACTCGCACAGCACTGTTATAGCCATAATTTATTCAATTTTTGTTTTTCATTGTTACATCTGGCAGCAAGGATAATCGCTAGAGGGGTTCTTATCTGTAGGAACGTCTTCGTCTGACAGAAATAACTTGGGTATTAAACTTTTTGGATTAACTTGAAATGTTATCTTAGTTATTTGAAGCGTTAGATGAATAACATTAAAAGCTTTTTTAACCAAAATACAAGGTGCGCAAAAATTTCTGTTGCAAAACTTGTAAACTCACATCTCACGGCACCAAAAATATATTATGACGTTTGAACCAACTTGAACACACAGCACCAAAAAAATACTAAAAAAAGCCAATTTATGCCCCCTTTAAAGGTTGTCGAGACCACCTCCCCTACTGCAGACGACTTGTGAACTACTGTTCTGATGGTGAAGCAGACGCGGGTTTAATGATCGAAGCTTATGAAGAATATGGCAAAGTCCAGAAGCTTTTCGAAGATCTTTCTGGTGCCAAGAAAGGGCCTTTGAAGCCTATTGGATGTGAAAGTAAGTTCAAATACAAGCCGAATCAATTTTTGAAAAAATTTCAAAAAATTTTTTAGCTTTTTCAAAATTTTAAAGTTAATTTTAAAAAGTTTTTATGTCAATATTAGATAGCATTTTCGTATTTTACTATCAAATATTTTTTAAAATCAAAGTTAAATTTTGTAGCTCAATTAGCGCCGTTCCGCAAAGTTCAAGTAATGGTGGAAATGGCCTGTCAACGTACTTGTAAGCGGTGTATACCTGGTAAGCTATACAGTACATTAGAACTTTTGAATAACAAACTCCTCTATAACAATATTATACAGTTTTCCTAATTTTTTTTTAATTTTGGTTCAGCCAAACCCAGCCCGACCCGGGGCCAAATCGCGCCGCAACCGGGCCTGGCGGGCCCTCCTTTAAAGTCTAGTTATAGAGGAGTTTCTTTTCAAATTTGGGCCCCTTCTACGTTTATTTGCTACAAACTTTGACTTTCCTAACATTGAAGCAATCTTTTCCCAATTTGATACCTACATTAACATAAACCTCAATTTCAGAACACCAACTCGATTCACTGGTCGATAATTTGGAAAATACAAGTCACTGCGGTAAATAGTACCAGAATACTCAGTATCGTACTGAATGCCCTGTATCGTACTGAATGCTCAGTATCGTAATGAATTTCCAGTATCGTACTAAATGCCCAGTATCGTACTGAATTTCCAGTATCGTTCTGAATTCCCAGTATCGTACTGAACGCCCAGTATGGTACTCAAATTTAGTTTCTTTTAGTACAAAATTTTAGATATGTATCTATGACGTTATTTATATTATCCATGATGACTTTTTTTAAACTTTTTTAAATTTACTTTGTCAAAACATAACAAATAACAATATAATTCGGCCAGTATACTAAAAACAACCTATATCAAGATCTTGATCATGCCACCAATGCTATCTATCTACCAGTAATTGGTTATTGATATATACTGATATAATAGCTGAGGAAGTACAGCTATTATATCAGTATAGGAAAACAAGAATAAAAAAGTAACCAACCCTTACTTATCCTTGTTTAACCGTAGTAAATCCCCTATTGAAAGTCTCCATTGACCACAGTATAGACCTTCCTGATAGCCTTGCTTAACCATGGTGAAACCAGAATATACATCATAACCGTGATATGACTGTACAACCCAAGAATCCTCAAAACCAAGCCCATTTCTGAACCTTTGAAGTCGTGGCTTCTGAATCCGATTCTTTTTGTAAATGTTCGGCTACAAGTTTTAAAACTTCTCCTTCGTATTTACGAATATTTTCGTATTTTAGCTTCATTTCTGGCGATTTTTCGCTTTGTATTCGTAGGTGCCGGACTGGGATTGCTCTGAAAATAGAAGATAGAGTTCTGACATAGCATAATATTACACATTAGAAACAATGTTTTATGTTTTCAGCTAAAGTTATAAATAAAAAATTGATAAGCACCCCTCACTTTAGTCTCTCCTATCCTTTATCTGCCCTGCTGAGTTGCCGTAACGTGATCTGTTTCACTCTACAATATCCTACTCTACACTACCCTACCCTACCTTACCCTACTCTACCCTACCCTACCCTACCCTACCCTACCCTACCCTACCCTACCCTACCCTACCCTACCCTACCCTACCCTACCCTACCCTACCATACCCTACCCTACCCTACCCTACCGTACCCTACCCTACCCTACCCTACCCTACCCTACCCTACCCTACCGTACCCTACCCTACCCTACCCTACACTACCCTACCCTAACCTACCCTACCTACCCTACAATACCCTACCCTAACTCATACTGCCATACCTAGTTCTGATCAAACCTACGATGCCCTAACCTGTCGTAATAAACCTACTCTGCCCAACCCTAGACTACCCTAGCTTAACGAATCCTTCACATCTTAATCCTACCAAATACTGCCCGAATTTCTCTAGCCTACCCTGCACAATACAGTATGTTAATATATTTATTTATTTTCCGTATTCACTCTTAAAGATGCAATCAAAATAATATATAAATACATGAACTTACAGCTCCAATGCCTTTTTCAAATCGCCACCATTTTCAAAAGCCGTTTGAAGTATAGACTGAACGGTGGTGAACGTTAGTAACCGACTACCCGATTTCCATCTGAAAAGGCAAAAAATTATTAGGTTTAGAACTATTAATGATATATATTACAGTACAGAAAAAGGGTGTAAATCCACCCCCCCCCCCCCCCGTAGCTAACTCCTTGATTACATGTACACAACTCATAAACTACCAAAACCTCCCACCCCATTCAACCCTAAACCTACTCCATTAGCTCCAATGGCAGTCGCCTCAACTTGACTCCATCGATTTGTGCCACTAATGCCGACGCTTCTGAATGGATATTCTTTTCTGGGATACGATCTACGATTCCTCCGATGATAAAACAGTTTTCTGGGTCTGTCACTTCTTCCGATGATAACACATTGTCAGTATGTGGACTGAGATATATTATTTTTTCTTTGTCATAGAGGTCGAGATATGATTCGTTTGTTAGACGACCACAAAACCGTTTTTCACTCACGTGTTGAAGTAGGTATCTGAAAATGGCAAAATGGCAGCGTTAAGCAAGTTTTTACTATAAATACAATTAAGTATCACTATTTTTAATATCATATAGATATAATACGTTTTTACTATAAAATTTCTATTGTAACCGTTTAAAACTTCTATTGTCTTGTTATCGTTATCTGTGTTGTAGTCATCAATCAATTCTAGACTTTCTACTCCCTCTACGCTTGGACCCCTCTCATACCTTAACTCTGCCTACCCTACCCTCTGCTCTATTCTACTTTACTATTCCTTACCCTACCCCACCTATCCCTACCCTACAATACCTATCGTACCTTACCCTATCATAACTTTACAAACATTACCTTGTCATACCTCATCTACAAATATATTATTAACCCTTTAACCCCCGTATATTAACCACCTTTTCTTATGTTGACGTAGAACCTCCAACGATTCGTCGAAATTGACCAAGTCCATTCTCCACGGTTCCGGCCGTTTTTTATTTAAGCCTAACAAATAATTAAGTTGATTGAATGTCAAAGACAACCCTCTAACCGAATGGTCTTGTAGAAAGCGGCAATCGACCGCTATGGCTGGTTTGTCTTTGAGTTCGTAGGCTCTTATCATTGCACGGTCTTCGGTTGCTGCTTCGTGTTGGTCTGGAACAAATATATTTATTGAGCCGTTCAATTAATTCTGCACCCCTCTTTAATTTATTAGGTCATTCACTTAATTCTGCGCCCTTTCCAGAAAAAAATTCGAAAAACGAACGTGGTCCCCCCTGTGGATTTTCGGAAAAAAAATTTTTGCAAAAAATCAGTAGCTCCTGAGCTACCTGTACCGCTTTTTTCGACCCCCGTCCCCAGACCAAAAGTGCCCGCCCGACCTTCCTCCATTTTTTTCAAAAATTCAACCTTTAGACCTAAAAAACCCACCAATTTTGTTAGCATCAACAAGATACGGTGTTTCCGAGTAGTTTTTGTACGCTGATAACCTTTCGTGATCTTGTAGCATGACCTTCGTTTTGAGGTTTTGTTTCCTTTTCTTGTCCTTTGCCCTTTCCCATTCCTTTTTCCGTTGAAACTTCAGCGCATCGAAGCGATCCTTCATTGTGTCACATCTGGTGAGCCGTAGCCAAAACTGATCATCTAGTTCGGCTGGAAGGTAGGTGTATATCCTTGTCAGTACCTGGAAGATAAATTTTAAATTTAATTAAATTTGAATTTTTAATTTTTTAAAATTGAATTTTTTTAAATTTAGACTCATTAGCAACTTTTGTAGAAAAAAAACGTAGACTTACATCTAACTCCTTTTTAAAATTTAACAAATTATCAAGTTGTTGTGGATTTAATTTTGGCAATAAATGATCCGGAAATTCGTATTCTTTTCGTGGGTGTTCTGAAATAGTAAAATATAACATACAAGAAGAGAAGATTATAAAAACGGTGTCTTTCCTAGACCGTCCGAGCGATTTTTTCAAGTCCAGTCCGGCTGGTCCGGTACGCCCAAATTTTTTTTTCGTTTTCGTCCAATCCGGAAAGTCTAGGAAAAATACAAAGGTAAAGTAAAACAAGTCTTCTCCTTCCCAAAAATAAAAAAAAGTGATCCTACTTTTAATTTTAGTAAAGTTTTTTTTAAATCCAACCTGTCCTGACAAAGAATTTAGACCAAATATTCCTCGGCTTTAAAACAAGACCTATATAGAAATGAAAGATCATAGTAAGTTAATAAAAAAATTTCAAAACCTTCTAACTAGCATTGGTTAGCGAATTACAGTTCTCTCAATATTTTTATATTTTTAAAAAGTATAGCTATAAAAAACCGAAATAATTATTTTTTGTTGAATATTTTATTTTAAAAGTGGCTACAATCAAAAATTATGACAAAAATATGTTTTTAATCAAAATATTGTTAGCCGAAATGTCATGTACTAATGACGAAACGCCAAGATGACATAGACTGGATTAGAACTTATCGTCTTCTGTACCTCAGACTAACCCCTAAACCTCTTGGCCACATTGAATTGACGTTTTGCCAAAACAGCTCCCAGTACCAATCACTAGAAGCTTATTTACATAATTTAAAGTGAAACTCGATAATATACTATGAGAAAAGGCTCTTAAATACATCATAATAAGTTTCGCTTACTTGACCATACAATCGGATGTACACCACTATCTAGGCCAACCAGCTTTTTAGCATTGAACAACAGTCTATATGCTAGTGTGTCGACCTTCATCTTTAAACCTTGAATTCAGTCCTGAAGAAATATTTTCATACCTAGTTTTTCATAAAAATCTAAAAAAAAAATTTTTTAACTTAGCATACAATGTCTTGTTAAATATAACATTACATCTACGCCAGTGATGTCCAAAATCATTCAGATAAAGCCATATAACACTCAAAAATAGATATTTACCTTGACATAACATATTGTCCCCATAACATCTAAAAAACAAAAAATTTATTAAAACTCAACAATAACAATAAACAAAAAAAGTATAACAATATTGAAAGGCCTTTAAAGGTTCCTTTTAAACAAAAAATTTCATTCTGGCCACCATGATGACCAACATAACATAAGTTAACACAAAATCATCCAGAATGCTAAGTTTCCGCCATAAGTATCAATAGTAGTATAAATAACATCATGTCAACAGTAGATGAATAACATCTGCACTAAACGTTACTACTCAGTAATTTGTTGCTGAAACTCTGGGACAGCTTTCAGATGTTCTAGATGCGACTCTTTTGTTTCATTTGGAGGTATTGGGACGTTTTCGAGATTGGCAGTATGAAAAGCGCCTCTAACTGTGCGTCTTGATTGAGATCTGAGCAGAACGTCCATGCAGTTTTCTAAAAGAATGACATTTATAAAGTGGAATATAGAATTCATTTTGATCCGAATATAAAAAATATACTTTTCCTATAAAAATTTACTCAAAACTTATATTATTTTAGTCAAAAACAACCTTAAAAACCCAAAAGTAGTCAAAAGTCCATCACAATATCCATAAACCAAAAAATTATGTGAAACGTGTTTTAGTAACAAACTTACCAGATATAAACCTTTTGCTTTCGTTAGGCTTAGCGCCAAACAATATTCCCAAATTGGCAGTATCAAACGGCGCCCTCATTGCCATTATATTGTCAGCACCACTTGCCAATATCAGCCCTTTACCTCTTCTCGATATCCTGTACAAGTTCTTGGCATTACATAGGATCTAAAAAGTTTAAATTTAATATAAAATTCTGCTTTATAACATAAGATTTGCTCTAGAATGCTATAAAAAATAAAAAAAACAGCAAATATTATAGATTTTTGAACAAAAATAACTTTAACCGACAGTCATTCCTCCAAAATCCAAAAATCAATCTCTTAAAACTTATAAAATTAAAGAACAAGTCTTTACATATTATTTTCAAAAACAGTAGATACCAATATCATTCGTAAAACAAACGCAAAATCTATATTATCCATCCCGTTCAATGCTCTCTTACCTGTCGCCTCAATTTGCTGTCGAACAAAGCGTTACAATAACTGATTTCAAACGTCAACCCTTCAGTTATACATGCTTGAATAAGTTTTTGTTTATGTACCCATAAAAACCTTCCATCTTCGTCTTTCGTATCAAGAGTAATTATATCAACAAGCTCTCCTTTCCTTGACATTGTACTCAACATTCCTTCATCCAAACATCTCACTGCAACAATATCGAATTTTGTCCGCTTCGGATGATGCTGAAGCTTATGAATACTCGTCGTGTCTGTTAGGGTTACTGTGAGGCGGCTGAAAAGTATATTAATTTACGAGTCAGTTGATATAGGGTACTAACCAGCAAAACAAAGCAAAAACCTTGAGCTTGATAAAATTTGTAGCCCTGAACAAATAAAAACCCTAAAACATCAAAAAATCTAATAAAATATTACCTGAACTGCCTAAATTTCTTTCCATTTACTTCCAGCTGACTTAAATCCAATTTACTTTCATCAACAACAAACGGATCTGGTATTTTATCAAACTTCTGCTCTGTCTCTTGGTTTCCCTTCTTCTTTTTCTTCTTTGGAGGCTACAAAAACATATACATATTATAAAACTCAAGCCCGTTCAATTATCTTCACGCTTATACAGTTAGAATAGACTTGTTGCCTGGCAAAAATAATATTCTACCTAAAATTTAAAAAGTATAAACTCAAAAACTCACCTCATTTGTTTCCTCCCAACTCCTCAAATCCCCGACATCAATATTAATCACAACGGTGTCGTATCCAAGTCTGATAGCACGTTTAACAAGCTCCACAGTGTTTGCGGGTTCAAGATGTTTTATATTCATCTCAGCAAACTCAAATCGTTGAATTGTTGTTGGTGTGATCTTCTTCTTCTTGATTCTCTTCCTCTTCTTCTTTTCTACTTTAGTATCACCTTTTTGATCCACTTCCATATTCTCCATCACCCGCGTTTTATAAAGCAAAGCTTTGGGAAATAAAAAATTATTATATAAAATAATGCAGTTTGCGCCCACAAAACCGCGAACTGCAAGCAATGTGCCATGTTATACGTAACGTAACAATAAAAAAAGAAAATAAAAACGTTGAAATCTTTTACAACTTCTTGCTCACAACTACTAATTTACAGCATAATTTATATTAAGTAGCGTTTGATAGACTTAAGTATGTCTAGTCAAGGATATTCTCGGCTGGTAAACGATCCTTCGGCATCAGATACGTTTGTAGCAAATTCTTTTCAACAGCAAGAGGTAAGTTCACATTCTTTTTACTATTTCTTTTGTTTAGAAGATTGTAAATGAACAAGATGAAGATTTGGAGAAGGTAGCAGCCAGTATGTCAACTTTAAAACACATGTCCAGCAGGATAGGGGAAGAATTGGAGGAGCAATCAGAGTATGTTATGTTATACTAACTGTTTTTAAGGAGACTTGGGAATATTCAAGATTTAACAGGGAAAATAATTGTTTTGTGATTGGAAATTGTTGTCATAATTAGAATATAGTTTAATTTATATTATTTGTGGGTTTTCAGGTTACTGGACGACTTATCCTCCGCCATGCATCGGACACAAGCACAGATGGACACAGTAATGAGGAAGTTGGCTAAAGTAACGGGAATGGACGACGATGGGAGACAATGGAAAGCTATATTCGTGTTGATTGGGTTGTTCTTCTTTCTACTTATGATCTTGGTTGCGTTTTAATTGTAAATATGTATGTCGTATAATAAATTATTTGGTGCTGACTTGTCAATGTTAATATAATTTTGACGTTTTTTCGAACTTTTTCTATTTCCAGTGTGTTTTTATGACTTTTAGTGAAACTGAATGTTTTAGCTGCCTCAAAATGCATCGAATTTAATAAACGGGCTATAAAATCGATGAAAGATAACAAAAACCTTATTATACCTCTTTTAGTCATTTGGCTGTTATTCCAAAACTTTTTGACTTAAATTGTTTAAAATTAGTAGTATATTGTAATGTTAAAGTTATTGTTAGTATTTTCTCTACTTATTCATTGTGTGCTACCTCAAGGTATAAAGTATGTGTTATACTGTCCATGTATGGGCAGGTTTGGTAATCAATTAGATCAGCTTTTGGGTTCGATTCATTTTGCTATACGTTTGAACAGAACTTTGGTATTACCACCCTTTTTGGAGTACCCATATGGGTTTGTTAAGGTTGTAAGTTTTTGTAAACTACTATAGTTTTAGTTTTATTATAATTTCAGTTTTTCTATTAGGTAATGATAGACGAAAGTCATAGTTTAATAGTTATAAGATTGTTTTTAGGAGCCAAAGCCATTTGAAAACATCTTCAAAATAGAACCTTTCCAAGATGTGTTGCCGGTTATCAGTATGGAAGAGTTTATGGATGACATTGCTCCGGATATTTGGCCAAATTCTAAGAGATATGGTAAGAAGGCTTTTACTGCAAACTCATGGATAATTTTGAAAAAAACGCGTTTTTGGACCTTTCATGTAATAAAATGAAATTTCTTCTATTCTTTAAACTTATTTGCAACACTAAATTAATATTTTAGTGTTTTGCCACCGACCTCGTACCAGCCCAATAGCACCAAATAGCCCAGCTGGATGTCATAGTAAAGAAGGGAATCCATTCGGAGTGTTCTGGGATCATTTTGGCGTAGATTTTGTTGAAGATAAGTACTTTGGAGACATTGGATTGGCTCTTGATGATAGAAATGTTGAAAAATGGATTAAGTTGTAAGTAATTGAGGTCTGTAAACTGGTTTAAACGCTATAAAAAGGTATATAAGTACTAAAACTTATAATAATAAGCAAGATTAGTTTGCAAAAACATTTTTAAGAGTGATAAAAGGAAACAAACCTTAACAGAAGAAATGAAAATGTTATTTTAGCAGTGAAAAATACCCAGTTCTGGCCTTCACAAGTCCTCCAGCTGGTTTTCCCTCACCATCACAGTACCATCAGTACCAAAAATACTTGGAATGGAATGATGATATCTTGGCTGAAGCTGAAAACTTCATTAAATTGCATTTAAGTCGACCGTTTGTGGCTGTTCATTTGAGGAACAACGTCGATTGGGTGGGTAACATAATAAAGAAGCAGAAAGAACGATTTCGCTTATAATTACGATGATCTATTTAAAAATGGAATTACAATGCCGTTAGTTATTGATAGGTTTACAATTACTTATATATAAAGCTTATAACATATTATCATAAGCTATCTAAACATATCTTTTCAGGAACAAGCTTGTACTCATGTCAATCCTAATCACCACTTCTTCGCTTCAGCTCAATGTACGGGAGAAGACTTTGAAGTTACAGTACCTTCAAAGGAGATATGCTTTCCAAATAGAAATACAGTAATCGCTTCGATCAAAGAAGTTGTTGACGATGTTGGAGCCAAAAGCATCTTTGTGTTTAGCGACAAAGATCACATGATATCAGAATTATACAAAGAGTTTGGCAGGGTATGTTATTGTTGAGGGTAGGGTAGGGTGTAGTTGGGTATGATGTGATATGGTAGGTTAAGATAGGATTGGGTAGGGTAGGGTAGGTACTAGTTGTGGAATCACTCCTTTCGTTTCCGATGATTAACATGATACGCTCCATTTCCTTGACTGTCCAGATCAACCTCCGTCTAGCTTTGACCGCCATACTCTAATATTAGAATCCACTTGTTAACGTCGGAAGCTGACACATTGTGTAGAACATTCGTTTATTATTTTTAACCTTCATGTTAATATTTTAGAAAGTAGCAGTACGGAAACTAGCCCAACCGGATCCATATGTCAGTTTAGCAATTGCAGGACTATCTGATCACTTCATAGCCAATTGTATGTCAACATTCTCTGCCATAACAGTACGACAACGAAGATATCAATGTGAAAGTCCAAAGTCTACCTCGTTTTTTGGCTTAAATTTAACAAAACCAATAAAGAATCTGGAACTGTAATGTTTTACGTGTAATTTTTTCACAAAAATTGCATATTATGAAATTGTGTCTTTTTTCTTTTGAAGTTGAAAACTGTCACAAAGTCTTCTCTGTCGTCCGTTGAGCGGTCGCCTTCCCCCAGAATGGAGTTCAACGCCAATCTCTTGAACAAGATCCTCGCGGCCAAAGTGTTACCACCAAAGGATGGGAAAGTGATTTGTGCCAACTTCCACGGCTTCAACCACGCTGGAAAGACCGTGACCCGTCGTTCCGCTTTTGTCTGCCCACATTTGGTTGGAAAAACTTCTGAAAAGTAAGTTTTTACTGTTCATTGCTCTGATTTTTAGTCAGGAGGAAGGGCTGATTTTTTAGTAAAAAACTGTTGGAAGAATCTTTAGAAGTCTTATATATGGGTGCAAATTTAATTTTACGGTATTTTTTGGTATTTCCAACTAGAAGTGGTTGTTTTAGTACTAAAGGTATGAAACATTTTTTTTATTTAGGAAGTACAAGATCGAGGATGATGGCATAGAGGAACTTGTCTACCTGTTCACCCCAAAAGATCCAGACGACTTTTACGTAGATGGAAAATGGGAGGAAGGGTATGTTTGTTTCTGAAAAACGCCTATTTTTAACTTTCATTTATTTATTATATACTTACACTTTTCTAGGAACAAGTTGCTAAAGTTGGATCAGGCTAACCAATTGCTAAAGCACCATGGTACTCACCAAAGAGCGAAGTCGTGGATGGTACGAAGTTTTGTTGTGTATCAAGACAAGGAAGGTGAAATGGGCTTTCTCAACGCCAACAACATTCCTATTCGTATTAAGAGTGGTGCCGTTGACTTGTTTAACGCGAACGCGAAAGTGGTTGGAAATACGGAAACCGGCGACTTGTGGCTGCCTGACAATACTTGCAGGCAGGTCAAGGCGGACGGCGACAAGTACGAGTTGGTCTCTTCGAAATGCCCAAATCCAGAAAAACTGCTCCTCTCCTTGGTAAGTTGTTATACATTATAGTTTAAACCTAACTTTTTAGGCTTGTCTCTTGTAATCACTTTTGAGACAAGCCTTTTAAAATCAATGCGAATACTTTTGACAAAGTTTTTTTTATATTTTAATCAAAATGTGCTCTTCAGGCTGCTTTGAAAGAGCAAAAGGCCAGACTGAGTGATGCTGAAGCAAGTCCTGACATCTTCGCCATCTTGTACTACGAGTGAGTGATCTTTTATGGTTTATATGTCTTGTTAGGCGGATCATGTTTTATTTTTAATTATTTTTAAACTTTTTACAATTGTAAACCCTTTTATCATAAGCATAAGTTAAATAATGATGTTTTAGGGAAGCGCCGACCACAACGACGACGACGAGCACTACTACTACCAGACCCCTAACCACAGCTGAGTTCGTTGTCACTACCGAACCCACGACCACCACTGATCAAATGGAAAAGTTTAGGTAAGTTTAGTTTAGACATTGAGGTAGTTGTTAAAATATGTCATTTTATAATTAAAAAATGCTTTTTTAAATTGAAAATGCGGCTAACAAGGAAAAGTACCCAGAATCAGCTCAAAATTTTTATATGAATTCCTCGTGCCACCAATAGTACCCACAAAAAATTTTCGCTCGCGCTTTTGAGTTTTAAATTTAAATTTTTGTTTCCCGCCAATTTGGCAAATTTGGCATTGTGTTTCAAGCACTTTTTTCGGCTTTCCAGATAAGATACGCTTACAAATTTAAAAATTTAGGTTCATTTAAAGGTATTCTACTAGTATATCAAAAAAAATTGTAAAAAGTCAAAAAATGACAAAGTTACAAACTTGAAACACAATGCCAAGTTAGCGGGAAATTCAAAATGTCATTTTTTAATCTCGATTTTCTCGAGATTGACTCGAAAGCGCGATTTAGTACTTTGCTGAAGATCTTATATTTACTTGATCTTCCTATATAAAAAGTTTGAAGTCAATCAGAGCGGGGCAAGTCGGGCACTTTCCTTGTAAATTCAATTCAAAGTGGCATACCTTTCTTTTGCTTGCTTTGGTTATTTGTTCACAATATTCATTTTAAAAACCCTTTTTAGAAATATTGGTTTTGGCATGGTTGGATTCGTTGCCATAATCGTAATTATCGCATTGGTTGCATGCGCAATTCGAAAACGTGGCAAAAAGAAGGTTAAAGACAACGTGCCGGAGCAAGACAAATCTAAAAAGCAGCGGAAAGATAAGTTGAATTCAAAAGATAAGGCGGATTCTAAAGATAACGTGAAGGAATCCGCCGACGCGAACCCAGAAGCTGATTCGAAGGATGTAGGTGATTTGAAGAAAGTGGGTGGTTCGGAAGTAATTGTGGTGAACCAAGTATCGACAGGAAATCCAGAAGGTGAACCGGTCACGAAGCCTGAAGCTGATCCAGACGGTGACGCGAATCTTGACGTTGCACAGAAAACGAATGGAAAGCTTGATGCGCAGCCAGACGCTCACGGGAATCAACAAGCTGCACAGAACTCGGATCGACAGCTTGATGCGCAGCCAAAACAAATATTATACGATCATTGTAAAATAAGATTCGAGGAGAGTATTGCTTTCAATTTATTTACTTTTTCTAAGTGAAACATCAAAGATACGAATAATATACTATCTACAATTCTGTTTTAATCTATTCTATTGGGTTCTTAAAGCATCAGCGAGGAATGACAAGTTATAGTAGGCATATGATTAAAGATAAGACTGGGCGAGTCGATAGTATATAAAATATTATAAGTTAGCTGTTGTAGCTGTATAAATAATGTTGTTATAGCTAAAATAACATTGATTAGCTATTACAATAACTTTTAGTTTTACTAGTATAGCCATAGCTATATTCTTAAAACTAAAGCTGTGGTTTTGGTTACAAACAGCTCTAGATTATATTGTTTTAACAAATAAATTGACTTAGAGTAAGATGATTGCATATAGACAGTAAAAGTGTTAGTTTTGATGGAATGTGAGTTGCTTTTATTAAATTTACAATAATATTGTTCACAACATACGATAAGATGTCATATTGCAGTACATATCCATCTAAGCATTAAAATAAAATTTGTCAATTAAAAAAGGCTTCAAAATTTACATTTTAATTTTAAAAAGGTTAGTGGATCCATTAATTTGTTCACGATTTCTTTAAAATCAAAAAGTCTCACAAAAGAGGATATAACTAAACGAAAGAAATGTTACAATAGCAGTGTTGCCTAAGCGAAACGATAAAAAGGTTAAAAAACCGGATTCACAATCGATTTATACCATTTTACTCCACCGGTTATATTATCCATATTACTTCAATGGCTAGCTTATCCATTAAACTCCAATGACTACCTTATCCATGCTACTCCAATAGCTATCGTATCCATGTTACTCCAACGGTTTGCTGAGATCTCTGAGGTTGGCCAAGAACTTGGTTGGTGTTATGATTTGGTCCGAGCCGATGATCACTTCCCACGCCTTTTGGGAGCGGGTCACTTCGAAGGCGGCTCTCATTTCCGAGTATGTTAGGCCACCCACAATGTAAATGATGAGGCGTGGGCCGGAGCGGAGCTGGGCACTGCGCTGATCCTTGTGCCATTGGCCGTAGCGGGCTGAGGTTGGGGCTCTGAAACGAGTAAATGGAATAAACAAAGTCTTGGCGCTGATTTACGTTCAGTATCACGTTCGAAAACGACAGGACGTTTTTGACACCTTACATTAGTTCAATTACTTTGTTAAAAGTAACTAAACTAATTAAAAACATAATAAAAGCTCCAAAAGTGTAATGATAAGTCCAAAAATGTTATTTAAAAAAGCCTTTGTTGACCAAAGTTCAAAAACGCTTACTTTGATCTATAAGAAGACTGAACCTGTCTTCCAGCCAAATATGGAAAGTGTTTCGTGTCCAATTTCTCATCGATGGCATCTTCCATGATGTCCTTGATGATTGGAACCCATCGTGAAGATTGGTAGATTCTCTCGTTGATACGTTCACGACGAGTTGGGGTCCATACTCGGCGTTTTCCTGACTAAAATGGGGAAAAGTTACTATAATATCAATAAAAATTGAATTTTTAGTAAGTTATGACATTGTTTAACGTCTATAAGCTCCAAAAATTCATTTTCTCGTCTACAATCTCCCCAAAAACCTACATCAATTGTAATGTTCAGTCCTAACAAAGCAGCATTGGTAATCGTTTCCTTCTCACTCATTGGAATATTGGCATGTTGTAGTAGTTTGTTCAGATTCTCATCAGTAACACCATTCTTCGAGATGATGTACAACAAGATCAATCGGATCCGATCCTCTTCCTTCACAGCCGGATCAATCAACAATGGTACCATTATTTTGGTCGGGTCTTTGATTCGTTCGCCTTCAGCGTCCATTCCCATAGCCAGGTCTTGTTCCACTTTGCAGAGTTTGTCCACACCGTTACTGTAGCGCTTCATGCATTCTTCAGCCAAGTGGAAATGTGTACTGAACTTGTTCAGCTCTTTTTGGTACTGAGGCATTTTCTTGATCATCATCGACAGGTCTTTCAGGGACTTGGCGTCGGAAGGCATTTTCTTGTGTTCACTGAACTTTTTCAGGCCTGTTGTTACCTGAAATACAATTTTTCGTAAATTGGGACATAAACCATCAATTTTACAATATTGTGTGCCCAAAATAATAATTTTTTAATAGCTGGTTACCTAAACGAAGAGCTTTTCCAAAATTTTGTTCAATAGTAAATTTTAAACAAATTTTCACCTAAAATATCAGCCTTTTAATATCTATTTTGACAAAAAAATAAACTTTTTCTTACCTAAAATAAAAACTTTTTTTTAACTCACATCCTTCGAGACATCAGCGATATGTTTGTGTCTGTTTTCCACCCACAAATCATCATTTTCATCCAACAACACCTCTTTCTCCACACTCTCACCACCTCCAGTTTCGTATCGGTACACGTCGTTCTCGATTCCAAGTAAATCGTGACACATGGCTTGTAAAGTAAGTTCGTGCAAGACCGGAGTGATGCCATCGAATCCTCTATCAATAATAATCAACTGAGAGCGAGCTTTGTCAGCACCATCGCCCATACTCAGGTCTTCGGCTTTGTAGGCAGCCAGCTTTTGTTCCACCAGATGGCCAAGTTCAACATTTCGCTCGAAATCGGAGCGGTAACTGAAAATAGTTTTGCTTAGAAAGGTTTTTATGAATATCTGTTATAAAAATGCGTTTGATATCGTCAATGACACTCTTTCCAGTTTAAAAAACATTCGCCTATTTTAAATCGCAAAAAGAGTCATGTATAACAAGATTTTTAGTCATAACTACTTCCCACATATTCACTTCGTTCCAATCTTACGTTTTTTAAATTTCTCAATGTTCCTTTTATCTATTGTTACCTAAATCTTATAAATCTTCCAAGATATTAGCTCTTAACATCCAATTTTATTAATTCCTTTGATCTGTCCATCTACCACAATATATTTTGTTTCATATTTCCCCACTCATGAAATCTATAGTCCCAATTTTAATTTTAAAACCTTTTCTGTTATCGTCCTCTGTCACACCTAAAAACACAAAAAGAAAAATCAAAAAGCATACCGAATAGCCGGATATTCTCCAAGAGTAGCACAAACCGTCGCAATTTGTGCTGCAATGCGTTCCAAATGTGGTGTGAGTGCAGTTGGTTGTCTTGATGGATTATAATACAATGGAAACGTATCTGCCGAATCCAGAGTAAACACTTGACTTTCATACGGAGTGAAAGCCACATTAATTTCTTTGAAATTCTGCAAATACTTCGATGCGTTGCTCTTTGAGATCATGCTGAACAAGTTGTCGGGGCAACTTTCGGTCAAAAACAAGTGTGCTCGTTTGTATTGTACTCGACCGCTAAAGTCTTGAAGAAATTTTTCGATCGAATCGGCAGTCGGAGAGATCAGGTAGATGGCATCCAACGCTGGCAATGGTTCACGACGTTTGTTCAGGTCTTCCACAATGGTGATTCCTTCGGCCATTACGTCGTGCATTTTACAGCATGCACTTAACATTCGCATCCCGAGTTTGTCGACGACGAGCACATTCCAGGCACCACCGCCCGGCTTGTGCAGGGGTTTTATCACATCGTCGAGAAGCTCTGAAATAAAGGTTATTAATAGTAAAAGTTGTTATTAGTAGTGTAATAGCGATTTTTAGTATTGTAATACAAAACTACAAAAAGAGTAAGCTATATTATCTTTATCATTGGTTTTTAACAAAATTTAAGGTATAAATCAACCAAAAATTTTTTCCCTATAAAGATATTTATTAGTTAGAATTTCCCACACTAACAGTTTCAACATATTCTAATCGATTTTAGGTAATAAAACCTTTATACTTTAAAATTGTTTCAATTAAAACAAATTAAAATTTAATCAAATTTGAAAAAATTTAACAATTATACTTACTTTTGCCGACGATTTCCTTTAACGTCATAGTTCCTCGTCTGAAAACCCAACAAAGTAGAGAATCAAGTCGAGAAAGCACACGCAGCCCGAGGGCAAAAAGCGCACCGCCGCGACAATATCGGGAAAAAATTCGAAAAAAAAGAAGCGGGAAAGCCCCAGAGGGGTGGTCACTTAAATCGTACCTCAGCTTTGGGATAAGAGGTATACTAGGAGTTCAAGTCTTGAACGGTAACTTTGAGGTCGATTTTTTGGAGCAGCTCTTCATTTTTTCGTTTAAAAATTTACCGCATTGAAATAGGTATCAGACCAAAAAAGATTTTAAAGCCCGTTGCGCTTCCGGCCCAACCGTGAGATTTCGCGGCCAAAAAAGAGCATTCCTATGTCCAAAAGAGGGCCTTCAGGGCCAAAAAGCAAAATTTCACGGCCCAAAACAAGCCCTTTTCTGGCCCCAAACATTTTTGTCCCCATTCAAATTCCCTTTTCGGCCTGTTTTGTCCCCATCCCTTTCTTCTGCCAACTTGGCAAACATGGGGCCAATATCAAAAGCGAATTGGGGGCATAAAACGAATGCCAAAGGTTTACAAAGTGTGTTGAAATAAAAAGTGAATGTGGCTAGATTTGGACACGATATAGGGGCCTGCTTTGATGTGATATAGAGTCCTACTCTGACATGATATATGGCTACATTTTGGCATGGCGTAGGGCTAGAATTAAAGGTAGTTTAGGGCTATATTTAGGCAAGTATAGGACAAGAAGTAGACATAGATTTGAGCTAGAATTAGGCAAAATTTAAGGCCAAGTTAAGATTACCATAATAGAGATAGAGATATTGCCACAAAACAAGTAAAAGATCCTATAGATGCCAAATGTTATGATAGGTTGTATGACATCAAGAAATACGGCCATACTTTGTACGAAAATGACATATGTTATCATATTGCGTATAATAACAGTAATAAAATTGAGATAACTCATAAGGAAACAAAATATTAAAGTGTCAAAAGTATTGTCGCTTTTAAACCTCGAAACCAATATAATTCCTTATTTTCACAGAATTTGACCACAAGAATGAGCCAAAATGTCATTATTTTATAAAACACAAAGGATTTTTAGTGCTTTTATTATACATTATAATTCCCTATTATACTGACTCATCAAAGTTAATCAAATTAAAAGTTCCGACACAAACTTAACTCACACTCTAAGCCTCCAAAAACGTTTCAAAGCACCATGCTCTTTCTCCCCTCCGGCTTCAAAAAACGAAGCCAAGAATCGTTTTATAAAAATCCTCTTGCGAACCGGTTCCAAACCTCCTGCCTTTTCTTCACGCACAAAAAGTATCGGTTTCGAAACGAACGACATGAATAATATTGGAGAATCAAACGCAACAAATATTTATTCAACATGCGAATTCGCAAAATCGTGAATAATATAAAAATATGTAGGGGGTTTTGGGGTGTTCGAATGTAAACAATTGGCTTCATCAAGTTTTGAGGCAGATTTTCGAAATTTGTAAAGATGAAAACAACAAATTTACTCAAAATATTTTTAACTGTAAAACAATATCAGAGAAAATATTTAAAATTTAAAAATATACAAAGCAATCTCATAAAATCGTAAAAAACAATAAAAGTAATGTTAATAATGTCATGGATAATATAATCACTCATTTTTTGCAAAAAACAACAATTTTATAAACTCCCAACGTTTTACATGTTAAAAAATGACCGAAGGACATAAAAGTGATTTTATAACGCCTTCAGCTTTTTCTCCATCTGTATAATGCATAAAGATATTACCCAAGACAACTAATTAACACTATCATGTTTAACGTCCGCTAGCTACTCGTACAAGCAAAAAAATATATGATACTAATTTAGTATCTCAAAAACAATATAAGTAACAATATGCCACTTGATTATACTGTTACAAATTCACTGAACAAACTTATTTGAGTAAAAACTTGACTTTAGGCACTTGGTCCAAGCTTCTTTTGGTATAGGTCAATGTCTTCTTGATTGAAGAGGCAGAAGGTCACATTTATCTTAAAGAATTAAATTAACAAGATACTAAAAAGCTAGAATAACATAATTTCAAAGACTTACTTTATGATCAGAATTCTTGTTGACCCAATCATTAACTGTGTCGATTACAATATCGCAAGCCAAATCTTGAGGAAATGAATAGACTCCTGTGGAAATGCAAGGGAATGCCTATAAATAATTTTTTTTTCAAAATAACATATAAGACCTTCTTTATATAAGACCTTGAAGCACTATAAAATATTATTCGAAGCTAAATAAGAATACAAGAACCTCGAATAATCATGAGCGAAACCTACTATAGACTTCAAATCATGTTTCTTGGCCAATTCGAGTGAATTCCAATAACAATTCTTCAAATCCTCACGTTTACCGTCACTAACAGCACTACTGATAATCGGACCAACAGTATGGATAACGTATTTAGCTGGCAGATTGTACCCTTTGGTCAGTTTAGCTTCTCCAGTTTGACAACCGCCCAAAGTGCGACATTCTTCAAGTAATTGAGGCCCTGCGGCTCTGTGAATCGCTCCATCTACTCCTCCACCTAAAACATTACTGCCATTTATGTTTCTAAACGTTAAAGATTGTTAGGAGATGTTTATTGAACCATCCCGACCCAGCAAAGCAACGTTGAAATCTGAAATTCAAAGAAAACAGATCAAAACCAGCCTTACCTCCAAGCAAACTCTTATTGGCAGCATTCACAATTGCATCAACGTTCAATTTAGTAATATCGCCTTTAATCCATTGTAATTTACTCATCTTGTTTATGTTTCAAACTTCTTTTACTTCAAAAACAAACAAAAACAATTCCGATAAACATCTTTTTATTTTCTTCAATTGCGCCCATTCTCTCGTATAAAACGTCTTTCTTCATCGAAAAAAATTGGGCGCAATTTGCGAAATTTAATAAATTTGAAAGATAATTTTGTGATAACTAATTTTTTTATCTAAAATGACAATTGTAGTTCCAAGGCTCACTGCTTGTCACCAAAAAGGTTTACAATATGTTTTTGGTGAGTTATTTTAAGTATATATCGAAGTTTTTTGTGTTTAGGCAATGGGAACACATTAGAATTTCGAGATTTAACATCAAAATCTGTTAAAAAGCTGAAAGTATTTGCTGAAAACGCTTGTGTTATCTATGGAATCGTCTTGGATTTGATTGATGATGAAGGTAGGACTTTATTAATGTATTTTTGAATGTTTTTACATTTAGGTATATTTTGTTTTGGCGAAAGAGAACTGGCTTGGATCAAGGATTACAATGTGATTTATCAATTAAAGCTGGATGATTGGATCTCGGCTGTCAGTGTGTTAGGTAATGGTGATGTTGTTGTGTTGACCAGTAAGAATATTGTCAGACGATATAGTAGAAAGAATGGCAATGAGTTGGAGCTTGTTGATAGAGTTGAATTGGAGAGTCTCGGCCTATTGTATGTTGTTTTAGGGGAGTCGAGATAAGAATAGTTATAACTTTTTTTTATGAAATGGGCTGGAATTTACAGTGAGCTAAGTAGATGTATCAAGTTTGCAGTATGCGAATTTTCAGATTTTGTGCTGTGATATCAGGTAGCAACTGGGATGATCTTTCACTATATTGTGGTAACGTTTTTGGAGATGTTGTATTGTTTAGACATCTTGATGGATCTTGGAAAAGTACTGTTTTTAAGGGGCATAAGGTATGTTTCGTGTTTTTAAAATAGCTTTTTTTTGAGTAAATTGTATTTCATATTAAATTATTCACGACATGTTATTGTAATATAATATTTCTAACCCTTTTTATTGATAATATTACTTTTCTTATTGAAAAAATTACTTTTCAGGGCATGATATTTGGTTTAACTTTAACAACTACTCACTTATATTCGATATCAGACGATAGGACATTGACAGTTTGGGACAGGTATACAGGAGAGATGTTATCACAAGGTTACGGTCATTCAGCTAGGCCATTGTCGATTACCGTAGCATCTGATAGTAGGATATTTACTGGAGGGTATGATGAGATGATATGCGTTTGGGAATTCGACAAAGAACTTGTTTTAAAACATTCTATTCAGCTGTCCGGAGGGCCAATTCGAAGTTTGGTTACTGTGGATGATAAGTTGGTAGGATATGTCAATATTTTTTGTTTTATATGACATTACTGTTGCATATGAAGTTGTTATTGAATTTAATGGTGTATAAGTATATGTTTGATCATTTTGAAATTGTAGATAGTTGGTACAGCTACAGGAACGTTGATTGAAGTCACTGTGCCAATGGAACGATATGCTGTGACTGAAAACAAATTAGGGTTTTTGGTCAGGTCATTTTGTAGAGTTTCTGAAGATGCTACAGTTTATATCAACGAGTCACGGTAATTTTCATTATTTCTTTATTCTTGTAGGTATTGATTTTTGCGTGTGATATAGTGAACAACACTGATTTTTGTAATAAGAATGACTTTTTATTGTTTTATTCTAACAAGGAAAGTACCCAACCTGCAACTCTTAGAATTAGCTCAAAATTTTTATACGGTTTCTTTGTAGTACCATTAGCACACATAAAAAATCTTCGCTTGCGGTTTTAAGTTTTAAAATTAATATATTTAAATTTCCCGCGAATTTGGCTGATTTGGCATTGTGTTTCAAGCACTTTTTTTGATGTTCCAGATAAGATAGGCTTACAAATTTAAAAATGTAGGTTTATTTGAAGCTTTTCTATCATTATATTAAAGAAAAATAATTAAAAGTCAAAAAATGACAAAGTTAAAAGTTTGCAACACTATGCCAAGTTGGCGGGAAATTCAAAACGCAATTTTTTGATCTCGATTTTCTCAAGAGTGACCGCAAACCGCAAATTAGAATTTTACATAAGGTCTTACATTTAAATGCTCTTTCAATAGAAAAAATTTAAACCAAATCTGAGCGTTGCAGGTCGGGTACCTTCCTTGTAAGCCATTTTCTATTTCAGAGAACTAATAAAATACGATGAACAGGGTTCAAGTGTTTTGTTATCATCATCTCCATTAAAATTCAACACTTTAGTTAAGATGCCAGAAGGTGCAGTAATTGTAGCTGAAGAACATAAACTACACTATATATACAGTAAGCGGGGTTTACGATGGTAACTTTGTTGGTTATCTTTTTGTTGAGGATAATTTTCTTGGTGATTTAAGTAAAATTTGAAAAGAATTATAATGTTATGTTTCAGGCCTCGAAAAGCCCCAAAAGATGAAAATCGAAGTGCAATATTCAATAGTAACGTTGGTGGTGGTAAACCAATATGTTTTGATATCCGATGAACATGAGCAATGTGTAAGTGAGAGTAAAATACTAGATTATTAATTTACTTTTTTATATATTTTAAGACTTGTTGTACTCAATTGTTTTTCGAAAGATATTTAAATGTTCTTAGAAGTTTAGAACAAATATATCGACTTTTAGCACATTTTTAAAGCGGAAAAAGGTCAAATTAAAGAAGTCGGAGTGATAACAATACCTTCAAGACATAGGATATCTTCTGGATTTGTGTTTGGAAATATTATGGTGATGGGAACGACGAAAGGAACGGTTATGGTGATAGATCAACATGACTTTGCAGTACGTTTTTATTTTAGTATTACAAAGGATGTGCTTGGTCTTTAAATTGAAAAATACGTTAAAGCAACGTATTTTTAATAGTATTACATACATTTTTAATCAAAAATATTAGAAGATTGAGAAATGGGTTGTGTATGCTTGGCTCTATGATCGGACTGGGTCGGGCCGGCCTTGAGCTAAAATTGAAACGAACTGGGCCTAAAAATAGGGCCCGACTTGCGTACTGGGCTTGAAAAATAAGCTTGGGCTTAAACAATTTTATCTCTTGAAAATTTTTAATGACGTTTTGTGCCGTGCCGGTTCTAGAATTTTTCTGACCGTATTGGGTTGGCTTTAGAAAAAATGAAAACGGGCCGGACCTAAACGTTGGACCCGGGCTGGGCCTTAAAACTCAGTCCAGCCTGGCCCCACTCATAAATAATATAAAGCATGTGATATAATAAACACTTACTTATATTATGTTAAGGTACTAGAAACCATCCCAAAAGCCCACAAAAAAGAGTCGATATTGAACATTACAGCGTTTGGTGGTAGTATAGTATCAATGGGAAAAGATGGCTATGTAGCTACGTGGACTTACGATAAAAAGCTGGAGTTAATATCAGTTAAAGGGACAATCGAATGGCCTTGTAAAGTAATAAAGCAAGGGAATGAGGTTTATTTGATTGGATTTCATGCTGTAAGTTTGGGAATGAATATTGGAGTTGCTGTTTTTACTTTTGAGATTACTATAAAATGTTTTTTAAGAGGTTTTAGTTATGGTTTTGGGTACGGTTTATCTTGTTTTAGAAGTATTTACCTTATTTTAGGTTTTTCAATGGGAAAAACTTGATTTTAACAATTTTAATTGAAAAAATATTGATTTTATTGCTATAAGTAATATAAACCAAAAAAGAAGATAATGTACACAATAAAATTACAATTTTCAGGACAAGTTTGTAGTGATCAACATGGAGACATACCTAACAGAAGCCGAAGCGCCTTGTGGTGGAGGTCACAGAATCTGGGAGTATAATGCCAAGGAAAACTTGCTCGAATACATTCAGAAGGGAGAACTATACACAGCCAAGTGTAACCTGACTAAAATGAAGTGTCTGGAGGTTGGTTTAGTTTGGTGTTTATTATTAATGTATCAAAAAAAAGTTTTTTTGTTTTTTGAATTGTAACTTAATGTAAACTGACGACAAAACTTTTTTTGATTTTTTAATGGGAAGAATGTGACTAATGGGGAGTGTGCTACAGCTTTCAGGGCTGATGAGGCTTGACTGGTAAAGGGGCTTAAGCCGGGCTCTTGGGCTTTCATTTAGGCCTGACCCTTTGGGAAAGATCCGGCTTCTTTCAATTTTTTTTGATCCGGCCAAGTCTGGTGTGCTTCCCCAGGTCTAGGCGAGGCAGTTTTTTATGTACTGCTTCATCATCTTTTGGTAGCAGCAAGTAGAGGTGAGGTTGAAGTGTTGAATGGTAGAGATGGCAACCTAGTGAAAGGTAAAAAATTATTAATAATGTTATGTTTTAGGGTCCATATCATTCAAGCGAATCAACGTGCCTTACTGTAGTGAAAGATACGTCCAGTTTGGAGGTTAATAACAATATAATTAGACTTGTTACCGGAGGAAATGACACTAAAGTCATATTGTACGAGTATGACAGTAGTATAGGTGGGCTTTTGGCAGTATATGTTTGTAAAATACGGGCGGCTTCATTTAACAATTGTAAATCTTGGTTTCAGATGAGATACGTGTTTTGCAGACGTCAGAACGACCATTATCCAGCGTTCACAATATTGCATCAAGTGGCAAATACGTGTTTACAGTAGGAGGAAGAGGCGAAATCATTGTTTGGAAAGTTGAAGGTAGGACTTTTATCATATCGTCTTCTGTATAAGCAGTCGCTGGGAGATTTTAAGTTTGAGAGGTTGAAAATGATTTATATGTAACTTAATAACAAAGCTGTTTTAGATGATCAACTGATATACGTGTGCTCAAAATGCTTTTCCAACGATTTTCGACTAATATCAGTAGATGTACAACAAGAACAAGACGGTCAGTATATGATAAGTGTGTTGGAAGCAAACGCTGTTATAACGTAAGTTGAGATATAGACTTTGGAACGAGATTAGGCTTTGGTATGATGTACAAAGGGCCGGGCGCGAAGGGGGGGGGGGCGTGAAAAAAGTTTTGAAAAAAGTTGAACGTGGTCCCCCTGTGGATTTTTGGAAAAAAAAATGCAAAAAACCTCGACCCCGCCCCCAGACCAAAAGTCCCCGCCCGGCCAGTGTTTTGCCGGACCGGTCCGGATGAGAATTTTTTCGGTCCGGTCCGGCTCTATTTTTTTTCGCTCAGGTCCGGTCCGGTCCGGACCAAAAAAGGTCCGGTCCGGTCCGGAAAATTTTTTTTTTATTTTTAAACAGAGCTAGGAGCGCTAAAACTGCTTTCTTTACGTTTAAAAACTCTTAAAAATATGTTTTATTTGCAATTTTTAAAACAGTTTTATTAAAATAAAAAAAAATTTTTTTCCGGTCCGGCAAAACACTGCGCCCGGCCCTGGATGTACACATTGAAAATTCAGTTTAAGACGAAGTTGATTGGGGTGATAATGATAAAGTAGAAAGGATGTGGTAATTTTTTTCTTAAAAGTAACCATAAAATAAAATTGGAATCGACTTTTTTATTCTGGATTTGTTAGTTACAATAATGTAACTGTTTAGGATTTTGCACTTTTCTGAAGATACGAAAACGTTAACTGAAGTAAATAGCTTTGGAACGGAAGAAACATGGAGCTATGTGGCGATAAAGATGTTTGATAACAGAGTATACGCTGTTAATACGATAGGAGAACTAATCGTCTACGAGAATGTAAGTAGCGTTTTGTTGGATTTGTAGTTTGTTAAGTATTAATATATTTTGTATTAGGCGAATCGCTCGGAGATTTAAAATTTGTTTGTTATACGCAAATTTTGTTATAGATCAGTTTATTATACAGAGGGCTACTATATTTAGATTGAGTAAAATTTGAAAGCGGTTTTAAAACTTAGTATCAAGCTAAAATATCGTAATTTTTGTGATTCTAGACCCAAGAAGTATCGAAAATAAAAATCGAACAGAATTCATTAAGCACGTTGAATTTGGAAATGGTAAAAGAAGACCATTTTCTTATCATTGGATCAGTTTCTGGTACTTTAACGGTAGTCAAAGTACAAGGTATTCGAATGAAAGTTGTTGCTCAAAGTATTCAGCATGCTTCTACTGTTACAGGTAGATTTTTAAATTTTTTTAAATTGAATTTTTTTCATTTGTTTGTTACCGTAGCTATTAGTTGAGCTAATCTTTTTATTTGTAAAAGGGATGTTTGACTAGTCTAGAAAAAAGCCCGTTTTGTGGTTTGGAATCCGGCTTTCTGGCCCACATGTGCCGGGTTTGGTCTACCTCAAATTTGCTTCAGCTTGGATTGATCTTTTGTTCATTCATGAGCAAGACAAGTATTTTTAAATGAATAGCTTTAAAATCAGATTTTCTTTACACTTTTTGAAATTGAAATCTCCCGTTGCGGGACTCAAGCTGGGCTTCTGGAGCCATAATTTAGAGCCGTTCCTCGGTCTCGCACGATTTGGTCCGGCTGTTTTTAAATTTGTTGGTCGTTTATGTCTACTTTTGGCTAGTTTTGCTTGATTGTGTGTTATATTACTTCTCTATTAGGTAGTTCAAATATTAATGTTCATTTTTGATTGCTAATATTAAACAACGCAATTTTAGACATTGATGTAGAGGTAAAAGAAGGAGGATTAGAATTGATATCAGTCTCATTGGATCGTCGGATGGTTATATCTCGCTATGATGATGAAAAGGTATGTAATTTTCATTATTTTTCAAAAATTGAACTTTTATTATAAATACTGCTGTTTACAGTGTTGTTCATAATTGGAGTTCATGAAAGTATGGTTTGTTAGAATCTTATTGCTTGGGTATTTTTTTGGTTTTTTAATTTGATTTTCCTTTCAGAAAGCCTTGAATGTCTCAAGAATTACTTGTTTAACTACTGCAGATCCATCATCTGTGGTGAAAGTTGAAAACTTGTAAGTTTATATGTAAAAATGTGAAAGACGGTTTATATAACCATATTATTGTTAGTGCCGGACGAAAAATTTTGTTTTGTAAGGAAGGGACGTAGCGGGAGGGATGCTTGGGGTGGATAAACTTCTAGCTGATTCGAAAACAAAAAGTTACAGGTAACTTTGATGTTTTTTCTTGTATAATGAATTTACAAAGTACCTGTGAACCAAAAAAATTTTTTTTGTTTATTACTCCTCCCGCTCCCCCCTGGACATGAGAAACGGGTCGGGTCTAAATTTTAGGCCCGCCCTGATCGAAATTTTGCTCAAGGCTCGGCCTGAATTTTTTTACGGGGAATGGGCCGGGCTTGAATTTTAGGCCCGGCTCGATCTAAATTTTGCTCAAGGCCGGCCCGGCTTTCTTCTCATGTCTACTTCCCCCCTCCTCCTACTTTAAAAAAAATCTGTAGCGACGTTCGTGCTGGGACGGGTATTGTTTTGTAAAAGCAATAAGGAGGTAATTTCTATAAGGTTGTTCAAATAATTCTGTGTTTTCTTTCAAAACGAATTTTCGGGGTTAGGGCCACAGAATTATTTGAAGAACTTGATATAATTTAGCTTTGTGTCTATGAACGTGTCTTATGAGAGGTGGGGGAGTTTTCAAGAGAGATGATTTCAATTAAAAATTTTTTTTTGTCAAAAAGTATGAAAACTGCTTTCAGAAAGACCGTACTGATAGCTGGCTACGGACTAGAAACTGTAAAATTATGATTTGGTTTTGAAGCTTTAAAGCCTTGCCTTTTCGATGTTGTTGTTACTATACTAGTGTACGATACAGTTGTTCAATCTGAATGATCTACACATCGAATGCGATGAACATCTCTGTTGTATCTATTAGATATGAGGATCTTCGTTATGGTATCTATCGCTACGATGAACCTCCTTGTTGTATCCATTAGCCATGATATGGTGCATATCATATACGATCAGTTATGGTAATCATAAAATACGATGAACCACAATGTTCTATCATATCAAAACACTACGTCCCCAACCTTGTTTCACACATCAGATACCTCCAACCTTGTTTTACACTTTCTCACCACCGAAACCCCCACCTTGTTGAACCCATATTGTTATTATGAATGGGCATGTTGTTCATGCCCGTTTTGTTGTTATTTGGTTGGGAAATGAATGAAAAGTTTTATCAAAGTCTATTCGGGTTCGGGCCTCGGCATTTGGCCATAAATCTGAAACAAACGCAAAACCGGGCGCAGAGAGCGCGCTGATTGAAGAGACGTACAGAGAAATGGATGGAAATAGTGAGAAAGGGTGAGAGACGGTGAGAGAGGAAAAGAAATCAGAAAAAATGGGGGAGTATACCGGAGAGGAAAGGACATAGAGTGGGGAATGATGAGAGGGTTAGAGAAAAAGTATAGGAGAGGATGGATAAAAGAAAAGACGAGAGAGTGTGAGGAATGAGGAGGGTGGAGGAGGAAAGTTGGGACGAAAATGAGAGGGGAGTGAAGGAAAAAGCAAAATATAACGTTTTCGGAAGAGACGACAGAGAAAAAAGTAGAATATGGTAAAAATCATGATTTTTACAGAGTAAAATTCATATGACTAACGTTTGTATCCTCAATGACATTAACTTGTATGAAAATGTATTGAAGCTATCGTTCATGGCATACAGGTCAAGTTCTATAGCTTTAGGGAAAAATTTGAAACGGCCAAAATCTTGTCAAAACCCCGCTTTATCTTCATAAAAACCCCTCTATTATACATAAAAACAGATGTTCGATACATAACACGGCATTATGATATAGCACACCATAGTAGAAACCCCCAGACACAAAAACAAATTCGGGAAAAGAGTGAAACAGACGAAAAAGCGGGGATCTGCAGCCACCTCTCCTCCGACCAACTGACTCGAGAAAGCGAAAAAATCGTGCTCCAAATCCCTTTCCGCCTACCTTTTGCCCTTACCCGCCTCCAATAATTTGAAGCCCCCGAATTATTAGCGGGTAAATTGCGGGCATTTTAATATTGGCAGGGGTAGATTGCGAAATTTTTGGTTTTACGGTGTAGATTGGGGAATTTTTGGGTTTCAATTGAAGATTTTTTAAATATTTTGAACCGTATTTCTTAAAAAATTTTTTGTATTTTTAATGTTGTTTTGGAACGAAATTTGAGGTTTTTTAAACACTGCTGAGGCTATTTTACAGAATTTTTACGTTTTAAATGGGAGCTTGTGGGTTAAAACTACGTTTTTAAAGTATTTTTTTATTGAAAAATGAACGTTTTTTTTTATTTTAAATGTTATTTTGGGCTAAAATTCAAGGTTTTTTGAAAGAATCGATGGCTTGAGGCTATTTTATAACATTTTTACAGTTTTAAATTGCATTTTCGACGCTGAAACTTTATTTTAAAACAGAATTTATTTAAAAATGGACAATTTCTTTGATTTTCAACGTTATTTTGTGCTAAAATTTTGGGGTTTTTTTTGAAAGAATCGATGGCTTGAGGCTATTTTATGGAATTTTTACTTTTTTAAATTGCGTTTATGAGGCTAAAACCATATTTTTAAAGTGTTTTATATTGAAAAATGAACATTTTCTTCGATTTTTAATGTTATTTTGGAGCAAAATTCAAAAGTTTTTGGAAAGAAGCAAATGTTTTGAAGCAGTTTTATAGCATTTAAAAGCCAAACTTTAAGGTTTTTTAAAATAAAAAACGGATTTTTTAATTTTTTTTCAGTTTTAACTAAATTTTAGTATAGTGGAACTCTCGTATAGCGAATCGTTCAAGGATTTTAGATTTGTTTTTTATACAGAAGTTTTGTTATAGAGGAATTCGATATACCGGACTTCTTAAAAAATAAGGTTTGCTTTACAAGAGTTTGTTATACAGGGTTTTTGTTATTCAGAAGTGTTATTATTTTTAACCCGAAAATTGAGATTTAAAAAAATTTCGTTGCCTTTATGAGTCATCCAGCCTCAAGCTACTTTTCTTATGAGTTTTGAAGCTTGTAAAAAGTAATATTTTGAAATTTGTTTTTAAAAAAAGTTCAAATTTTTGAAAAAATGAAAACTGACATTTTTTTAAAAGTTTGAAATTGAAAATGAGTCAACTAGAATTATGCCATTTTTTCTTGTGATCATCAGTGTTTTGCCGGACCCGTCCGGTCCGGACCGGACCGGAAAAAATTTTTTTTTTATTTTAATAAAACTGTTTTAAAAATTGCAAATAAAACATATTTTTTAAGAGTTTTTAAACGTAAAGAAAGCAGTTTTAGCGCTGCTGGCTCTTTTTAAAAATAAAAAAAAATTTTCCAATTTTTCGGACCGGACCGAAAAAATTCTCATCCGGACCGGTCCGGCAAAAAACTGGTGATCATGTCTTTAAAAATTGAATGTTTTTAAATTTTTGAAATTTTATTTTTAATTTTAATTGAAAATGGCTTAACTATTTAAATTTACTAACTGTAAGCCTAAATTTACTTATTTTTTGAAAATTTTATAGTTACCTCTTTTACTAAAAATTGCCTAAAGATCAAAATTTACATACTTTATTTACTTAAAGTCCCTAAAACAACAAGCTTTTTCCTAAGCTTTCATCAAAAAATTTTCATTTTTTGTTTTCCTTTAGTTTCTATAACAATGAGGCCAAATCATTCCTCCAAAAAACGTTGTGCACAGCTTTTCTTAACAGTGTTTAAGGAAATTGCCTTAAGCGATCGGAATTGTCGAAACAAGAGCCCGAGTTTGTAATGCGTTTCGAATGTTTTGGCCTGATTGTAAGTCGAAAAAGAAACAGATACGAACAATAATTGCCTTCTGACGCTCAGCCTGCTTCTTGGCTTGTCTTTGCTTTGATGTAGGGTAGTTTTGGTTGGGTGGGGTAGATGTAGGGGTAGTTTGGGTTATAATAGGCTGGGGTGAGGGTAGTTGAGGTTATCATAGTCTGAGGTACTGGTAGTTTGTCTTCTAATAGGCTGGGGTAATAGTAGTTGAGGTTATAGTAGGCTCGGGTGAGGAGGTTTTGGGTTATAATAGGCTGGGATGAGGGTAGTTAAGGTTATCATAGTCTGTGGTAATAGTAGTTCGTGTTATGTTAGGCTGGGGTGAGGATAGTTAAGGTTATCATAGTCTGAGGTAAGGGTAGTGTAAGTTATAATATTCTTGGGTAAGGGTCTTTAGGGCTATAATAGGCTTGGATAGGGGTAATAAGTCTTTGTGTTTGGATATTTAAACTTATCTTATTCTAGAGCAAATTTACTTGGGTTAACTGTAAGTATGGTAAAGATAATAATGCTTATCCTAGGCTAGTGTAAAATATTATAGGCGTATGATACGACAGGGTAAAGGATTTTAGGTTGATAATAAGTTAATGTCAAGAATTTTAGATTTATATTAGGGTAAGGTAAAAGATTTTTTAATTTTATATAGGATAGGATAAGGTCATTTTCATAGCAAAAACATTGTGAACACAATAGCCATTACGAGTGTTTAAATGAGTATCAAATTACTATAGTTGCTTTATTTGCATATGCCTTTACTGTCGTCGCTTAAAGACTATATAACAGCTTAAACAAAATGTTGCTATTGTTTTTAATTTCTTTACAATAAACTTTTTTTATTTGTTTTGTTTTATTGGTTTTAAAATACGTACAATGTCGTATATTACTTTACTTTTTCCATGTCGTATTTTACTTTTCTTTTGCTTATTTGTTTCTTTAGATCTTTACTATTAGGTCGTTCAAATAGTTGGTGTGCCCACTATCAAAGAAAATTTTTGGGGTTAAGGGGCACTAAATTATTTGAACATCTTAATATTTTAAAACGCATGTATTTTCGTATTTTAGCTTTTTTCATTTAATTTAAATATAGAATACGACATCTTTTTGAAATTTGGAAATGGATTTTTTTATTTTTGCTATTATAAATCGTATTTTAGCCATTAATGGGAGTTCAAATGGACCAGATGAATGGCCTGAACGGTACGTTGAGCGCCGACATAGACAACTTCATTTGCCTGCGCTGTGGCGAAGGCTTCGGGCCAACCGAACAGATTGTCAACTCGAATGGCCAGGTTTGGCATGGCGAATGCTTCGTGTAGGTTTCTTTGATATACTAGTAGAAAAGTTTTAAATGAACCTACATTTTTAAATTTGTAAGTGTAGCTTGGCCGGAAAGTCGAAAAAAGTGCTTGAAACACAATGCCAAATTGGCGGCAAACCAAAATAAATTAAATTTAAAACTCAAAAACGCGAGCTAAAATTTTTCATAGGTACTATTGGTAGTACAAAGAATTCATATAAAAATTTTGAGCTGATTCTCGGGGCAGGTTGGGTACTTTCCTTGTTAATTTAAAATTTTAGTCAAAAAAGTAAGTGACATTGTGAATAAATGTTAAAAATGTTAAATAATGTATTCAATATGAGTTATACACCCTTTTCAGATGTTCACAATGTTTCCTGCCGTTCGAAGATGGAATCTTTTACGAATTCGAAGGCCGAAAGTACTGTGAACACGACTTTCATGTTCTCTATGCTCCATGCTGTGGAAAGTGCAGTAGGTTTTTTATCTTTAGCTTGTTTTAAAGGTTTAAAATTTGGAATTTTCAAAATAGTAGGAGCTAAAAAAAGGCTAGAAATGAGCTGATCAGCTAGAGAACAAGGTTTTGAATTGCTTGAAATTATATATAATGTTTTGAAATGGCTCGAAATGATTAAAAAAGAGTTTGAAATGGCTTGAACTTAACAAAAATGGGTTTTAAAGTGCCTAAAATTAGCAAAAAAAGAGTTCATAAACATTGAAAATTGGCTGAAAATTGCTAAAAATCTTTAAAAACACCTTGAAACTGTTAAAAATAGTTCGAAATAAGGCAAAAAAGCCTAAAAATCTTTGTACATTTTCAGAAAAATCATTAAAATTAAAGATTTTGTCGAAAAAAGTCAACTTTGGCTGCTTTGCTGCAAAAAGAATGGCATTTTTTAAATAATTTTGAGTTTTTAGTAAGAGAAACAAAACAGTATAATATAAATTTATAATATCTTTAAAATACTGTAATCTAGCTTAATATAACCATATAACCTCATAATCTTTCAGACGAATTCATTGTGGGCCGAGTAATCAAGGCCATGAACACGAACTGGCATCCAGAATGTTTTACCTGCGAAATGTGCTCCAAATGCCTGGCCGATATTGGATTCCTGAGGAACGCTGGTCGCGCACTGTGCCGTGAATGTAACGAAATTGAGAAGGCTGCAGGAACAGGACGATACGTTTGTCACAAATGTCACGCTATAATCGAGGACGAGCACATCAAGTTCAAGGGCGACAGTTATCATCCTTATCACTTCAAGTGCAAACGTTGCGAGTAAGTACTAAATAGTAACAGTACTCCTAAAGTAATATATTATTAAATTTCAAGTTGATTTTTAAAATTTTTTCAACTTTTTAGGGTCGAATTAACGAAGGATGCAAGAGAAATTGGTGGAGAACTATATTGTCTACGATGCCACGACACCATGGGTATACCGATCTGTGGTGCTTGTCATAGACCGGTTGAGGAACGAGTTGTTACTGCGCTGGGCAAGAATTGGCATGTTGAGGTAGGGCATTAGTTATCAGAATGTATTAGGTGCCGACATAATGAACCCACCATACTTTGCCTGCAATTTCCTGTAAAAAATGGCTGGTTCTTTATGTCGGTACCTAATATTTTGTCGTATTTTACATTTTATCACTGTTTTGGATATTTTGAAATTTGAAATTGGCTATCATTATATTGTAGTAAGTATAGTCAATGCATAATAAGTTAATTTTTATAGATTACAATTTTTAAAATTTAAACTTTGTAGCACTTTGTCTGTGCCACATGCGAGAAGCCATTCATGGGCCATAAACACTACGAACGAAAAGGTTTGGCATATTGTGAACAACACTTCCACCTTCTGTTTGGCAAAGTCTGCTTCAAGTGTTCGAAACCGTGCGGCGGAGAAGTGTTCCAAGCCCTGGGTAAAACATGGTGTGTCAAGTGCTTCAGCTGCACGTTATGCGACAAGAAGTTGGATCAGAAGTGAGTTGATTTTTTAAAATTTTTGGGTTTGGAAAGATGGATTTGGACATGGTTTTTGGGGTTAGGCTGGTTTAATGTGGCCTAGGTTATTTTGCGTAACTTTACTGTACTATTGTATCGTACCCTACCCTACGCTACTCTACATTATCTCAATTTACCCTACCTTACTCTGCTTTACTCTACCCTACCCTATCCTACCCTACCCTACCTTTCTCCACATTATCCCACATATAGTTCCTTACCCCTTACCCTGACCTACTTTATCCTACCCTACTTTACCTTGCTCTATTTTATCTTGCCCTAACGTACCCTTAAAGTGGTAGGTTAGAGGTTTTACTTTTAAATCTACCTTGATCTTTATTTTATCTTGCCCTACCCTACTTTAATGGTAATGTTTAGGGTAGGGTAAGAAAAGTGTAGGACAGGATATTAGGATAGAGTAGCTTACCGTAGTTTTGAGTAGAGTCTGTAAAGAGACGTTAACTTAAATTTAAAATTAGTGTAAGAGGTAGCACTTGAAAATAGTATTTTACGACGATTGTACTCTACCGATACTACCAAATTGGTTAAACACACTTTGAGCTGAAAACTGTACATCATAGTTAATATCAAGCTTTGAGAAACCAAAAAGAAGATTCAATAAATTATGAAATAATCCAAAAAATTCAAAGATTTAAAAAATTTTAAAATTTCGAAAGATAAATTTTAAATTTCAAAAAACATTTAAAATACTCAAAAATAAATTGAAATTTTAGAACAAAGTTCTACGAGTTTGACATGAAACCCACGTGTAAACGGTGCTACGATCGTTTCCCTACCGAATTGAAAAAGCGCATTTCGGATAATTTGAAAGAGCGCGAAGTCGACACGATTCGGCGGAGAAGCGCCTCGCCCGCTCCAACCAAAACTAAGTAAAGTCTATTGTAAATTATGCGGTCTGTCAATGAATTTTTGGTCTGTAGGCTTGTGTATGGCTGTATAGGGCTATAGGGCTTACATAGGGATCTATAAGGATGTATAAGGCTTATGTAGGTTTGTGTAGGGCTGAAACAGGCTATTACAGGCCCTTGATAGGCTTATGTAGGGCTTGTACAGGCCTTTATTGGCCTTATATAAGTTTACATAGGACTGTGTAGACTTATATAGATATACATAGGATCAATTTTAATATGGGTCTATGTAGACTTATGTATGATTATGTAGGTCTTATAGACCTATGTATGATTATGTAGGTCTTATAGACCTATCTATGACTATGTAGGTCTATATAGACCTATGTATGAATATGTAGGTCTACATAGGACTATTAATTTATATATTGATCTACATACTATTATGTATGTCTATATATGTCTGTATAATACTATGTAGATCTGCATAGTGCCTTTAGATCTTTACTAGCCTTAGCCCTATGAAGCTTTACAACGCCATTTACCACGCCATAATCTCCAGTTTTTGCAATATTTTTTTACCAAAATTACCATTTTTTATTTTAAACTTATTATATATGCATTCTACAGTGTACCTTTCCCAGTATATCACATTATATACTGTGGTACCTAACTCCCCAGTATATGACCCTATGTATTGTGGTAACTAACCGTCCATTCAAATTTCTAAGTCATTCAAAGTCATTTTTTACTCTTTGAAAAGCTATTTTTAACTTTTTATTACCTAAACTTTTGATAATATTGTTTTACTAACACTATACATGATGTTATGCATCTTACCAACAATTTGAAATAGTTTTTTATTAGTATTTTTCATGTAGTTTTTACTTGTTTTTACCTTTTTTGTTGAGCCGTTTTCATTCTCTCAAAAATTTTATATTATCTATGACAAGATGGAGCTTCTCTTTGTTAAAGATAAGCGAAGATCTTTTCATTTTGCTCAAATCCTTGCCTAAAATATCCTTGTTTCTGCCATATATTTCGAAGTAGTAAATTGAAAAAAAAATTTTACTTTTTAAAACTTCATTCTACGTACTTTTGGACCAATATTAGGTGCTGACATAAAGAACCCGCCATTTTTTAAACGAAATTACAGGAAAAGTATGGCGAGTCCTTTATGTCGGCACCTAATATTTGAATTTTCTAAAATTTTTACCTATTTTGCTGATATTAACATAACCAAAAACGTTTCCGTGATAATACTAACAAAGCCGAAACAGTTTAGTGTAATATTTATAGAAGTCTGAATACCGTTAATATAAAGACAAAAGAGTAGCACTAGGTTATGCAAACAGAACCGATTACAATATAAAATGATAAGAGAAAGAAGGGTAAATACAACCGTAATAGGCACCTGGTTATTAAAATCACATATAACTGGATGTTATCAGAAAAGAAAGGAGCACTAGATGTTATTATAGAAAAAAGAGGGTTTATCATTGAAAAAGGGATGCTAATGTGGGTAACCTAGCATTTTTCATAGAATGACTGATGGTGTTTTAGGTTACCTAGTAGATAGAGATGTTTAATCTTAGTTCTTTGGCAGAAAAATCATATTATCCATAAAAAAAAGAGGAAAAAACTAAATATTAGGGCGAAAAAAAAGTTTTGTCGTTTTTTCACGTGAAAAAGCATGTTAATTTACGACAAAACTTTTTTATGGTCGATTCTTGACTATTATAGTCATGAATTTGCCATAAGGACGTTATAATAATATAAATATTAGGTTGTTCAAAAATTTCTGCGCTCCCTCCCCCACTCCGAAAATTCGCTTTGACAGGGGGCACAGAACTAATTGAACAACATAATAACTCTTAAAAAGGCCTCTGATAATATAAATAGCCCTTGAAAAAACCTACAATAATATATTAAGTTGTTCAATAAATTCGGTGCCCCTAACCCCAAAAATTTGTTTTTAGAGGGGCTCAAGGATTATTTGAACAGCTTATAACTCTTTTAAAGATCTAAAATAACATAAAAAGCCCTTAAAAAGACCTACAATAACATAAAGCCCTTAAAAACAATAATAAATAACCCTTTTAAAATCTCCAGCTATTAACATAACATTATTAACTCTATACATGATGTGTTGCTTCGTTGAGATCACTTGATTAGACTGCTGGCCGCGGCGTTCAAATCCCATTGGTGATTGTTGAGTATGAGTTGAGCGGCCTCCTTGGATGGGGAAAGGCCCAGCTCCATGAATTTGGCTAGTTTTAGGAACTGGACCGCCTTCTCGACCTCGTATTCGTGAGCACGCAAGGCTTTTGTACATTGTTCATGGCTAAAAAGGGGGATTTTAGGTAACAAACCATATGTTGATATTTTTTGTAGTTAACATATCATAAAGTAAAATGAGTTTTAGGTAACAATGCTCTTAAAAAATGGTTTATGGGTAACAAACTTTATAAAAGTTGGATTTGAGGTAGCAAAACTCCTGTTTTAAGTCGAAAAACAAACGTTTTTTTTACAAAAAAACTGATTTTTAACACGCGCCACTCTTTTCGCATCAAAAAACTTGTTTTTAGGTGAAAAAATCATTTTTAAGACAAAAAAATCTAGAAAATACTTTAAGACAAAATTTGTATTTTAACACGCGCCATTCTTTTCACATCAAAAAATTTTCAAAATATAACTTTCTCTCCCATTATATGGCCAATACCTATATGATCATAGTCAATTTCAATACAAACCCAATACGTACCTCGCAAAATCGGCATTCTTTTTCACGTCGCTGATCATACGATCAATGTCGAGATCGTTCAGATCAATCGGCGGTCCATTCGTTGCCTGCTGGACTGGTTTTTCGCTTTGTGGAAGTGGAGTTGGCATGAGGAATGGTATCGGTTGTTTTTGAGGTACGGTAGTCTTTGTGGTACTGGTGGTCGTCGGGTTGGAATGATTTGTTGTGAATACTTGGGATTTGGTTGGTACTGAAATGATTTAAAGTTAAGGTTTTTGGGTTAGGAATTATGTTGTAGTAGGCTGAAGGAGTTATATTATAGTAGGTTGAAGGAGTTATCTTGTAGTAGGTCTTTTTTGGCAACTTAGGCTAAAAAACTAACTTACCTTTACTATAACTCGCGGCCTTTTTGCCATTCAAAAGCAGATCAGAAGGCGGTGGGAGGAATGACGATACTGATGCATTCAACGATCCGTACGATGAGTCGAACGATGTTATACTTCTGGTGGTTCCGTAAGCAGAATCGGACAGGAAAGACGTGTTCTGAGCGACAGTAGTGCTGCTTGGTCCAGTTGACGGTCTGGTTGATGTTGGGACTACTGTTGTCGCTACAGATGTTGTTGAAGGCCTGGAGCCTGACGACGATATCTTGGACACAGAAGCCGATGATACGTTGGAAGACGATACCTTAGCTCCAGAAGGCATTGTAGCGTTAGAATAAGATGCTTTTGATCCAGAAGCTATCGTCGGATTGAGAGGAGCTGAAGATCGATTATTTGAACCAGAAGCCGCTCCAGATGACAGCACAGTAGCAGTTTGTCGATTCTGTGTAGCCATAGCTAAGGCCGAAGTTGAAATCACAGAATCTGGGTCATTTGGGATGGCGTGAAGTTTTGGTACACTGGTTAGTACTGTTGGTACTCCCATTTTGGCCAAGTTTTCTTTGACGTTAGGATTCTGAATTGTCATGGTATTCTGATGCGCTAGACCTTGATGATTCTGATTTCCCAAAGCTTGATGATTCTGGATTTCAGCCAGATTCCCTTGCTTTTGTTGACCATTAGAGCCATTTGAAGTGCCAAACACGGTAGTTGAAGCCGGTCTTTGTAGGAGACTTGAAGGCGGAAACACTGACGATGCTGGCCGGGCTACGGAAGAGCTTGGCCTTGGTCTTACTGTAGTTTTAAACGGATCTTCCGCGCTTTTTTGCTTCTGAATTTGGGGCTTTGATGGATGAATGACATTTGCCAGAGCTTTTGCTGGGTTTCCACTAGTACTTCCTTGGCTCGTACTGTTAGCATAACTGTTCGTACTAGCTAACCTTGATCCATTTGAAGCCCCTGACATTCCTTTTGATGTGGTAGAGCTTCCTGAAGGTCCTGCTAGCTGTTCTGGATTTCGTACACCCGTAGCATTGTTAATACCCGCTGATTTGGTCAAGTTTTGAGCATTTTCGGGTCCATTTGTACTTGAAGGTTGAGCAACTTTTGGGTTTTTAGCTACCAGCGGGTCGAGTAGGGCTAGGATACTGTTGTCTAAGGGTGTGAATTCCTTTGTGGTTCTAGCTGACTCAGCTCTTTGATGCATATGTGATACTGGGACAGACTGGCGCCATTCTGCTGGTCCGAAATTGGCTCCAAATTGACCATTTCTTGGGATGATATGGCCATTTATTGGTTCTGATGCATCGTTTTGGGCTGATGAGAAGCCATTTTGGCTTGCTGAGATGCCATTTAGACTAGCTGAGAAGCCGTTTTGGCTAGCTGAAAACCCATTTTGCGTACCTGATGTACCATAAGCACCACTTTGTCCACTAAAGCCCCCATTTTGACTGATCTCAAAGCCTGCCGCTGCCAAATTCACATTCAATGGCTCCTTCAAAGTCAGGGATTTGATAGAATGGTCGATAACAAAGGGATCTGGTTCACTTCGATTGACTTGGAATGGTGATTGATATGTTTGTGAAGGTAGTTGTGTCGTCGATTGTGAGGAAAATTGTGCCGAATTATGTTTTGATTGTGATGTTGTAGTAGGTTGAGAAGGGAATTGAGTTGTGTTTTGGGAATGGAACTGAGTAGTTGAATCGGTATGCGCTTGAAATTGAGTAGTCGAAACATTCTGGGCTTGGAAGTGTGTTGTAGTAGGTTGATCATCAAATTTGGTTGGGAAGTCGGTAGTGCCGGATGAAGGTTGGAAAGCGTTTTGGGAGGGTTTTGGACGGGGTATTGCTATGGCTTGGCTGTATTCTGGAAAAAAATTATTCGTTTTTTTCAAATTTCAAAAAAATTTTTTAAGCCCCTAGGGGGAAGAAAATGTTCGTGTAGGTCCGGCCCTACGATCGGGCAAGGTCGGCTTCGAGCTAAAGTTGAAACGAACCGGACCTAAAAGTTGGGCCTGGCCCGATGATCGGTCTTAAAAGGTAGGCCTGGACCCAAAAAATTTCAGGTCTGGCAATGCCTAGTTTTTTGGCGGGGCCGGGCTGGTCTGAGAAAAAATGAAGCCTGAACCGGGCTTCAAAAGTTGGCCCGGTCCGTTTCTCATCACTACGCCAACCAACCCTCGCCAAAGACTAGAGATGGTCGGGCTTAAGCAAAAGAAAAACCCGGCCGGCCCTATAACTAAGGGCCCGATCCCCATGTCTCAAAAAAACCTACTAGAATGGTTCTGCGGCGTGCTAGACCTGGGTTTCTGGCCCACCAAACCGGCTTCCATTCCCATTTTGGTGGACTTGAGAAGGTCTTCCGTGATGTTTGTTGTCCTGCGTCGTTCCGGATCGCCTCGTTCGTGCGTGTTTGTCCTAATTCTTATTTTCTGTTGACTTTCGAGTTCATCCATTACTTTGGGGTCGAGGTCCCACGCCTTCAGCGGGTCGAATTGGAGGGTCTCGACCGGTCGAACTACTGGAATAGGGAAAAGTTAGGTGTGTAGAGGAGAGATTTAGGTATGTAGGGGAGAAATTTAGGTTGAAAAGAGAAATTTAGGTAATAAAAATCAATTTTTTATTAATTTTAGGTAATAAAAATCAATTTTATGAAAATTTAGGTAATAAAAATCAATTTTTTATTAATTTAGGTAACAAAAATCAATTTTTTTTAATTTTAGGTAATAAAAATCAATTTTATGAAAATTTAGGTAACAAAAACACATTCTTTCGCAAAAACAGCTTATTTTATAATTTTTAGGTAACAAAAATAAACTTTTTTCAAAAACCTACCATTACCCCCCACTGGTGGCATGTTATTAGTCACAGTAACCCCCTCAATCTGCTGTATGTCCTCCTTTAACGCCGTAATCGACTGTATGAACGAAACTCCACGTTGTCGTGTAGCTTCATTGTACAACGGCTTCACGACCGGATTCTTGAGATAAACATCGTCGATCTTGTCGATTTGTCCCCAACACCGATTCTCGTCCATATCACCGTGCCCAGCGTGAATTAACGAGCCTGGCACTGGCTTGCTTATATTCGAATTGTCTTGAATGGCTGGTGTGGCGGTGATTGAGATGGGGGTGGAAGCGGTGACGGCTGTGGAGAATGGTGTTTGTTGTTGTTGTGAGGATTTGTGAGCTTTCACGGATATTAGGGACTTGGGGAAACGGCCGAATTTCCGGGTTCTGAGGCTTTGGCCATACCATTCGCTTTGGCTGCTGAAAAGAAGATGGGTAAAGTAAGAAAAGAATATAGTTTATATAATGATAAAATGGCTAATATGATCAAAAAATACGGTTTTGCTACCCAAAATTATCGAAAAATGTAAATCTAAATAATTTTTATTTCAAAAACTTCGAAAAGCTAAAAAAATAATGTTTTTGATACCTAAACTCATTAAAACATGTCATTTTTTCGCTGAAATTTTGATAAAAAATTAATTTTTGACCTCAAAAATTCGAAAACTCATCTTTTGTTACCTAAAATTCTAAAGTTCTGATGTTTTCCTAACGTTTTCACCAAAAAAAATTCAAAAACTTACTGTTCCCCAATCATAACGAGATGATCACCCTTGGAGACTTCCAAACAGTCGCTGTCGCCACTGACAAAGTCTTCCCTGGCTTCGGATGTTATGAAACGAATCTGAAGAGAACAACAAAATTTAAAAATTTTTTTTTAATTTGTAAAAAATACAGTATCTGTTCTGAAATCAGTTAAAAATATAAAATTTTGTCAAAACTTTGTTAATATTGTGTTATATTTGAATTATAATAGCTTAAATAAGTCTTGTCGTTTTTCAACAAAGGTTTGCCTGTTAAAAAGCGCAAAGACTTTTTTTGGATAATCTAATATTATAAACATTAGTTGTAGCCTGATTTTATAGCTACAATACCAACAACAAAGCCATAGTAATACGAAAAAACCCACCTCGTTCAAAATATTCTTGAGATGACTGAATTTGGGCCGCTTCTCCGGGTCCTTTTCCCAGCAAGTCAACATGATATTGTATAACTCCATGAGAGCTTTTTGAGGCTTCCTCAGCCGCTGTCCTTCTTCGGTTATGCGCAAAACCTAAACCAAACATTGTACTACGGCTGAAGGTTGTTTTACTTCCACTTTTTTCGAAAAAAAAGCGTTTTAGGTATCAAATTTTGGTCGTTTTTTAAATTTACATTTTATATATTATTTAAGCTTTAAAAGGTGATTTCACACCTAAACTTCTAAATAAAACCTAAAAACTTACATCAGCAGCCCTATTACCAGCCCAAGGTTCTTCTCCATACGTGTATAACTCCCATAATGTCACACCAAAAGCCCAGCAATCGGATTTGTGTGAGAATTGCCGGAATCGAAGCGATTCGGGAGGGCACCATGCAAAGGGTACCTTCTTCTGAGCTGACATTTCATAAAATCGAGCATTTTCGTCCAATGAACGGGTTAGGCCAAAGTCACAGATCTTTATTACCTAAAATTGGGGGAGATAAGGTTCTTGAGGGTTTTAACTTGTATTTTAGGTTTTAATTCATTTTTATTACCTAGAATTATTAAAAAATGCATTTTTCTTCCTATAATAACCTAAAAAATCAATTTAAATCGCCCAAAACCTCCCCACGACTCACAGCATCTTGTTGAGTCAATAACAAGTTCCTGGCGGCCAAATCCCGATGAACAACCCTCATTCCTTCTAGATACTCCATACCACTGACGATTTGAACAGCATAGTTCAACAAGGTCGTTACCTCTAACACAGGCTTCCTATCACTTCGCAATCGATTCAACAAAGCTCCTCCATCACAATATTCCAGTACCATCATCGTCTGCTCTCCCAGCACTATACCAAACAGTTGTACCACGTTCTCATGCTTTAGTTTCTGCATATTCCCAACTTCAGAAAAGAGATCTTCAAGCCCAGCATCAGTTATTTGATGTAGCACTTTAATAGCACACTCTTTTTTGGAATCTCCACGCTGCCAGAGGCCGTATCGTACTGAAGCGAAGGTGCCTTCGCCCAGTTTTTGCATGATTTTGAGCTCATCTTTAGGTATCAAACTGGGAGAAAAGGGATTCGAATGAGATTGATGTGGAGCTGGGTGTTCTACAGCTACTTCAATCACTTTTATCGTTTTCTGCTTTGATCCGAAAAGTTTTTTGGCCGTTTTCTTCCGTCTATCCAGCTCAAGCCTGAGGCGACGTATGGCTGGGGCTGACAGGCCATATGACTAAAAGGGCATAGTTTAGGTGATTTTTAATATTTTTATAAAAAGATTATTAGTGGGCTTGCAAAAATGTCATTTAGGGGTGAGAAACGGGCCGTCTAGGCCCGGCCCTACGATCGGGCCGGGCCGGCCTTGAAAATTGGGCCAGGGCTCGGAAAAAAATTTTTAATTTTTAAAAATTTTTTATTTTAATCCCCGTTGATGTTTTTTGATTTTATTGGGTACCATGATACATAAATGATCTAAAAAAAACAATGTAAAGCCAAATTTACGTTTATTTTTTAAGTTTTAAAATTTTTTAAATTTTTTAAAACGAGCCGGGCCGGGCCTAGAAAATTTTCTGACCGGGCCGGGCCGGCCTGAGAGAAAATTGAAAACGGGCCGGGCCTAAACGTTGGGCCCGGCCCTTTTCTCACCCCTAATGTCATTTTTACTCGTTTCCATCAAGCGAAAATTACATGGAAGCAAGAATCCATTAAAAAGCAGCTATACCAAGTGTAATATAGCCAATAACCCCTTCTTTTCTAACAATAAACCTTAACTTTTTATACTCAAAACAACCCAAAGAACCTGTTTGATCTTTGTATAGACGATTGATGCCTAAAAACATAAAATAAAATCAAAAATTACCTTTAATTCCTCATCGGTAACCACATCAAAATGTGAAATTCGAGTTAATTGCTTTTCTACTGCTAATTTATGTTCGAAACTTATAAGATCTGTTGAAATAAATGCTTCATGAAGAGATTGTTCTATTTGGACCATGGTAAATGCTGGAAATAGTTTTCATTAGCTTGGTTATATTGTTATAGGTATAGGTCATGTAGTTGATTGTAAAACGAGTTATTGACGCTTTAGGTAGGGATTTTTTGAGAAATATTGTAAGGAAGAATTTCGGGTATTTATTTATTCTAAACTAAAATTTGTTCAATTTGTAAATTTTAATTTATGTTGATGTAGACAATCATGGTCGATACATGAGAGAAACTTTGACAAAACTTTTCAGATCGATATAAAAAACAATAACCTGCTTCACGATAACATCTTGAAGATCTTTAAGATCGCTCTCATTAGAAAAGAGACCAATAACCTCCAAAAACCTCATGTTAACCACCAAAAGTCGTGTAATTAGCTAATAACACGTCCCCTTCGACTCTCCCAAACATTAATGAATTGACACACATACTGATAACAACCCCTCTTCCGGAAACTACGCTGCCCCGAGCCTTCTGGATGGTCAAACACATTGCTTCTTTTCAAACAGAGCTAGTTACCGCAATCTTTTGCGTTATAACAATTCTTTTCCTCCTCCGTCTCTTTTTCGCTCAAAAGAAATCCAAAAAAGTCAAAAAAGTGGTTGAAGTGAACGAGCAGATTAGTCACTCACATGTTGTTTAAACAGAGCTCCTCCAATTTATCAAACATATCACTTCAAACGCCGAGCCGATACGTTAAACTTTACAAAATTCGAACAAAAATATACAATTGTTCCGTCAAAACGTATAAAACCGAACCGGGAAATGTTAAAATCGTACAACGCATGTGGTTAAAATGTCTATTCGAACAAGCTTTATCCAATTTGATTCGTGAAAGCTCCTGAAATCGCTGTAATTGCGGTTAAATTCGACCGAAAAAAAAATAAATTTTACACGAGCGCATTAATTTGGTCCCGCCACGAAGATGTGTTTACACCTTTTCTGGATTTTCAGTTTAAAATTCTAGAAAATATGTCATCGTTGTTGAGTTTGGAGAAAAAATACGTAGATTGAAGACCAAATATTTTAGTAGAACATCAATACAATATTTTGGATTCAAAATATCGTCTATAGTAAAAAAAATACGTACTGTGAGCGTATATTATAGTAGATTTCGTTTGTTTTTCTTTTTTATTGAGTTCAAAACGGATTTACGATCAGAGCCAGAAGCGTTCATGTCTAAACGAAGGCATGAAGAGCCTCTATTTGACTCGACGGACACAACTAGCACGGTAAGAAGATTATATTGCTTTACTTTGGCAACTTTAGGCTTTTTAACGAAATATTTGAAAGAACTTGGGTGTTACCTATGATAACATATATAATTATTTTCACTTTACCTCCTAAAAGTTAAGTAACATATTTCAGAGTGTGTATAACCCGCAGAGGATACCAGATTTTACAAATGATTTATGGAAAATGTCGCGAGAACGATGGAAAGACCACATATTGAGGATGATAAAGGAAAACCAGGATTACATTGATGAAGAAGTTAATGGATATTATATCTTCTTGACTTCTAGCAATGTTGAGTTTATTTTTACGTTGTGTGTGAGGTTACAATTGCCGAATGACGTTCGATATTTGTCAATTTTGCTGTTTGACAGGTAATTTTTACTGTTTTTCTTGGTTTTTAGGTATAATTATGCTTGGAGTTGATTAGTTTTACGAAATAGTCTATTTGAATGTTGTTTTTATGGTTTCTAAAGATATTTAAAGGAAATTTGTTAGTCTTAAGATGTATTTTATATTGAACTAACTTAAAAACAACATTTTATATTGTTTTAGGCAATACTTGATAAAATATAATTTTAAGTAAAAGAATTGGTTTAAAAATGTCGTATTTTACAATATTTTGAAAGAAATAACGTCAAAGGTACGAAAAAATGTTAAAATATAGCTTTTCATGTTTTAAATACTTGTACTAATGCTAACTTTTTTGTTTTAGGTATATGACAACTCAAATTGCGTCGATTCATAACGAAGTATACTCATCCAAAGACGATGATGAATTGAAAGCCGAAAGATGGGGGAATGTTTTGAATCGGTTTTACTCGCAGTCGGTTTTACGGATTGTTTCTTGTCTATCTATCGCTGTTAAGGCTTTGTACTATAAGTTGGTGAGTTTTTATGAAAATCTTCACTGTTTTCAAATTTCTAACTGGCCCTTTGATAAAATTCTGAATTATATCCGTTTTTAAAGCTTTTTTGTTATTATTTTTTTATTTTACTTAAACAAATATTCTTTATATTGATGTAATATTGAGCTATAAGTGGGGACCAACATAAAGTTAATAATTTAGGTTGTTTTTATTAATTTTAATTCTGGACCTTTTTCTAAGCAAATTTTAAGGGTAAGGGGCACAAAATTATTTGAACACCCTAATAATATAAGTTTTAAAAATAATATTTTTGATGTTTCAATTTTTAGACATTAACCACGAAAAAGCAGTATCAGATACTAAGAAGTATGAACTTTATGTACGATGATGATGCTATACAGAGGTCGGAATCTCGAGTATTTTCCGCTATAATGTTTGAAATTAACATTAATCGGTCTCCAGTCTTCATGATTGAACACCATATCTGCTTTTTGAGTAAGTTGTGCATTATATTGTTGATAAAAGGCTATGCTTTGTTATTTTTTGACTAGCATATTGTTTCTTTTCATTGAGCAGCAAGTATATTGATCAGTTTTTTAATACATTGAGACATACTTCTATATTCAAGTTTCAGTAGACCAACACAAAGAGCTGATAGGACCAGTGGATCCGGAGGCGATATGGGAATACTCAATATTGTACTGCGACTTTGTCTATCTAAACTTGAATCCATTTTACTGCAAATTGTTTCGACAAATGCATGGCGAGCCTTCTGGAGTCAATGAAATTGCTCCGTGAGTTTATGTTTTGTTTCACTAGGCTGTACTATAACATTTTTTTATTGACAATGAAAGTACACTACCTGCCCCACTTAGAAACAGCTCAAAATTTTTGTATGTGTTCTTTGTATCACCAATAGTACTCATAAAAAGTTTTAGCTCACGCTTTTGAGTTTTAAAATTTAAATATTTAAGTTTCCTTCTAACTTGGCAAGTTTGGCATTGTGTTTCAAGCACTTTTTTCGACTTTCCACTTAAGCTACGCTCACAAATTAAAAAGTGTAGGTTTATTTTAAGATTTTCTACAAGCATATTAAAGAAAAATGATTAAAAGTCAAAAAATGACAAAGTTATAAGCTTGAAACACAAAGTCAATTTGGCGGAAAATTCAAAACGTAATTTTTTTGATCTTGATTTTTTCGAGATTTCATGCGAAGCGCGCTTTAGTACCTTCCTGAACGGCTTATACAACATGGTCTTTCTATATATAAAGTTTGAAGTCAATCAGAGCGGCGTAGGTTGCGCACCTTCCTTGTGAGCGGTACTGTAACATTTTTTATTATAAAATCTAAAATAGCTAGCGAAAAAGAATAACATTATTTTTGTATTGTAAAATACGATGTTCTGTTGAACTTCTGATAATTTTTTAAATTTTCAGTGAAAGAATCTGGAAACTAGAAGCCGATTACCTTACACTAACCAGCAGTGTTGTTCTGACCTCAATTCACGTGTTACATGGCGATGAAAAGGTTCGAATCGTGGCGAATTTGTTTCGCAAACATATGAAGGTGGATCAGCAAGAAATGATTGAATTTGTCACGGTTTTACGAGACATGATATTGGAATACGAACCGGAACAACCTACTATAATATTGCCGGAAGAGTTGTTGGGACTGAAGAAGGTGAACGGGTCGTATTCACCGAGTATATTCTGATGAAAGGTGACTGTTGTACTCGCCTTGCTTATTTTGAGGTATGTTAAGTATGTTGATAGTAAAGTATAGGATAGAAAAATATTGTCGTTGGTGCAGATTGGATTGGAAATTCAGCAACGACAAAACTTTATGGCACCTCAGTAGTAGTATAATAGAATTTTTATGTTTTTGAGGATGGAAATGAGATTATAAGGCTAAGGCTTTGTTAAAGAATTTATATTTTGTTAATTTTTAACATGTTATAACCAAAAGATAGTGTAGTTTAATGTAGTATGTATACGCCCACATATTATTGTAACCAACTTAAAACTTGTTGATTGTTATGTTGTTTATTATTGATATTGATTACTAATTTGTTACTTGTTTCCAACATTTATTGTAGCGATAAATTAATCGTTAACTATATATTTTAGATTTTTTATGCTTTACTGTCAGGTTTTGTCATTTACCGTCAAATCCTGTCGATATTTTTGTCAATTTATGGTAAAAATCTTTATTATCACAAAATAATTTATATTGTACACCAAGAAAACCGAAATTATGCATGAATTTAGCTTTAGGAATAGACGAAATAAGTGAATAGGGAAGGATAAATAGCTATAAATTAGATTAAATATCAATATTTTATAAACTATTAGGTTGTTCAAATAATTATGTGCCCCATAAGTCAGCAAATTTGCTTTGAGAGGAGGCACAGGATTGTTTGAACAAATTGATACAGCAAAAACATGAATATGTTACACAAGGCAGGTAATTACAAAAGAAGCTTAGAACGTTCTGCTTAGGACGTCCGGGTACAAAGACTTAAACTTAAATATAGATAAATAGGTCTAACTTATTGATAAAAGGCTAAATTAGCAAAAAAAGCCATAACTGTAACCTAGTAAAGCAAAAACACTACATCTATAACAATATAACTCAATAAATAGGCTTATACTTTTTAAGCTCAGCAATAATAACCGGTGCACCAACAAGCTCGCTTTTGGCTTCAGTACATTGACTAAACGCTTCGTGATACAATAATTTGTTGAATCGTTGGTAATAGTTAACGAATTGAGTGAAGACGGCTTGCAAAACAGTCGAACCGACCTTGAAGTTGGTGAAAGATTGTAGAATCTCTTTGTTGATCTCTTCAATCGACTTTTTCCATTCGGCTACAAACGCTCGTACTATTTGGGTCACTTTGCCTAAAAAATATTTTTTAGTATTAGTACTCTTAGAGCTCTTATAGTTAATATTGGTACTCCTTGAACTCTTATAGGTAATATTAGTACTTTTGAATCTCTTATGGTTAATCTTAGTACTCTTTGAGCTCTTGTGGTTAATATTAGTACTCTTTAAACTCTAAAGATTAATACTAGTCTTCTTGGACCTTTTATGGTTAATATTAGTACTCTTTTAGCTCGTATGACCAACATTAGTACTCTTCTTATGGTTATTATTAATACTACCGAACTATTATGGTTTATATTAGTCTTTGAAAAGTTAAATTTGATAAATTGCCAAAAACTTGTCATAAAATAAGCATACCTGTAAACCTGGACAATTGTTGAGTATGACCTTGTTCAACATGAGGTTCAACTTCATTGACAAATTGAATTAGGGCGTTGAAATGAGGGAACAATACCTCCTCCACGAACGCTCTAGTCTTTGTTTGTAGCGTGTTACAAAATTCGGTACGTTCTTTCGACTCGTCCAGGACCTTTTCCTGAAAATTAGCCTTTTAGTGTGGTTTAAAATTTGAAAAAGTCGTGTGATGACCTGCTAGATTGTTCTACAACTGTATAGAGGGCTTATTACAAAAATAACATATTCTAACGACAGGTCGAAAAGTCCGTAGAACAGTGAAGGCTTTTCAATCAGAAAAGTCTTAAAACTAATCGATTCTGCGTAGCCTTGATTTATTAGGTTGTTCAATTAATTCTGTGCCCCCTTTCAAAGCAAATTTTCAATGTTAGTAGGCACATAAATATTTGAACAACCTAATATATCAAGGTTATTCCGAATAGCTTAGTTTTAAGACTTTTCTGACTGAAAAGGTAAAAAATCACTGTTCTACGGACTTTTCGACCGGTCGTCTGTCGTTAGAGTATGTTTGGACACCAATACGTTTCTTTCGTTAGAATGTGTCAGGGAAGAATGTTGTAAGACATTTGTTATAGATTAGTTTATTAACTTACGTCCAGCACAGTAAGAATAACATCATAGTTATTGATCTGGAACACTAGTCGATCCTTTTTCCTTTTCATTTGTTGGCTGTACCGATACAGGAAGCCTTCCAATTCTTGTTCTTGCTTTGTTAGTATGTTCTACAACGGAAACTTTATTATTGTATTAGGAAGACTTAATGTTTTATCAATCTCAACTTGAACCTGAAGGCACCAAGCAAAAAACAGTAGTTTGTCGCCTTTTTGTAATGTAAAATACGTTGAATAGCTCTAGTTTGAGCTAAAACGGCTTCCAAGCCCCAGTAAAAACCTCACCTGTAACCTCTCATCCATCTTTTTGCCACTCAGATTGATACAAACCAAGAATGCGCTCAAGAATTCGGCGTATCGTCTCACAACATAATGCGGTTTATTGTCGGTACTCATCTTCTTCGCATCCAAACTCCTCAGACTATCCGTATGAAGCCCCATAACATGTTCGAAGCGTGTCCATAGGAGCTGGGCCATAGTTTTGAGGTAGTTGTCAATCGAAATGACACTTCTTTCCGCCATTAATTCACTGTATTTGGTACATAGGCATATGCATAGGAATAGGGAGATGGCATCGTAGTTTGCGTTGATCTTCTCTTCGAGGCTCTTCTGGAAAATAAAATTTGGTTTTTGACCGTATTATAGTACTCGATCTTAAAGGCCTTTACCTGATATACTATGTAAGGTATTATTAAGGCCAGTGTTTTGCCCGGACCGGTCCGGAGCGTTTTTCACCGGTCCGGTCCGGCGATTTTCGGGTCCGGTCCAAACTTCAAATTTTTGGGTCCGGTCCGGTCCGCAAAAAAAATTTTTTTTATTTTTAAAAAAAGCCAAGAGCGCTAAAACTGCTTTCTCTACGTTTAAAAACACTTAAAAATATGTTTTCTATGCAATTTTTAAAGCAGTTTTGATAAAATTAAAAAAAAATTTCTTCCGGACCGGTCCGGAGCTTTTTCTTCGGTCCGGGTCCGCAGGATTTTGTGTCCGGACCGGACCCGTCCGCGGACCGGTCCGGCAAAACACTGATTAAGGCCCTACTTCTAGTATAATATAATTTTGATTTTTTAAGATTAAAATCATACCTGTAGCTGAACGATGCTTCGTTCCATAACTTCAGAAAACAAATCCACAGCTGATTGCCCTTCCACCATGAAGAAGTCACATAAAAATAGGAATTCATGGCTACAGTGATCGACTAATGCATATTGAATCGATCGGAATAGGCTTTCAAATTGGTACTGAAATGAATTCCATTAGTTTGGTAGTACTGACCATTTCAGAACCTTAGAAAATTACCCTAAGGCGCGCCTTTTATCACTTTTTTTCATATTAAAAAAGACAAGTAACGTACTTGTTCACCAGCTTGTAATGCTGCATGTGGTACTATCAATGGCGATAAAAAGTCGGTAGTTAATAGTGAATCTCTGGTTCCAAGAGAAAACACTGTGGCTTTGCTTCTGGTCTGAAAAAGCTTTCTTATCTGTGATACTAACATAATACTTCATCATCGCCAAGTACGGTAGAACTCCTGCATAACGAAGTCCTTTATGACGAAAATATCAGTATAACGAACAACTTGGCTATTACCTGAACCTTGGTGCCGAAAATATTTTGTAAATTTGGATAGCCAGTTTTGGGCGCATCTTCTGCTCCAAGTAGGTCTTCTTTCGTCGCTGAATCCGGCATCTGAAGCTTGAACAATCGAGAGACGTAGGTCTTGAAGTAGCTGAAGAACATTTTGCTCACTGCATCTGTGTACTCGTCCTTTATCTAAAATAAGGTTGTTTCATTATTCTTTAATTAGACAAAAAATCTGTCCTTTTGTTTATGAACTTTTAACTTTTTAGGTATGCCATGATAGGGTTAAAATACGATACAAAAACACAAAAAATAGATAAAATACGATGGCAAGAGACAAGGCCTCAATATCTTGGGACGCAGCATTTTGTTTTATTTTTTTTTGTTTTTCTCTTTAGAATTTTTTTTTGAATTATGAAAGTCTATGAATTCAACGTGAAACGAATGGATTTCATTCCTTTTTTGCAACTTTTCAACATCGGTCGGCTTCTGAACGCGAATCTGAACCAGAGAAGAAACCCAAAACAGTCGAGAACTAAAGCAAGAGGACATAGGAAATATCATCATAAGTTTCGGTAATTGTTCATTTTGCCTTTGTTTTTAGTATTTTTGGCAAAAAATTGGTTTAGCCTTCTCCCAAAAGGGTATGGTGTTGTCGGTAAGGGTAGGGAAAGGCAGGTCAGGGCATGGCTTTATTTGTCTTCCTTTTTTACTTCACTTCACAATCACCAAATTATCTTTTCAGACATGCTACCAACGTTCACAGACCAACTGGTTTTAGCTACAACACTGTTGTTAGTCACCTTTTTAATCAGCTGTATGAAGAAGAAGCAAGTTTCCGCAGGAGGTAGTGGAGGTAATGCCAAAAATAAAGCTCCAGATAAGAAGGCCCAGAAATCGCAAATGAAGGAAGCATCGTCAGCGCAAGACACAGACGGCGATGGGCAATATGAAGACATTACCGTGGGATGAGCTGTACATAGCCGACTTTTGCTTGAGTTACTGTTTGATTTTGAAATAAACATTGTGGATGTGTAAAATACAAATATTGGAATGAATGAAGAAAAAGCTTTAAGTCATACAATCTCTGTTTTGTATTTTAAAAGCCATGATATAAACGTTTGATTCATGTTTAACATATCCTATGTTATACTTACCTCCCTGGCGACAGCTCGCTCATTAGCCAATAAAAACTCGTAGAAAAACCGATTCCTTAACAAGGCTGATTGTGGTATCTGGTAGTTAGTCAAAGGCTTCTTGAACAACGAAATCTTGGCCAATAGCCACTCTCTCATCTTCTCCATAGCCTTAAACTTCAAATTCTCGATCACATCCTGCACATCTTCCACTGCTTTAGCATCTTTGAATGCTTGAGCTTTAAGAAATTGTAATTTATGCTGTAACTCATGTAATTGTTCCAAAAATTCGGAGCTGTTTACATCTTGTTCCATTATTATCCTGAAAAAGCAGTAGAATATATATATTGTTACTTGTCTCAATATAATTCAATTTATAAAAAGCTTAGAACAAAATTACAGGTTTTATTAGTTGTTAAAAAGACGGTTCATTTAACTTACTTGATCATACTATGAGGTACTACCATGTCATCGACGAATTGACTCAATTCTCCGCGAACTCGTTGACGATTGTGAAGTTGTTGGTTAATCACAACAGATTGATCCTGTAGACGCTTCATTTCTTCGCTAATCGTCCCTAGCTCAGCTAGGAAGTTGCTCAACATTCCTTCCAAGTTCTGTAAAAATTAGACGTCGTTTTATTCATTAACTTTTTCACTAGAATCAATCTTATGACATTATCCATGATCTATATACGCTCGTCGATATAGAAACCATTTTTAATGCCTAAAAACCAAGCAAAACCTTTTAAAACGTACTTCAAAAGTTTGATCACATTCTGTAATTTGTTCATTCAACTCCACCAATTCTTCAGCATGATCAATACAATCTTCAACTACCAGCCGGTTCGATCCTCTCAATTGAGTCTCGACTTTTGTTGAATGATCCCTCAAATCAACCTCGCTTTCAATTAAACGTTTCACAAACTCGTCCTCAATGTTAAATTGACATTCCACTTCGTCGTCGGACATTATTGGGTGAAACGTTTGATTATAAAGCCATACGTCGATATTGATGTAAATATGAAAGCCTGGAAAATATGAATTTAATTTCATAGTTAATATAAAATTGAGTAAGGTAAATTAAATAAAATATAATATGTAAAATATGGTATAAGTAAGTAAAACGTGTTTTTATTATATCGGAAGTAAATTCTTTTATTTTTTATTTTGTATACATTTCGTTTATTTATTATTGGAAATTGTTGCATTCCGTTATTCTGAAAAAATAAATTAAAAAATAATTTTGCAAGTTCGGTAAAATAAAAATAAAAGTTGATATACGTCTATCACTTACTTTAATTTTATCTACTTTCCTAATATTCTTTTGTAATATATTCAAGGCTTTCAGTCTATAATAATATAATGTTGCCAAATCGCAAAAACCTGGCGAAAAAGCCGGGTCCAGTTGCTGGAACATCAACAGCAGCATCAAGACTTGCTGCTCAAAAGCGAACTGGAGCTTTATTACCTGTAAGTTTTATTTTATTTGGTTTTTTGTGGATTTAGGCAGATTTGAGAGGCTGAAGAGGGAGGCTTTGAAGGGTTTTTTGAAACGTCGAAGTAATTAAATACGTATTTTACAATTTCAAAAGTTAGAAGAAGGATTTTGCTTTATTTTTAGGTAGTAATTGTTTGGGTTGAAGCGTTTCAACTAGTAAAATTATATCTTATTCTAGGGCACATCAGCTATAACAAAGAAACAACGAATGGACATGGCCAAAGCGGGTAGCTCAGCTCTCGGCGGAGGAATGAGTTCATCAACATCATTAGTCAAATTAGTAGAAGTCGATTCAAGCTGGATGGAATGTGTTAAAGACTTTACGTTGGTGGCCAAAGACTTCGGGACTTTGATGAAGATGGCGAAAGAAAAAGGCAAAGGAAGGACGGTTAAGGTTATTTGTGGAGCTATTAAAAGTATTATCAAGGCGGATGAAGCTAATGCCGCTGATTTGGGGCTTTTGAAGGAATTACATCAGGCTTTGTTAGACGATGAATCAATTTATAATGTGAGTATATTGTTTTAGTTTTTTATGTTTAGGTAATATAATTCGAAGAATATAGTTTGGTATGTAAAAAAAGTAGTACTGAAGTTGTACTTTTTAGAATCCAAACATTTACGGAGCAGTATTTACTTTATTGAACAAGGTCGAAACCCAAGCATCACAAAATGGGATCTCTTTCTTACCTATAGCTATCAATATTCTAAAATCATTTGAAGCGGTACCAGTTTCTGTGTTCAACTTTGTATTAGTCGACTCAATGGGACTCCGATTATGGGTAGATAAACAAGATGCTTTAAACCTGGTTTTGGACGCGTTTTCTATCGTTGGACGTACGGAACTGCCTTCAGAAGGGTTGTCCGAGGTCCTGAGTGATGCGCAGTCTTATTCTTTTAAGAATCTGATTCGAGAATCCATGAAGTTTGAAGAGTCTAACGATCAGAATCAAGCTTTGCTCAAGAGCACGTTGGCTCACTTGGAACGGTCGATTGATAGTGGAGCAAGCAAGAATCTACTCAAGACCTTGTGTTTATGTTGTGGCAATGACAAGTTTCGTCTGTTGGCGGCGAAGAAGTTGGATAACTGGTTAATGAATATTAAAACTCAACGACAGGCATTGGAGTTGTTGTTGTTTGTCGCCGTGAATACGAAAGATGCGAATTCAGATGCCAACTTGGAGGTATTAGGGTACTTGACGAGGGTCAAGCTTCAAAAATCGAAACAGCTGCAGACAGTGTTTCAGACGGCTATAAAGTGAGGTCTTTTGATGTTTAGAGTCTTTAACCGTAAAATGTTGATGCAGAGTATGTTAATATTGTTGTTATAGGGAGATTCTGAACAAATGTCCGTCTGGTTTGCGAGTTTTGGCCGAATTTGTGCTTGAAAATGAATTTACACATTCAAACAAGGCTCAGACCAACTTGGGATTTGTACAATTTCTATTTGCACATGATTCTAAAGGCGTTTTAAGGGTTTGTTTTTGATTTTTTTGATAAAAATTTTAAAAAATATTGTGTTAGAGAACTATTTTGGCTATTTTAATGAGATAGTTATCCTCACCCTTGATCTATACTTAATATTAGGTTGTTCAAATAATTCTGAGCTTTTTAATTCCAAACATTTGCTTGAGAGGGGGCTCAGAATTATCTGAACAACGCAATATTTTCGATAACATACTAATTTTTACGTTTTTTTAACGACAACATGCTAATTCTTAACTTAATCTTGTTGTAGTTACTATCCGAAAAGCTGGTACGTCGCTTGGAGGTAGTGGAACAAGTCAAAAATGTCAGAACTTTCATCAGAGATCTGTTCAGGTCTATAAAAGACTTTCCTTATTCCAGTTTGGCCAAGGAAATGATTGACGCCGCCAAACTTTATGTTAATGCTCCGCCACCTAATCAGGTATGTCAGTGGGGTTGTGGGAGGTGTAAAAGTTTTGCTATTCGTTTGAAATGGGTTGTTAAGAAAGGATTTGAAGTTTTTTTAGTTTTTTTGGTATGAGAAATGATGTTGTGAGTTTTAGTAAAATATTTGTGTTTTTGAACTTCTTTTGGCTAAAAACGATGTTATAGTACATTTTATAACTAAAATTTTTGATGTTTTTGAAATTTTTGTCATTTTAAGTGATGTTATAAATACCTTCTATAACTAAAGCTGATGTTATAATACTTTTTATAAGAAGAGATTTGATATTTTTGAAGGTTTTTGCCTAAAAATGATGTTATAGTACCTTTTATAAGTAAAATATAGCTATTTTTGCTCACCACTGTCATTACTTTTCAATATTTTGTAAACTCTCATCAAATCCACTTTCAGAATCACATTTTCCGCTTAATAATCGACATCTGCACCATGTTACCCTTTGTCAGCGCTTCAGCAGCAGTCAAAGAAGCTGCTCAAACCAGAAGATCAAATGGCAATCTGGCTGGTTATCAAACAGAGGTTCTGAACAAGTTTCAACTTCATCTGCAACGAACTCAATTGGAATTGTTAACGTTTATCAACTGGGCAGCTACCAACTTCACCATGGATAGTACTAATATCATCAATGCTGTTGGAGGCGCGCTTTATTTGAAAATGGTGGGTTTGGGGGTTTTATGAGACGGAGAGTTTAAACTTGGTATTTTTGTTTTGAAAATCAAGGTTTTGGTACTGTAGTTTACTTTAATTTATAATTGCAGTATGGTTTTTCATTTTGTTGTAAAATACGACCTTTGCGTTTAAGCCTTTTTTATTACACAGTAAAATAAAAACTTTTTCAGCACCAATTCTACACGACAAATGAAGCCTGGCCGTCAGAACCCGACTTCAATCACATCATGAAGCTCATCTCGGAATGTGTAGTGGAAGAAACTTTAATCCTAGCAATCATAGACCTAAATGGAGCCATACAACCAGCTGAAGCAATATCTATGCTCGAAAATGTCACGAAACGAGCACTGACAATGCGAATTGACATGGAAACGGACAAGATCATGGACATTAGATCGGAAAAATGCATCATGGAGTTGTTCAACTTGGCTATTGTTGATCAGAGGTATGGTTTTTAGTGTTGGTTATATGTTGAGTAGGAGATTTTTGGTTTGGATTGTGTTTAACTAGAAATTTAAGGTTGTTTTGCATCTAAACAGTATCAGATTTTACCAATTTTCGGGCCTTTAGCCAGGCGTGCTTTTGTGGCCGAGTGGCCTGCGCACAAATATTGTGCACAGAATCACCTTGGTTCGAGTCCGGCTAGTGGTTTATGACTTTTTCGGCCTTTAAGCTTTATTTTTGAAAAAATTAAATATTCCAATTGTTAAAATAGTATCTTTAGCATTGTCTTAAAAAGTTTTTTTTATTTTATAATATTGATTATTGGGCACTTTTTTTAAATTAAAAAAAAATTTTGGTTTTAGCACCTCACCAAAGCTCGCCAGCAAGCAAATGTATTGGAAATGCTGGGAAATCGTCTTCTTATGGGCATGCATGAGCCCAGCATTAATTGCGGAATGTTATGATCGATATACTACGCTGAGAATGTTAATCACCATGGCTGTTACGAGGTGAGTTTTTTCTCCGAAAATTTACTCGGGCCCAGAATTAGTTGAACGAGCTAATAAGGCACATAATTATTTGAACGAACTAGTAAGGCACATAAGCTTTTGTAAAGCTTAAAATAGGTGTTTGACGAGTTATGAAATTTCTAGAGATTTCACTTTCCCCTTGCCAATCCTGGACAAGAAATTCAAGGAACAATTGATAGCCGAAGACCAAGCCGAGCTAGAGAAAGAATGGGAAGTCATAAAACAACAGGATCTATCACAAGATGACGAAAACTCAAATTCAGGCTCACCACCCTCTTCAGCTTACAGCCTATTCAAACCAAATGGCATAGCCAGAGCTCCTCCAGAGTCCACCCTCAAGAATCTGTACAAACTGAACAAAGACCACGACTTTGGAACTCAGCTCACAGCACTAAAACAACTTGATCTGCTCGAAAAGTTGATCCAAGAACAAGGTCCGTTGAGGGTAATGCCATCTCTGGTGAATATGCTAAATCAGAAGCCTGAGTTTGTGGAGAAGATACCGTTGATCGCGTTGGCTCAACTCTATTTAATCGTTGTTTTTGATCAGAAAATGAACAAATCCATCGATGAATTGAGTCCAAATTTGGTTGGAGCGAAGCCATTTGGAGCGGATCTACAGACAACGGTAAGGAAGAGCTAGCAATGTACCTAAAGTTATATCTTATATAAGATTTTTTGTCTTTTACATTAAAGATAATAATTTTAGATCACAAACAAAGTAACGGAGTGTCTAAAGAATGTAAAAAGCTCAGTGGAAGACTGTAAAGTGATCTTATTGGCATTAATCAACAAGTTGTCGGCTTCCTTGATATTGGAAAGGGATTTGGCTTCAATTGGTCTCAACTTGGTCTTTAATGTAGGTTGTTTTAGATTGAAAATGAAAGCGATTGGGCAATAAATTAACATTGATGCTTATATTATAGCTTTTGGAAGAGTTATGAAGCATTTGAGGGTTTAAAAATAGCAGAAAATTTGAAAAAATTTGATTTTTTTTGAAAAATTTGAGGTTTTTCGATCATTTTTGAAGTTTTTTACCTTTTTTTGATAGAGTATCGAATAAAGATGTACATTTTTTAATTGATAAGATCTTCTTGGTTTACAACTTTTTTTTGAGATGTCAGAAAATGAAAAAACGTTTGATTTTTCTTGGAAAATTTAGGTTTTTTGATGATTTTTGAGGTGTTTTTTGCATTGTTTTGATGTTGTATTGGAAAAAAATGTGTAATTTTTGGATTGGTATGATACTGGCTAATTTATAAATTTAATTTTTTATTGTAAAATTATGATTTTTTTGGAAATAGTAGAAAATTTTAAAAAAAGTTTGGTTTTTTGGAAAATTTGTGATTTTTTGATAATTTTTAAAGTGTTACGTCATGATATTGTGTTGGAGGAAAAATGTATATTGTTGGGTCGGTATGATACAGCCTGTTTTATAAATTTATTTTTCTTATTCTCAAATTATTAAATTTTGCTTTAAATGGCAGAAAATAAAAAAAGTTTAAATTTTATTGGAAAATTGAAGGCTTTTTGAAGTTTTTTTTTGTCGTTTTTTGATAGTTTATTGGGAAAAATGTACAATTTTTGGGTTTATATGATTCTTCTTGATTTATAATTTTTATTTTTTCAATTGAAAATTGTGAAATTTTAACATTTTCAGCCAGAAATCGCGGATCAACGCGACTTCAACCCCGATTCTCTCAAGAATTGTGCCCATTTCGAAGCCCTAAAAGAAGATCTTTGCTTCGAACTCGCCCTAGCATGTAGCTTGGAGAAGAAGAACGAACGCATCATGTGCTACATGGAATTCATCGTCAACAACATTGGCGAATCCACACTTCATCGTGCCGCTCCAAGGCTGTCATCACTGGTCGAGAGGTCTAACTCGAATTCAGATGAACATCAGAGTATTCAACGATCCCTGATCAACTTCTTTGCTGATCTGATCAAGAAGTTGAGGGTATCGTCGAAGAAAGGCGATGAAGATGCTTTGGTGGTGACATTGGCTAATATGGATATAATAAGACTGGATCCGACTATTGTATCGGCGATTTTGGAGTTGTTGTGCGAAAGCTCTGTCGATAATTCGGTGGGTTTTGAGGAAATATGGTTTTAGACTTCTATACAGTTGGTTAGGGTAGGGTTGATACTAAAATTTTTTTTGAAAAGATGGAAAAATTTTAGGTAACAATTTAATGAAAAACTTTAGTTTAGGTAACTTTTTCATAAAGGACTGAATTTTAGGTAACAATTTTTAAAAACTTTCGGTTTTTGTGTACATTTTGGTCCAAAAATGAATGTTTTTTAAGTAACAATTTCAACAAAGACTTGAGTCACAAGTTCAAAAATTTAAATTTCGAAAATTTTCAGGAATCTCAAGTAGTGGAATCTCGCCAATATCTGATGGACGTTTTCTTCCCAGCCAAAGGCCATCTAACCGTCACAGACGCCAAAAATCGATCAGTCGACTTGATTTCCCACAAACTGCGCATGAAAATGTTGTCGGCTAAAGATGAAAGGATTGTTGTGGTTGCCTTGACCAATATCAACCCAAAAGATGCCCTAAAATACGTTCAGTCATTCGCCTTAACACCCTTCAGTTGTACCGAACTTCTGAAGAGTATCAACACAAGTGATGTGGCCAAGTCCGAGGAGGCCAAAATGGCAATTCCATTTGTCAAAGCCTACAAGGTTAAGGGTGCTAAGGTGGGTTTGGGCTTGGTTTTAATAAATTTTCTAATTTTAAGTTTGGTTAATTTAAAATTTTTAAAAAATTTTTGAAATTTTGAAAAACCGCCAAAATTGGCATTGTGTTTTAAGTAGTTTTATGGCAAATTTCTTGCTTATATGGCCAAGAAGACATGCTTTGAGGTATTCTATGGTCATAGAAGCATATTTTCGCTGAAAAATTTCAATTTTGCAAAACCGCCAAAATTGGCATCATGTTGCAAGTGCTTTTTATGACAATTTCTTGCTTATTTGGCCAAGAAGACTGGTCTTAAGATATTCTATGGCCTTAAAAACAGTTTCTTGCAAAAATTTTATGAATTTTTGAAAATCTGCCAAAATTGGCATTGTGTTGCAAGTACTTTTTATGACATTTTTGCTTATATGATCAAGAAGATTGGTTCTAATGTGTTCTATGGCTATAAAAACATTTTTTGCGAAAAATTTTTTTTGAATTTTTGAAAAACCGCAAAAATTGGCATTATGTTGCAACTTCTTTTTATTACATTTTCTTGATTATATGGCCAAAAATACATGTCTTAAGATATTTTATGGTCATAGAAACATTTTTGGCAAACATATTTTTTGAATTTTTAAAAACCCGCTAAAATTGGCATTATGTTTCAAGTTTGTCTTTGGGAATTCTAAAGCTTACTTAAATAACATATTAGTTTTGAAGTATGCTAAGGTTATAAAAACTTATTTTTTCTATTTTTAGTTTTATCTTACCTTACTTTTCTTTTCCTTACATTAATATTGATGCCATTTTTACGTTTAGGGCGCAGATGAATTCCTGAAACAAGTCGAGTCTCTGTCCTTAAATACCCAATCAGAAGTCAAAATGGAAGTAGATCTAAACGAAACGCCAGTTTTATTCCAAAAAATCGAAGGTCCAACTCCAGTTTGCTCGCCAGCCAAGCCCCGAAGCCCTCTACATCAACATAAAGCCGACATCAAGACGAAAGAGGACCTGAAACGATACTGGAACTCGATCATTATTAATCAACAAGCCAAAAGCCCATCGTACATATCAGATTCGAACTGGATTTCGGCCATGAAGTTGTTGAAACGACCAGATATGGCCAAAGAAACCATAATTTTTGTCAAAAATAGCATTGACAGGTTCATGGCTAGCTATAAACACCTACTCTACTCTATGGTGTCTACTTGTATTGTCACGGTAAAGCAGGTGGGTATTGGTTTTTGCTCTTGTCTTTAGTCCAGAATAATAAAGAAAGTCTTGTCGCTAACCTATTAGTTTGTTCACTTAATTCTGCGCCCCATAATTAAATGAAATTTGCTTAAAAAGGGGCGCAGAATTAAGTGAACGACTTTATAGTAGTTGCCGACATAAAGAAACCGCCATACTTTTCTGTTTTTTTTTGTAAAAAATGGCGGGTTCTTTATGTCGGCACCTAATAAAATGCTATTTTTAGTACTCACGAAGCCTCTGGAACGATATAAACAGTTTGGAGGCAGTAATCAGCCGGAAATACCCTGATAATCAGGTTCTAAAAGCATTGTTTGCTTCGATTAAAAGACGAAATGATAAGAAAGAAATGGTCAAGGAAGAGGTCGATGTCAGCAAGTTAGATTCTTTTGCGATATTAAAGAAATTGGCTAATCCACAAGGAGAAGATGAGTTGGTATGTTAATGTAAAAAGGTTTTGACTAAAGTGTTGCCTAAAATCAAGTTTTTGACTACATTGTTACCTAAAATCAAACTTTGACTAAATAGTTACCTAAAATCGAGCTTATAATTAAATTGTTACCTAAAATTAAAATTTTATAAATTGTTACCTAAAATCAAGATTTTGGATGAATTATTACCTAAAATTTCATTTGTAGCTGAATATAAACCATACTAGTGTCGTACCCTACCTATAAATGTCATACCACTTTTAGAATGACCTCACAATAACCGCGATGGTGGAGCGCTATATGATTCTGAATCCCCAAGTGATTGATCACCAGAAGCCGGAAGAGATGAAAAAGCACCTAAATCTCCTATTTTCATCGGATTCTGTAGCCTGCAAGCATCTGATAGCTCTAATCACAACCACACGAACTCCACAAGTCACCATAGCGATTCTGAAGGCTTTGCTACACGAATTCAACCCGAATCTGAAGCCGTTGAATGTAATGGATTTTGTGGAAAATGCCCTTAAATCAACCTCCAGAATCTGTCTGGGACTAAATGACGATGATCTACTGACTCTGCTACAGTATGTCTTCTTGGAAGTTGGAAAAACAGAAAATGATACTGTAACATCAAGCCAGGCCGCAACAGACGATGTTATAGTAGTAGAAGAACGTTTGGCCCGAGAGGTGAAGGACGTAGACATGCGAGACATCGAAGAAGGCCAAGTCATAAGTGACGATCACAACAACAGCAGAAGCAGCAGCTACATGGACTTCGGCACGGACAGCTCGGTCACGTTAAGTCAACCACTGGGCACGGAGAGCTCACCAAGTAGAGGTAAAAGCCTTCTGAATCCAAGCTCCATCATTGGCCCGGTAGCCATCCACATCCCAGGAATCGAAGCCCTCGACGACGTAGCACATCGTCTTCATCACATCCTTATCGATGCCGTGGTCGAAGACGAGGAAAACAAACATATCGACCGGATTCTGAGAAAGATCTCGTCTAGAATCACGGCGAAAATCGAGGAAATCAACGTGAATTCGGACAACAGATCAGCGATTCTGAAGAAGAAGTACGAACGCTTTCAGAAGCTGTTCACTCAGAAGTTCCCCCAATCCAAGGCAGCCAAGTTGAAGAAGAACAGAAGTCACAACGAATACAACGATGGCTACGGCGGAGTCACCTTGGACTGGACCAACGACTACACCGTGGAATCGCTGGACCAGAAACTCCAGTGGAATCTGAAGGAGTTCTTTGAGCTAAACGCTTCAACTATCTCCGGACCAACCAAAGATCAGATGCTGAGGCCAACGAGAGAGCAGATCTTCGAACTGGCTCACAAATACCCAGAAGTTTTTGCCCGACATCTGCCAATCCTAATACATCAAGTTCAGCTCATCAACAACCTAACACCACGCCAGTTCAGAGAAGTGGATAGATTCCCAGTTTTGAGGGGAATTATGGACTTGGTCATGGTTTCAGCACCATACTCGTTCGAGAAGACAGAGGAGATTCATATGATGGTCGCTAGTTATTTGAAGGCATTGACTGTAGGTTTGAAGACGAGGGGATTCCGGAGATTCTGAAGTCACAATGGGAAGATAGGGATCTTGAAGACCTAGGTTTTAGAAGGTTTTGAGAACAGGAATTCTGAAGAGTTCAACCATAGTGTAGGGGATTCCGAAGCTTATGAGGATACTTTAGAAGCTTCTGAGGGTCTTGTCGATAATTTAGAGGATTCTGAAGGTCTTGACGACACTTTGAAAGATTTTAAGGGTCTTGACAATACTTTTGATTTATTTTAGAGAATTTTTATGACTGTAGGCCTAATTTGCCTATAAAAAAGTAATTTTGATCAAAATTTCTAAACCGATTGATTTTCAGAAAGAAACAGCGAAAAGCCGCCAATGGATGCTATGTACAGAATCCCTCATCAGATTGATCCTTAACTTCTTGGAGGCCAATCCAACTGGAGCCACCAACCTGGTCGAACGAAACAAACCCGACTTTGACACTCTAATCGAAGCATACCGAGACAACCAGGCCATCAGAGCCTTCCAAGACGCATTCCCTTTGATTTTTAATGTATAATATTGATTGTTATGGTATTAAAATAATGAAAAGATAAATTATAAACATTAAACTTGGTTATTTTGATTTGCAATAATATTAAAATTTTGTTATTTTTATAACGTAAAAATCATCACTAATCTATTTTATACATTTCCTGAAAATTTCAGCTTGATCCGTCAATCCATTCTCGAGATATAACAATTTTTAAAACCACCGCATGGTTTCTCTACCCTCTCCTCTTTCCTTTACTCTCTCGCGCGTTAATTTTCCCTTCTTTATCACCCTCTCTAACCTCTCTCTTGTTTTTCCGCGCTCTCTCTTTGCGCAACCTCTTTGATCAAGCCGCTCTCTACTCGCACTCCACTTTTTACGCGCTCTCTCTTTCTCTTCTTCGATTTTTTGTCTGATCAAATCATTTTCTAACTAAAAAAACCGTCTCTCAAGTTAGTACACTGACTTATTTTTGTCTGATCGAGAGTTCTCTGCCACTCTCTTCATTTTACACAATGGGTTCCTCCAAAATTTCCTTTTTCGGGTTCCATCCTCGTTTCGCGTTCACTTTTCTTTCTCTGACTCAGCCGTCTCTCACTCTTACGCAGTCTTTTTTCCAAACCTCGTGAAAAAGGCCAAAAATGGCTCAATACTTAATGAACAATTTCTCTGAAAAATCGCTGAAAAACACGAAATTTTGCTGAAAAAGGGTCAAAATTTTGTAGTTTTTGGCTTTAAAAGTACCATTAGTGACGGAGCTTAACCTTGGTTTATATACCGTAGTAAAGCTTGTTACCTTACGCACATATTGAGGTATGTAGCTTTTATTTATTACTACGGTAACATGGAGATACGACGCTTTAAGCACAACACAGTCAGGCGGTCACGAGTTTGCAGGTACTTTTCGACCGGTCGATGACGATGAAAATGTAAAATACGATCATATTATCGTATTACATGGTTTTTTTAGACATCACTTTCAGGAATTTTTAAAATTTTGAGTTTAACATGGGGTAAAATACTATTGTAAAGTTTACAAGTACATCTTTGACTGTGCATACTTTGATACGCCATAACTTACTTCACAATAATGTCTCCTCATAGCAGGACATACCATAATGTAGAGTATGAACGTCAGTATCATAAGATATTAAACGCATTTCTTACGAACGCAAGATACGACAGTTGTAAAACTACAAAAATGTACTTTATTCCAAGGTGTTTTAGTTTTTCAAAAAATACCTTGAAGTCTAGGACAACTTTATCATGTCATAACTATCGTATCTTAAAAGTGTAAGAAAAATACTTCATCTATTGCAACACTGCAGTCTTTTAGCTACATGATGATATGTTCTGCTATGAGGAGACGTTACTGTGAAGTTATGACGTTTTAAAGTATGCATTGCCAAAGATGTACATGTAAACTTTACCATAGTATTTTACCATGTTAAACTCAAAATTTTAAAAATTCCTGAAAGTGCTCTCTAGAGCATACCATGATATACAATAATACTATGGTATTTTACATTTTCATCATTGTCGACCGGTCGAAAAGTACCTGCAAACTCGTGACCGCCTGACTGTGTTGTGTTTAAAGCGTCGTATCTCTATGTTAAAGTAGTAATAAATAAGAGCTACATACCTCAAAATGTGCGCAAGGTACCAGTCTTTACTATGGTATATAATCCAAGATTGAACTCTGCCATTAATGGTGCTTTTAGAGCCAAAAACCGCGAAATTTGGACCTTTTTTCAGCAAAATTTTCGTGTTTTTCAGCGATTTTTAGAGCAATTTGTTCAATAAGTATTGAGCCATTTTTGGCCTTTTTCACGAGGTTTGGAAAAAAGACAGCGTAAAAGTGAGAGACGCCCGAGTCAGAGAAAGAAAAGTGAACAGAAAAAGAGGATGAAACCCGAAAAAGGAAATTCTGGAGGAACCCATTGTGTAAAATGAAGAGAGTGGCAGAGAACTCTCGATGAGACAAAAATGAGTCAGTGTACTAACTTGAGAGACGGTTTTTTTAGTTAGAGAATGATTTGATCAGACAAAAAATCGAAGAAGAGAAAGAGAGCGCGTAAAAAATGGAGGGCGGGTAGAAAGCGGCTCGATCAAAGGGAGCGGCGAAATAGAGAGCGCGCGAAAAGAAGAGAGGGGTCAGAGAGGGTTATAAAGAAGGGAAAAAGAGCGCGCGAGAGAGGAAAGAGAAGAGGAGAGGGTAGAGAAACCATGCGAAGGTTTTAAAATTTGTTATATCTCGAGAAAGGGTTGACGGATCAAGCTGAAATTTTCAGGAAATGCTTAACATCGATTGGGAATCATTTCTAGCTTAAAAAAACAACAACATTTTAATATCATTTTGCTACTATGTTTATCAAATAATAAGTGTTCTTCAAAGATGTTCACTCCTCATCAGTATCAATAGCATCGTCGGAGAGTAAGCGACGTGGTGCTGGTATTGGTAGATCTACTTCAACGTAAGACGTCATACACTTCGAGACGAGTTTGTCGCCGTCAAATTTGGTCGATTTCCAGTCACGCAAGACAGCTGTGCGGAATGCGGAGCATTTGACTACTAGATTGGGGCCTGGTACAAATTGGGTTTGGCCTGAATACAGTATTTCCACCGTATTCGTTGTGGTTGAGCCGTCGTGGCCGCCCATTACAAACAGACAGCCATCGTATTGGATGGCGGAGAAGTTGGATCTGCAAAGACTAGTTTTTAAAAGCCCAAATGTTGATTTTAAGATCAAAGTTGTTACCAAAAGCCCAAAAAATCAAAATTTTAAGTAATACCCGCTTAAAAAAATACTTTTTTAGGTAATATCTGCCCAAAAAATCACACTAACTTTCGAAAGAAATGCAGTTCTAGGTAATACTTGCCCATATAAAGTCAAAAAAATGCATTTTTAGGTAACACCCTGCCCAGATAAAATCAAAAAATGTTCATTTTCCTACCGTTTCTGTCTCAAAGAAGTAAATTCCGACCAAGCTCCATGACAATCTGCCAATACCTCCACTGTGCCAGTAATCTCACCAGCTGTGTATCCTCCAATCGCATACAGTTTGTTGTCAAATGGCACTAATGATAAGCCTGATCTGAAGAATAAATCAAGAAAACTCCAAAATTTCTTTTGAAAAATTAAATTTTAGATAACAAAACTACAAAAATTACCCATCACCCAAAAACACCCCTAACTTAAAATTTTTTACCACACCCACATGAAAAACCAAAAAAAAATTCAAAATTTCAAAAAATTAAAAGTAAAGTACCCTTAAGACGTAAAAATTAAAAATTTTTTACTACACCCTCTTGTCGCGAAGTTGCGAGTTAAGAAATACAAAAACATGTTTACAAAAATATAGAACCGGTCCAGAACAAAGAAGGTTTTTTTTATCTTGCAAAAAGTGTTTATAGTTAGGCCGATTTGGCCAAAAAAATAAGAAGTCTCTAACCAACTAGACCGCGGATCGGTCGTATTTTATATTTCTGGATAAATAAATATTTTATATACTGTAACTAGCTAATATTACTAATATTCATAATAATTTTATGACACTCTTTAAAAAACAAATTTTTTTTCAAAATTTCAAAAAAATGTACTATACGTTACCTCACCTGTCAAAAAACCCCAAAATTTATTTTTTTTACTCTCCTCCCCGCCGTGAAAGAATTTGAATTTTTTCAGTCCCCTCCCCTATACTAAAATCATGTTTTTACTCCCCTCCCCACCCTAAAATCATTTTTTTTCTCCAAAAATCCATCCCCACCCCACAACCACTTTCCTCCCAAAAAACCCCCGCCCTACCTCGGAGTATTCATGTTCCACACCTCCTGCCATTGTCGTGTCTCTTCGCAGTAAATCTCCACAAATGGCATTACATTCTCTCCATTAAAGCCTCCTGCCACTATCAACTGACCCTTAAAGTAGGCTGCTGCCGCGTCTGATCTGTGATGATGCATTGATGGTAATTTGTACCATTTCTGGTCCCATGTGTCAAACTTTTCCACCGTCCTCAGCCTTCGTCTGCCATTGTAGCCGCCACAGACGTAGATGAAGCGTTGATCGTCGCTGCAGGCCGAGGCGTAGCATCGTGGAGCGAACATGGATGGGCACGACTGCCATTGGGTGTCACCGTCGTTCAGTTTGCGCACGTTCTTCAGGTACTCTTGGTTGTTGTAGCCGCCGATCAGGTAGACTGTCTGGAAGTTAAAAGTTTAAAATTTTTTAAAATTAAAAAAAATTTTAAAAATTTGAATTTTTTATGACATTAATCAACCGAAAACACCATATCAGCCTATTCATCGACCAAACCTAACCTTTCACTTCACCAATAAATAACCAACCTTGTTAAGCTCAATGAGAACATGATAAGCCAGAGGGCATTTGTCGGCGAACCATTCCATTTGTGTGAATCTTTGTTCATGTCTAGCCAATACCTGACACATTCGAGAGGGTCGGTCCAGCCATCCACCATATATGACCAATACATCTCTTGGTAAACGAGATGTTACAGTATCCGGCGATATCCATTCTTGGTAGTTCTTTATAGTCAATTCGTTTGATGTTATTGCCTAAAAATAGAAGTTTTGAGGTTTCTTGAATCCGTATTTTACATTTTTTTACCTTTTTTAAAAATTTTAAAAATTCAAAAAAAAACTTTTTTTCCAAAAAAAAATTAAATTTCAAAAATTTTAAAAAACCCACATTATTCAGGCTGATACCAAACGTGTGGCCCCCATATCGGATGCAGGGTACCAGTTGTGTAGCCATTCGTCGTCGTTGTTCTTCAGTTTTGGCATTATGGTTAATGTAAAGTAATATCAGTTCCAGGACTTGTGCTTCACTGTGAATGTTCAGATTGTTGTCCGAGAGTAATCGCTTCAGATGCTCCGTTTCCAAATGAAAAAATTGTTGATTTGCACTGGCACTAGTCTTGACCAGCTTGTAGAGGTGATAAACAACTTCCGAGACTAGCTGGAAACAAAGTTATTGCATGGTTTAGATGAAAATAAGCGAAAATGAAGAGCAACTGCAATTGACAACTAATCTTTAGGTATTACAAAGCATTTTAAATCAAAAAACATCTCGAATTCATATCAAATTCCTAGCGAAAGATAAAAAATGAGGTTATATTACCCAAAATCAACGAAACATCAGCAGTTTCGGCCGAAAAATCAAAATAAAAAATAATTTTTAAAACTTTTTCATAAAGTAAATAATACTCTAGATATAGAACAAGCTTTTATACTTCAAATCCATTCGAAATAAACTTTAAAATATTTCAAAAACTATCAAAATCCTCCTTGAACTACCACAAATACCGTAAAACTAAAGTTTTTTGTCAGAATAGACTAAGTACACCGTGCTTTTTAACAACTTTTTATAAACAATATCAAACACGAGATATCAATGAACATTTCAAGCATAAACTAGAACCAATATTTCCTTAAAAATGTATTTGAAACTTGATAAATCTCCATTGAACTACCTAAAACCTAAAAAAAAATTAAGTTTTTCGCCCAAAAAACAAATTAAAACTTTATTTTTTATAATTTATGAAAAAAAGAATCAATGCTTAGGTATTAAGCAACGTTTTAAATATAAAACTCGCTAGGAACAGATACTTATTTGCTTCGAAAACACTAAAATATATACTACACTAGTTGAAAATCAATGAAGGTTACCGTTTTTCCTCGGAAATCGAATAAAAACGTCATTTTTATAAAAAAGGTTTGGAAAATTAGGTTTTTCAGTCTTTTTTAGATCTAATCGAATTAAAAAATTGTAAAACTAACTAATTTTTCACCTTCACCGCTCCGCATCCTGAACAATCTTTATCTCCGAGCTGCGCCCGACCTTTGTTTATCAAAAAATTTTTCTATCATACAGACCTCAACTTTGCCTTTATCTTTCCTCTACCAAAAAAAAATCCGCTTTCCGCCAGTATTTTATACCTGAACATCAAAACCAATTATATTATCCTACCTCCTCGGCCTTGTCCGGATCCTGTTGTGCTATTGCCATGTATTTGAAGAGAATGTCATCGATACCCACATCGCTGAGTAGTTGATCCAAATGAAATTTTTTAAAGGTTTTGCCCTTGAATATTATGTACAGGCTTTCGTCGATCGGATATTGTTTTATAGCCAGCTTCAGTTTGTTGTAGAAGAATTCGTTTTGCAAAAAGTTGGTGTCCAAGCGGCCGTAGGCTAGTTCTAGTAGGTAGTGGAGCTGAAAGTAGATAATAAAATATAGGGTAAGTTAATCTTTGTTTAAAAATGGGCTTTCTACTTGAAAAATAGATGAAAAATATCCCACTACTTTTCGTTCAATTTAGTAAATTTGAGACAAGGCCGATCCAATCCGTTCCTCATGCCTATCCCAAGCCCTAACTTCTCACCCCACTTACCTCCTCCCCTAAAAAATACAAAAAATCCCAAAAACCCACCACATCCCGCTCCAAAAACACAGTATGATGAGTACGTGGCACTTCGCCCCAAATCTCCAGCTCCTCCGGCTCGCACGACTCGGCCATGCCCGATTTGGCCATGAGTTGAGGCCAAATGTCATTCACGACGAACGAATGAGCGTACACGTTGGTGCCATCGAGACAGTGAAAACACAGATCAGCTGATGGGTCCGCCGATTCCGGCTCTAAAACAGAATAACATAAGCGGGTTACAGCCGGACTCGGTTGGGCCATAGTCGATGAAATAAAAGTGTTACGCTAATTTTCGAATTTTGAATTGGATATTGGACTGAAATTAAGTTTTTGATTTTTTTTAAAAATTTTTTTATATTTAAAAAAATTTTGTTTTGGTTTTAAAAAATTTTTTTTAAAATTTTTGAAAAAATTTTGATTTCAAGCCAAATTTCAAAATTAAAAATCAAAAAATTATTGCCACTTTAAAATCATTTCAAATTTCTGTGATAGTTTCGAGTGGTTGGGTAGAACGCTTAAACTTTTGTTTTTCATCAACTCGTGCACGAGTATTGCTGTGCTAATACTGTGCGAACGAGTGTTATATTTCTAGCTAAAGATTGTGACAGCATCAAGATATTATATTGATAATCTAATTTCACATTAAAGTGAGTTTAAACTTTTTTTTTCAATTTTTAAAGGTCAATAACTTGGGCAAAAACCAAATTTTTAATAAGTGCTTTAACTCTACCTTAATATTTTAGCCTACCCTTCTCTACTCTACTCTTTCCTGCCCTAATCTACTCTATCTTACCTTGCCTTACCTTACTTTACCTTTCGTTGCCCTGGCTTACCTTGCCTTACCATACCCTTTCCTACCCTACTAGAGATGAGAAACGAGCCTAACGTTTAGGCCCGGCCCGTTTTCATTCCTTTTTAGGCCGGCCCGGTCAAAAAACTCTAAACCCTTAAAAATTTTAAGAAATTGGCCCGACTCAAGTTTCACGCTCGGCCCGTTTCATCCTTAGCTCATCGCCGACCAGGCCCAACCGTAAAGTCGGGCTGAACCGGGCTGCGCGCCAGTTACACGACTTGCTTCTCATCCCTCTACTCCACTTCCTAACGAAACCCCGTTTTCAGATGTCTTCACAACGTCAAAGTGGATCGGATCGAAACTCAAAACCGTCGGATTCGAAGGCCTCCCACCCCAATGGTTCGAACGAAGCAGACATAAAAACGGCCGAGGAACATACGTCCATGATCGCATCGATTCAGCGTACTGTCAGTTTTCGCCAGACCTGGTCGAACGGGATCCAATTTATATTAACCTGCACATCCTATGCCGTTGGCCTGGGCAATATATGGCGTTTCCCGGCGGTGGTATATAAGAACGGAGGTGGAGCATTCTTGGTACCGTACTTTTTTTGTTCGATGATTATTGGCTTCCCGGTACTGTACATGGAGCTATGTTTGGGACAGTTTGCAAGGGCCGGACCGGCGGTGGTTTATGGAAGAATGAGGCCGTTGCTTCAAGGTAGGGGGTTTCTTGAGGGGGTTTACTGCCGTTTTTTATAAAAGCGGTCTTTATATTATCTATCTTACCTTGTCCTGCACTGCACTTGCCTTGCCTTGCCTTGCCCGGCCCTTTCATATCTATCCTGCCTTGCATTGCTTTTCCCTGCTTTGTCTTGTCCATCCCTGCACTGAACCGCCTTAAGTTGCCTTGCCTTTTTCTACCTTGCCTTGCTCTATCTTGCCTTTCCCTTCCCTGCCGTCACTTTCTTTGCCTTGTTTTGCCTTCCCTACCCTGTTCTGCCTTGTCTTGTCACGCTGTGACTTGCCCTGTCTTGCTTTGCCCTACAATGCATGACCCTGCCCTGTCCTTGTCCTAAAAAGCGCTTGTCTTGCCTCACCTTTCTCTGCCCTGCCTTACCCTGCTTAACCCTACTCTTCTTAACACTACACAATAAGTTGCTTGACATGACAACACAATCCTTATATAAATCGTATTTTCAGGCCTAGGCTGGGCGATGGTGACAATGTCCGCTTTCGTGACAATCTTTTACAATATGGTTGTGGCTTGGGCTATCTTATACTTGTACATAATACTCAGCGGACAATCTTACAAAATGTGGAGCTCATGCCATAATGACCATAACACTGATTGTAAGTTTCTTTATATTATTGTTGAGTGTCATTTTCGTTATTTTATTTGTTTTTTGAAATTTTTTTCTTGTTTCGTATTTTACAATTAAAAACCCATTAATTTAAAAAAAATAGGCCTTTCATAGCTAAATTATGCAAATCAAAGCCGGAAAATAGCTGAAGTTTTAACGATTAGGTTTAAAAACAGCCGAAACTACAAATTGTAAGCCCAAAAACTTTTATGCTCTACCTAATTTTAAACCTTTATAGACTGCACCTCTCCCTTTGACGACGACGCATGTCGTGTCTCTTTAAAAGTCCAAAACGCATTTATGTTCAAGCGTGCATGTTACACTACTGATAACGTTGGCATCATGCAGCATCGAGAAATAATGTTCTCCAAATGGAGCCCTATGACACCAGCTGAAGAGTTTTTTGAGTAAGTCATAGCTTTCACAGTATGAACCATTATAGAGTTACTGTATTCATTAGACGGTACTGTAATATGTGGATTAGATTAGGTTGTATTCTAGGATTGCATCTATATTACACTTGCTTTGTTATTACCGTTGTACTATGAGGGTAATAAGATACTAGCTTGACACTACACACTACGTTACTCTACTGTACTGTACTGTACCCTACCCTACCCTACTCTACCCTACCCTACCACAGTTTACCCTACCACAGTCTACCCTACAGAACCTTCTATAGCCTGTCTTTACCTTATACGACACTCTTGAATAAAGTAAAATGAAGTATAATACTATTACCACCAAATACTAGCAGTATAAATAGCACATACCACAGCACCATTTCAGGTACTTCATTCTAGAAAAAGCGAAAGAAGTAGGTACATATGGAATGAACTGGAAGCTGTTTGGAGCCTACAGTGCGGCCTGGTTGATGACAGCTAGTGCTCTATCGAAAGGTACCAAAATCATTGGTTACCTATCCTATCTAACGGCCACTCTACCCTATATCATTATGCTAATATTGTTTATGCGAGCAGTTTGGTTGGATGGAGCGTACGAAGGCATGAAATACTACATACTAGAGCCGGATCTTAATGTAATCTACAATCCTAATGTATGTGTTTCGGCTTGACTTTTGGCTTATGGTTGGCATCTTCTATGCAAGTCTTAAAGGCTAGGATAAGCCTAAAAGTTTTGATACAATTCATATACTATAACAAGTCTTTTGGTACAAGTCATGTACTATAATATAAGGTTATTAGTACAAATTAGGTACTATAACGTAAGCCTAAGCCATTTTTGTGATAAAAATTGAATTTTAGGCTTATTTTAAATTCCAAAAATCTGACCTTACATGTTAGGCCTACTTCACAACGAAAAACCGTATTTTAGGCCTGGCGTGAAGCCGCGACCCAGGTCTGCTTCAGTTTGTCGGTCGGTTTTGGTGGGATTTTGTCGTTCTCGTCGTTTAATCCGACTACTCAGAACGTGTTCCGCGACGCCATGATAGTCACGGTGGCCGACGCCACGATGAGCGTGATAGGAGGAACGGCGGTTTTCAGCGTGCTTGGATTCATGAGCAAGGAAATGAATACGACTATCAGTGAGGTGGTTCAGGTGGGCTTTATTACTATATTACTGCAGTTCGGGGGGGGTACTGAATTCATTTTTTACATTAGAAGTTACACTACCGTAACCATGTGTTGAGTTTTGTAAATCAATACAGTACCTAATACAGTATTATCGCCGATCTCTTAATGTAGCTCTACTCTAAGCTTACTGTAATTTTATATAAGGTTTAGCGTAGCTTTACCAATGGAATACCGTAACCTAATACTAGGATTACTGTACCTCTACTCTAGCCTTAGCGTAGCACTAGGTTAGGCCCACTTATAGCCACAAGTTGGGCCTGCTAACGGCCTTTAAGCTTACTAATAGCATTACCTTAAGGCTACTAATATTTTTTTCGGATCGGCTCTCCCCCCCCCCCCCCCCCCCCCCCCATACTATTAGTCTAAACTTTGTTGTACTATAGTAATATTTTAAGCCTGCTAACGTCCTTATCCTAAGCCTAATAATAGCCCTATATTAAGCCTACTAATAGCCGTAAGTTTGTCCTAATAATCCTAAAAACAGCCCTATTTTCGGCCTGTTGTTGCCCTATACCAAGCCTATTGTAGCCCCGTACTAGACCAATCGTAGTCTTATATTAGGCATACTGTTAGCTTTACTCTTTTAGTACTGTAACATATTATAATTTCAGGACGGCACAGCATTGGCCTTTGTAGCCTACCCAGAAGCCCTGATTCGAATGCCAATCGAACCGTTGTGGTCGTTTCTGTTCTTTCTAATGGTATTTCTACTTGGTATAAGCTCTCAATTTGGCTATACCGAAGCGCCGATTACCGCATTTATCGACCAGTTTCCAAAGCTCAAAAGGTACCATACGACGACGGTGTTCGTCGTATGTACTATGCTTTTTTGCTGCGGGATTATCTTGTGCACTAATGTGAGTTTTGGTATTTTAAACTGGGTTTGCCTGCGCTATGTATAATATATATAATATCTTTACTATGTACTAAAACATTTTTACCATGAATACCGTAATATTTTCACCAAAATATACTTTTACAAGTTTTAACTGAGCGATACAATTTTTTACTTTAAATTAATGCCAATTTCAGAGCGGCTTTTTCTTCTTCAACATTTTAAACGACTACTCGTCAGGCTTCGCCTTAGGAGTGGCACTGTTTATGGAAACGATTTTGGTCAGCTATATCTATGGTATGTTAAAATACAATTATAGGGACGTTGAATAATCGTATTTTAGCTAAATTTCCAAAATCCAGCGCAATTTTTGTTTTTAAAGGTTTCCGGCAAAAGTCATAGCCAAAAAAGATCGTGTCCAGGTTTCGTGAAACAGACCCCTCATTTTCACTAACCAAAAGTGCCCCTGACTTAGATATGAGAAACGAGCCGGGCCCAATCGAATTGGTTTGAGCTCTGTCCCTGGGGCCCACATGTGCAGGCCCGGACGGCTCTTTTTAAAGTTGCTTAGGCCTGCCCCTATGCATGAGAAACGGGCCGGGTCTGAGCAAAATTTCGATCGGGCCGGGCCTGAATATTAGGCCCGGCCGGTTTCTCATGTCTACCTGCCCCGACTACTTATACATGATTCATCAAACAATCGCTTTACTCTTTTCGTCAGTAAAATATTTCGTTGCGGGACCTAAGTTGGGCCCTGGAACAGTGCTTTCAGTCCACATTAGCATTACCAGCATGCAGATCAGATAATGATTTTGATTTTTAGGTATGAAAGACTGGGTCGCAGACCTTCGTTCAATGTTTGGTCCACCAAAACACAGACTAGGCCAGATTTTCGGGAGAACCGGCTACTACGTAAAAACAATATGGATGTTCATATCACCTATTATGTGGTTGGTGAGTTATGCTACTTTCTATGTCTCTATCTACCTTAATATAACCTAGAATCTTACCGTAAGTCCAATAAGATACCAGTGGATAACCATTGTAGTAATTTAAGAGCTCAATAATAGTGATTTAGGTACAAAATGATAGATTTCAAACTAATATTACATAATAAAAACTTTTAGATTGTAACAGGATTCACATTGTACATGCAAAGCACAAATGGTGGTATAGTGATAGGGAAAGGAACTAGACGTTATCAAGTACCAGCTTGGTGCACTGCCATAGGGTGGTTCATATCAATGTTACCATTGATTCACTTTCCTATGCTGGCCTTGATTAACTACCTCAAGTTTTCAAGGAAAGGAAAAGTAAATTTTGAAACGTTTTTTTAATTTGCTGATCATTAGACGAAATGCCACAAAAATTATTGGCTTTTTTAAAAAATCGACGAAATGTCACCAGATTATTGGTTTTTAAAATAAGTTTTAAAATGTCACAAATTTACAATTTATATTATTATTTCACGAAATGTCACAAAATTATCGATTTTTTGAAAGTTTTGCGAAATGTCACAAAAATTATTGGTTTTTTAAAAAGTTAAAAAATGTCATTTTTAAATAAAATATCTTAACTTGAACACAATAAAAACTCAAAATGCATCCCTAAATTGTTATATCTCACCCTTAGATTCCTACATTTCAGCCGGCTAGCGAACTGCTCCGAGTCCAACGAAAATGGCCATCTTATAATAGACACAAGAAGAGGTGGAGACGAAGAAAACGTGAGATCGGTGCATCAGCCGAAAATGAACAAAACAAGTCCAGCTCCAAGTCAAAAAGAAGTTCGGCACCGACACCTACTGACTCGAATCCAAACACCTTGAGTAATCATGCTGATGACCCGTTCGAAGAACAAAGTGACAAAACTTGACTTATTTAAGAGAGAAATAAAGAAACTGACCTTGTTTTGGTGGTTTTTGAAAAACATAAGTATAGTCTATCCTCTATTATGAGATAACTAACAAGGAAAGTACCCAACCTGCAACTCTCACAATTAGCTAAAAATTTTTAAACGAATTTTTTGTAGTACCACTAGCTCATATAAAAAATCTTGGCTTGCTGTTTTAATACTCGTATAAAAAATAACTATATTTTCCACTTTCGACTATCTCTTTCCTTATTTAACTACCTTATACCTAATCCTTCTCACATTCTTCAAAAGACCTCAAATGGCCTCCTTTGACTACCGTTTCGGCCTGTTTCATGATACGGTACTCAAACTCTTATCTAAAGGTGCAAGTCAGGCCACATCAGTCGAGCACCTGCACCTTCTACTTCTTACTTTGCCTCACTGCTCTAAAAATTCGAAAAACTAAGTCAAAAAACTCACATTTATAACCATTTTTCTGTCCATTAGCTCTTCTTACATTTCTGCTGCATTTGTCATCCCTCTCGACATGGTTTTACCGTTGTTTTTACTTGTTCCTTCGCTCATCTTCGTATCCTTGTCCGCGAACACTATTTTTCTCTCATTTATTTCCTTTTCGCTGTTTTTCTCTTTCGCGCCCTCTGTTTCTCTCTTCGTTTTTCCTTTTTATACGACGAAAGTCAAAAAATGACGAAGTTATATGTAAGCTTATAACACAATGCCGAATTTGGCGGGAAATTCAAAACGCCATTTTTTATCTCGATGTTGTCAAGGCTGGCTGCAAACCGCAACTTAGAATTTTACATATTTAAAAAAAACTGTTTATTCCCTTTTTCAACGCAAGATATATAAGACGTGAGGGGGGGGATGATGAGGGTGTGGTGAATACCGTCAGAGCGATCCGTTGTAGCTGTTCCCAATTGAGCCTCATCCAGGTGATCCTGTTTCTCGAGCTACCGAGCCGTGATGAGGTGCTCCTCAAGTCTTCAGGCCGTAGTCGGGAGCCTGCGTATGCCCAACAACCGATTTGCCATAGTCCCCGTGCACTTAGCACTACTCATTCATTTGTAAATCACAAATGCGCCTGGGTCGGGCGGAGCGGTCGGTCGAACCTGAGTCCGGTGATGTATTAGTCGGCGCCACGACCGACTGAGCCACAACCGCCAAAATTTTACGTAAGGTCTTACATTTACATGAACTTTCAATAGAAAAAATTTGGCGCTACTCTATTTAAGCCACCCACACCACCTGTTAAAGACACCCAAATTTCGGCCTTATTAGACACACCCAAATTTGAATATTTTATCGGGTTTCCAGCACGGTTGTGCTTCTTTCATTTTGAAAATTTTTTGTGCTACCGAGTAGTCGTTGGAATATCTCCGGAGATTTTATCTTCAAAATATGGACGAGTTTAAGCGCAGAACCTAGCTCGTATGTATCTTCAACACCATGGTCTACGCGAGATGTCAACTGCTTGTGCCAATTGTTGATCGCCGATGAAACTGGGTAAACGGAAGGTGTTTGGCGATAGATTTTATGTAAGTTACATTACTTTTAACTTATTATTGTTGACGGTCCTGTATCAGTTCTTAGTTAGCCCACCCACTTCTTAGTTAGCACACCCATTTCTTAGTTAGCACACCCATTTCTTAGTTAGCACACCCATTTCTTAGTTAGCACACCCATTTCTTAGTTAGCACACCCATTTCTTAGTTAGCACACCCATTTCTTAGTTAGCACACCCATTTCTTAGTTAGCACACCCATTTCTTAGTTAGCACACCCATTTCTTAGTTAGCACACCCATTTCTTAGTTAGCACACCCATTTCTTAGTTAGCACACCCATTTCTTAGTTAGCACACCCATTTCTTAGTTAGCACACCCATTTCTTAGTTAGCACACCCATTTCTTAGTTAGCACACCCATTTCTTAGTTAGCACACCCATTTCTTAGTTAGCACACCCATTTCTTAGTTAGCACACCCATTTCTTAGTTAGCACACCCATTTCTTAGTTAGCACACCCATTTCTTAGTTAGCACACCCATTTCTTAGTTAGCACACCCATTTCTTAGTTAGCACACCCATTTCTTAGTTAGCACACCCATTTCTTAGTTAGCACACCCATTTCTTAGTTAGCACACCCATTTCTTAGTTAGCACACCCATTTCTTAGTTAGCACACCCATTTCTTAGTTAGCACACCCATTTCTTAGTTAGCACACCCATTTCTTAGTTAGCACACCCATTTCTTAGTTAGCACACCCATTTCTTAGTTAGCACACCCATTTCTTAGTTAGCACACCCATTTCTTAGTTAGCACACCCATTATCAGAAGCACTATATAGTTCAGTACGTAATTTTAGAATCGACGTATGAACCGGCACTAAACATCCCAAAAGAAGACCACGAAAACCTGATGCAATTCAACTTGGACGAAGCCGTATCCCGACAAAACGACCGCTTCCATTATTTGAAATGTTTTTACAATTTTATTTGTAAAAACTCAAATTTGAATAAATGGGTGGTCATAATAGGTAGTGGGTGTGTCTATTAATGTGGGTGGCTTAAATAGAGTAGCCCCAAAAATTTGAACGAAGTGTGAGCGTTGCAGGTCGGGTACCTTCCTTGTAAATATAAGATAAGTCCTGTTATAGGCAAGCTAACTGTGGTAAAACCCCTATTCAGTCCAACTTATCCCAAGAAACCGCCATTTTATAGTGCAATAGCAAGCAAATCCCCAATATTATTATAATCCATAAGCAATAAAATCGCGGAAAAATTCAACTTTTATGTAAAACCATTTCAATAAATCAAAAGTTTTCAATACAGACAACATTATACAGTCTTAACAACATATAGCCTTAAAACCCTAACAACCCAAACATTCCGTACCTCCACCCTCTGGCTTCGGCCGTGAAAACTTTTGTCCAATGGCCGTGGTCTGACGGCCAAAGAAGGTACTAGCTCTTGGTGGTCCTTGTGGTCGTGTCAACGGCATTCTTGGTCCCATGTTCATATTCCTTGGCATAGGCGGAGCATTTTGCAGAGGCTGCAATAGTGGTGCCATTGGAGAAGCCATTTGTCCCATAAGTGGTACTGGTTGACCCATTGGTGCGCCTTGACTCATGAATGGTTCTGTTTGATTCAGTAGTGCCTTATGTCCCATTGGTCCTCCTTGTGACGCGAGGGGTCCACCTTGTCCCATTGGTCCGCCTTGTCCCATCAGAGGTCCTACTTGTCCTGGCATGCGTTGGCCCATTGGTGCCATCTGGTTGGCCATGGGACCCATTTGGTTAGGTAACATTGGGCCGCCCATCGTGCAGATTGGCCCCATCATAGACGGAATTTGACCCAAGGGCATTTGGTTCGCATTGGGTAGGCTTAACAGTGATGGGATTTTTGGTGGATCCGAGTCAAATTGAGGCGGATTATTAGGTAGACTTCTGACTTCTTCGTCCAGCTTTTTTCGATTTTTAATCCCACCTTTGATCAGGTCCTCTGCCATTTCGTCCTTTATGAAAAATACTCTGAAACAGGGGTAGAAATTAGACAAAAATTGATATTTTTGTAATAAAAACTCATCTTGTCATCAATATTTTAGCTAAAAAATCAGATTTTAGATGAATAACATCAAAAAATAGCTAACAACCTATAAAAAACAAAATTATTTTCTAAGGAAAACGCTTTAAAACCTTCCTAAAAAAGTGCGTTTTGATACCTAAACCAATTCATTGTTATTCACCTCAAGAACCCAAAACAATCAATACTAAATAGCTGCCAAACCCAAAAACATAAATAATATAAAGGTCTTACCTAACATTTCGTCCATCGATTTGGCCATGATGTTGTTTAAGTTTGAAGAAGTCTTCGGCTTGTCGTATCTTCACTAACCAGGCATCGGAACGAGTGTAATTGGCTTCGCATACCTGCTTCACGTCAACGTTGTACACGGTCGCAATTCGAAGATAGCTACAACAATATTTTTTTAAAAATATTTTTAAAAATTGTTTTTTTTAATGTTACGAAATCTCCTAAAAATTTTTAAAAACACTCCTAAAACACAAAAAAAATCCAATCTTAACCTACTTCATTACTTCTCTATCAGTAGACTTGTACGGCACGTTCAATAACAGCACATAACCAAGAAAATCTCGAGCTGGTAGCCAGCTATTCGACACTTTTAATGGAATTCCATCATCCCTCCGGTCGTTACGTCGCTTTCTGTCATTTGATAATGAGCCTTCCTCTGATTCGAATTTTGCTCGTTCCGACCAACGCATTCTGAAATTAAAAATTTTAATAAAAAGGTTTGTAGTTTAAAATTTTTGTAAAATATTGAAAAAATTATGTAACAATTGAAATTGGTCCCCCTTGTAAATTGCGAAAAAATTCAATCCACAATGGGCCCAATAAGGGCCTTGGTTTGGGCTCTAATTAAACTTGTTTTACACTTCTCGCAACTTAAATCATTCGTTGTGGGACTTAAACTGCGCCCCTCGAAACTTCATTCAAGCCCGGCTCTAGAGCCCACACCATATGACCCGGCCCCGTTCAAACTTGCTTCTGTCCAGCATAGTGGGCCCCCTTTCAAGTCTAGGCCCGACCAGTGTTTTGCCGGACCGGACCCAAAAACCTGCGGACCCGGACCGTAGAAAAAGCTCCGGACCGGTCCGGAAGAAAATTTTTTTTTTATTTTAATAGAACTGATTTAAAAATTGCAATTAGAATGTATTTTTATCAGTTTTTAAGCAAAAAGAAAGCAGTTTTAGCGCTCCTTGCTTTTTTAAAAATAAAAAAAAAATTTTTTGCGGACCGGACCCAAAAATTTGAGGTTTGGACCGGGCCGGACCCGAAAATCGCCGGACCGGTGAAAAACGCTCCGGACCGGTCCGGGCAAAACACTGGGCCCGACAAAAATTTTTAACTAAGACCATTATTTTTACGATAATTTTTTAAAAAATTTTATTAAAAATAACTCACTTGATGCCCAGCTCCCCATCACGTTTGATAATATCTCTGGCGTCCTTCTTGTCTGAACATTTGACAAGCGTGTGCACAATAACACCTGAAAGTACAAAATCACAAAAATCGTCAAAAAAAAAAATCAATATTTGAGGTTCGCATTCAACAAAAATTGTGGAAAAAAAGAAAAATGCTCAAAATATTTACCATTGCTATAGACACTTTTGCACTCCACCGATACCTTCAAAAACTCCTTCAAACTCTTGTGATCTTCCAAATTTGGAGGTAATCGACTCAGCTCCACAAACAACTCTTCTGGATCGACATGTTGAGGTACTACAGGAGCATTCAGAGCAGCCATGGCTTCTTGTTGGATTCGCAACATCTCCAACATTTCTGGAGTCATATTGAGGTCGGGTTTTCCTCTATCACCCCCAAACCGACCATCCGGTCCTCGTCGATTAGAATTGTCAAAAGCATTCGTGTTAACCCGTTCCATCGGACTGTAGTTGTTATTGCCTTCAGGAGCTTCTCTCTTTTCACCGTCGAATTGTTTCTCTACATAGCCGCCTTTCATCGTCTTTGGCCGATCCAATAACTTTCGTGGAGCTCCAAAGAAGCCGGACGAAGCCGACGGTTTGTTGGGGTTTGGCTGATCATAGGATGGATTGTAATGGCCCCTTTCGTGGGTATTGAACTGAGCTGACTGGTTCGAATTGAATGATGGTGGATTATTGAACGAAGGAGGAGGTGCTCGGCTCAGTTCGAATAAAACGTCATCCCCAGCATCTGAATTCGATGCTGTAATTTGAGGTGGGCGACGATTCGGGGCGAATTTGTTGTTAGGTCCTGAATTCCATGAATTTTTCGGTTTGTACGAGGAATTGTACTGATCACGTTGGCTAAATTGACGTTTTTGTTTGAAATGAGAGTCGTTGCCTCTATTTTGGTAATGAGATGAAGTGGAAAAGGCTAAAAATATTAAATAAAGACCAATTTTTTTATAAAACGGTTATTTTGCTAGCTAAAATTTCAAAATAAAAAAATATACTTTGTTACCCAATTTTACATTTTTTAATAATAAAAAAAATTGTTAACTAATTTTGCCTTAGTAAGTTATTTAAATAATTCTGTGCTCCTCTCAAAGCAAATTTTAAATTTTTTAAAGAAATTTTTGAGATTATGAGACACATAATTATTTTAACTACCTAATACAATCACATAAAAACTTACAAGGCTTCTCCTCAAACCGACCTCCAGCTTCAAACGCCGTCGAACCGGCTGCAGCATCAGGAGCACCCCCAAATCGCTCATTCCCACCATACCCCGCCGCCGCGCTGGGGTCGTATTGTGGCGGTGCATCAACAGCACTATGATACACACTATAGACTGGCTCGGGTTCAACAGTCGGCAGCTGTTCAATGACCAACGGCTTCTCGGCCGTCGGCGTCTTCTGGCCCAAAACTGATGGAGAATCAAATGATAAGGCTGGCTGATGGCCGATCGGAGCATCCTTTGCCTTCTCGATACGCTGGAGGGCTTGTTCGAGGAAGGCAGTCCAGTTCGTGTCGGTTGTGCCAAGAATTTCGGAAATTTTTGATGAACCTGCCGCTGCTGAAAGAATGGCGGTAACCTTTGAAGATTAAAGTACAAAGTATGTATATAAATTATATTTTGTATCAAATTTACGTTAGCTATTTTTTAACACTTTTTATGTATTTTCAACCTATTTTTCAAAAATTGGAAATCTTTGAGAATATTAGTTTTTATCTAATCTTTAAAAAAAGTATAAGAAATTTTAGTGTTTTTAAAGTTCTTTTAAGGCTTACTTCAAACTAAGAGTTTGTAATATATTTTAGTAGCTCAAGCAATCAAAAAATTGAGCTTTGGAAAGGTTGGGCTATTCCTACAGGGGAAGAGGAAAAAATCGAGGCACAAAATAAAGTCTTTTTTGTAAAATTAGTGTTAGAAGAGACGAGCTTCATCACAATTTTTAAAATTTTATTTTCAGATTAAAATTTTGAAGAGTATTTTGCAAGTCTGAACTCAAAAAGCATAGAAGCTTTTGAGTTAAGATCCATGACAATTTTGAGTCCCAATCTTTACAATTCAATCTTTTATGTGGCAGTTAAAACTAAATAAGGACAAGCCAAAAAAATTAATGGAACCGAGCTAGCCCGGATTGTGCGGGCCTAAATGACCGCCCAGGAGCCCAGCTTATGTCATGAGACTAAATAAAGGTTGAAATGTGAAAATCAAATCTGATGTTAAAGCTATTTACTTAAGAATAATTTTTAAAATTAAAAGCGTTAAACTATTGATTATTTAGTACGATGCCGTTTGTCTCTGTTATTATTTTAAGAAATTTATATAAAGGTCCGGGTCGAAAAAAATTTAAAAAAAGGCGGTCCAAAAAATTAAACACGACCCCTTTACAACTCTAGATGCAGTCTTCAATTTTGAAAATGCGCATTTTGCAAATGGTTGAGAAGTTTTTGACCTAAATTACAAAGACGAGTCCAACCAGACCAAGGTTGAAGTCTGTAGGAAAAACAAGGCCAAGCTCAAACGTGCAGTTCTGGACTTTCAAATTATTTTAAACTTATAAAGAGCTCCGATGTGAACAAATCCTAAACATTTCCAGTTAGTCTTAAGCTGCGCCCAGATTTGTTATGATAATACTGAAGGAAAGCAAATTTTAGTCTCATAAATTACAATTTACCTTTTACAAAACTAGAATAAGTTTTTATTAATTAAAAAAGTAGATAAGATCTAATATTTTTTTTAAATATTCGCAGTATATTCAGTGTACCAGTAATAGTACTTGGATACCACAAAATGGCTTTATACTGTGAAGTTTTAGCAAGTTTAATTTTGCCTTTATATTTAGACCTGAAAGGGGGCCCACTACGCCAGGCCTGGACCAAAACGAATTTGAAAGAAGCTAGGTCGTACCGTGCAGAAACAAATCGGACCGGTTCCTATACAGAGTATTTATGTTTTCGAAGTACTACAGAGCGATCCAACTAAATTAGCTTGCAATTGAAAACATTTTCCCGTTTCATTAAGACGTTTTAACAAGCTGATTTTGGTGACTAGAAAGAAAGTTGGTTTTTATCGAAGTTGACAGCCAATAACTTTGATCTAGCGGAAGTATAAAATTTGGACTAGGCAAGTATCAAAGGTTTTCTAATGCAGATTGTAGATTATACACAAATGTTCAGAACAAGACAACTTGATGAATAATCAAGGATTTGTCATATTATTGCAAGGCAAAGCCATGTTTGAGCATTTCAACGCTTGAGTTAAATTTTATTGCCACAGTACACTCGGTGTACTGTGACACTGCTACGATGTTTGCAAGTTTGTTGGGTATAGACCTAAAAAGGTGCCCATTATGCGCCGCCCCTTTAAAGGTATAGTTGAGTATATATATTGTCTTTCAAAAGTTTATTGTTTTCATTATTGCACTTTTGCCATATTCTGTAAAATTTTTAAAATGACAAATTAAAAAATTCTCTTTTTGGCTATATATGTAAATATGCGTATAGCAAAGAATAACAAAAAATTTTAAAAACATTATATCTCGTATGTATTTTCGTTACAAACAACATCAGTTTTAGATTCCCATTTTTTGTAACCATATTTTTTAAGCTTTAAAATTTGTGTAAATCTACCAAGAATAAAAATCCGTCATGAATTCAGTTCGAACTATAAATTGAATAACGAGAAGTCTATTTTCCTCTTTTACGGCGCAGAGAAACGTAGAAGTAAATACGAGTGAAGGTAAACAGAATTTGGAAAAATTAATAAATCTTTTTTTAATTTCACCTTGAAGTTTTGTAAAAAAATTTCGTTTTTGAGTACAGTGCACAATTACAATGTACAAAAGTTTCGTCATACAGGAATTTTAAACTGCGCAACAGTAGCAGGAAATTTAAAATTTGTTCATTATACGAGATTTTCCTTATACAAAAGTTCGTTATACAGGAGTTCCACTGTACTTTTAATTGGGGCATATAAACACGACATAAAAAGCTTTGAAATTTCCATAAATTTAAAAAAGTCCCCAAAAGCTTCGTTAGAGGAGTTTCACTGAACTTTTAAGATAAAAATTCGAAAGATTTAATGTACTGTGTAGTTCCTTCCATAATGCGAGTCATAGATGTTGTAAACTCAAATGTTTTCAATTCTACGAAGCGGTCCAATAGTTTGGTGCAACAGCGACGAGAGAAAATCATAAAAACGTAGGTCAGTTCGGGACAATTTTTTTTAGTTATGGTTGAACTCCTCCATAACAAATCTGCCGGGGATTCTTTTTTTCGCTATGAATGCGCTTCAATTCAGAAAAATAGTTTATACAGGAGTTATACTGTATTTAAATTTTTTAAAAGCAAGATATTCTGCAACAGAAATCTAAGTTCTAGAGAGTTTATATATTTTTCGTTACGCAGTAACGAGAAAATTTAATTTGGATTTTAGTTACAAGTATGTTCAAAAAGTTTGAATGAAGATTTTAGATATTCAAACAAGGTGTCCCACCTTGTACAGCCCTTTTAAAAAATTTTATTACAAATAACATTGTTTCTTCTGTTTCTTAAATAAAGAAAAATTTATTTGCCAAGTCAACATTAAAGTTTAATTTTTTTGTGTTTAACAAGTTTTAAAAATTTTTAGAGATATGACTTTGTATGTAAAAGGTTTTTTGGGTCTAGTGTTAGGCATCTCTTCAATGTAAAATTATTTTTCAAACTTTTCTACGGGCAATTATTTTTTAAACCCCAATTTTTAATCCCTACTTTCCAATCCCACTTTGGATAACTTTATATAGTTTTTCGATTTAAAAGTTAAGATTTTAGAATATTTGGTTCGTGTGTTTAAAAGTATTTTTTGAATAAGTAACATCGGAAAGGATACTTTCCAAATATATGTAGCTGTAAAACGCCCATTACATAGAATAAATCATACCTTTAGATTCCTGATCCTGAACTACAGTTGACAGTGGTAGGATAGCGGTACTAGGCTTATCCGGCTCTTTACTAATATTTTGCAAAAGGCGAGACAACCGTTTGGCCTCGTCCATGGCCGAGTTCATCTCCTTCCGTGATGACAAGGACAACTCCACTCGTTGTTGGCATAGGAATTCGCCTGAACGCAACATTCCTAGCCGTGCGTCTTCGTCCGACTCGAAACCGATGAAAGCTTCGCCAGAATCTCCGCCCACGATGCAGACTGCGCCTGATGGGATGGAAAGACCGGAGAAGAAGGAGCGGATATCGGCGGCCCGAGCTTGCCTCGATAAGTGTTGCAACTTTATTATATAAGACATCTCTAAAACTGGTGAAGACTTTAGAAAACTTAAAAATGAACTGATAATATTGATTTAGTCAATAAAAGGCGGATTACTCAATAAAAAAATATTTTATGGCCAAATCAATAAAATAGTAAAAACCCAAAAGCCGGTAAAAAGAGCCCTTTCTTGACTAAAACAACGTCAGAATAAACGAAATAAACATAATGAATGTATAAAATGTGAGTAAAATAAACCTTATGTTAAGAGACACTTTTGAATCCGCAAAAATATCCAAAGCGCACAAAAAAACACGCCAAAAACCGCTTTTTTTCAATAATAACGTATACCTAATGTTTAACCTTATGAAACTCGAACAAAAAGCAAAAATAACATCCCAACTTTCTCTTATAATATAAAAAAATCAAATTTATCTGCTCCTTCGAAAATATAATATTAAAACCACGCAAAACTCGCCAAAACAGTACAAAATTCTTTAAGTTTTAATAAATGTAACATATTATTAAGAATTTGACGCGCCTCACAAATAAAATTAATAAAAACATGTAAAACCCTCAAATATTATTTGAAAACAACGCTGAATAATTAAACAACTCAAAAAAATACAGCAATAACTAGGCAATAGTAAAAAAACTCGATAAAATAGCAATCCGATCGAACGGCATTCCTTCAAACAACAATCCTAAATAAAAAAAATACATAAATTTCTATTTATTTAATCAAATACAACCTAAAGACCGGCTTGTAGTCCAAAACCAGGACCTTTTGGCTCTTCCTTCAGCGACGTCAGACCAGTCAATGGTTCACTAGCCAAGCGACCGCTTCTTGGGCCAGGAATAGGGCGTTTGCCGGCCGCTAACTCATCCAGAATCTGTGACATATCATCTTGAGTCAAGTCCTCGTAGTAATCGTCGTTGATCTGTACCATTGGTGCGTTCACACAAGCTCCTAGACATTCCACCTCTGATAGAGTGAAGAGTCCGTCCTTTGTGGTTTGTCCCGGCTTGATTCCTAGCTTTTTGGTAATGGCTTCGGTGATGGATTCGGCTCCACGTAACATACAAGGAGTTGTGGCACAAACTTGCAAGAAATACTTTCCGACTGGCTCGCGGTTGAACATTGTGTAGAAAGTGGCTACTTCGTATACCCGCATTCGTGGCATTCCTAAATTTAAAAATTTATGTTTAATTTAGCAAAAACAATATAAATTTTTCTTATTTTGCAGAGAAGAAAACATGGCAGTCGCAAGCCAAGGTTTATCCAAAAGGAGAAGTCAAGCTATAATAACATGGTGCAAATCCACAAACCCAAATTTGCGATAAAAATTAGCCAGTACTTTGCCAAAAGCAATACATAACCTTTAGAAAATCCATTGAAATCTATTTTTCCTAAAAACCAACAAAAATCTAAAGGTTTACCTAAAATCCTGGCCACTTCGTGCATCGCGGTAATAGGTAACCATCCATGTTGACGTTGAGCCAAATCCAACACCGGAATGCACGCTCCAGCTTCATGTCCTTCTGGATAATTGGAGATCAAAGACTTGACCTTCTTCAGATTCTCTTCCGTGAACTGAAACTTGACATTAGGGTTGTTGGCCTTCGAATCTCTGTGAACAGCAAGACCGTGTCCTGAAATTTTTTGTTAACATGTTTTATTGACAAATCAACAATGTGTTAATATAAAACTGTAGAAAAAAGTTCATAGATATAGGACTTTCATTTTTATAAAACACTACAGTGTTCTAAAAAAACCGTTAAAAAATAGACATGAAAAACGGGCCGGGCCGGGCACTTTTTCACGTAAAAAAATTAGGCCCGGGCTTACCATCGGGCCGGCCCTGAGCAAAATTTTGATCGGGCCGGGCCTGAAAATTGGGCCCGGCCCGTTTCTCATGTCTATTAAATAATACCAATTTACATCCAAAAAAAACCTCAAATAGACAAACAACTTAGTCTTACCTGCAAATCGTCGAGGAATACAAGTGTTCAACGAAGTTTTTAGCAAGGCACGGTGCATATTGCCTTCCGATCTAAACAATCGAACAGCCAAGAGCCAGAAAAAAAATAAAAGAAAAAGCTCGCTCTCTTGCAGATTGCGCCCAAACTATGCGCAGGCCTCGAAAGCGACATATTATACGATTAATTGTTATTTTCGCGCCAATTTTATCTTTATCTTGAATTCAACCTGAACTGACAACTGTTATTTCTTTGAAATAGAGAGCGACAATAGCCTATAATAGTAAGTTTCATACAATACCATTAAATTATCAATGAAATCCATTTAACCTTAACACCACAAAATAATTTATTTAATATACTCGCAAATACGATATCGTCGATGGTGAATAACGTGCAGACAACAATAACAAACAATCATTTCTATATGAAAATAGTGTTGTAAACAATATTAAAAACAATGTCCGACATAACGCATACTGCAGTATACTGTGATAAAAAGACAAACTTTAAGAAATTAATATTTTAGATTCAATTTAGTTAAGCATACTTTCCAGAACTTTATTCTTCCTCTTCTTTACCATTAATCCTAAGCTTCATAACCATTATTCCCCATCATTATTACTCCTAATCCTCATCTTCCTCCCCATTACTCCTCATATTCATCATCGTCCATGTCAATGTTGATCTCGTCCGGATTCTCGGTGACATTCTCTGTGACAGTCTTGCTCTCGCCTCTGACAAAACTGATTGGTTTGACATCGGTTGGTCTTCGTTTCGAACCCTCTTCAGCAGCGATTTGTTGAGCACGAGCTTCCAAAACGGCCATAGAATCAGCGGCCGATAGTTCACCAGCTTTCTCGGCTTTACCTCCGATTGTGGCCAACATTTGGGCACTCATGTAGTTGACATTGATGTTGTATGAGGCTTGGACTGAACGTTTTACTCTTAACATCTCACGGATCGTATCTTCATTGCCATGCTTGACTTCGAACTCTTTCCAGGTCTCCCAGAATTGACCGTGAACCTACAATAATATCAATAATTAGGTTTAAATAAATCAATAATTCTATGAAAAAACGTAAATATTTCTACGACAAAACCAAAAATAATATCCATAAAAACAAGAATACTCACCCTAGGATCGCAGACTTCAGCACAATGAGCATATATCGCTCTAGCACGATCAATTTCTCCAAGATTTTGTTCAACTTTTGCGAATTTCAATGACATTTCACGGGAATCGTCTTCAGGTAGAGCTTCGATAGCTTCGCTGAATATTTGTCGACTGTTGGTGAGACCAAACAGTTCGATGGCTTTCTTCAAGTAAATATTGTACACCATGATCATGTCCGACTCCTCCACGTTCTTGGCGGCTCTGTTGTAGATGGCCATGGCGTGACGAGACAGACCGCACTCTTCCTCTAGTTTGGCGTAGAGAAGGTAAATGCCTTTGGCGAACTTCGGCGGACAATTTTCGAGGCATTGTTCGAAGAGATCACGGGCCCGTTCTAACTTTCTACCGCCCTGAAAAAGATTATTATGTTTTTTAAATTATTCGTCTTCATAAAAGGCAACAAAAATTAACAAACCAAAAGAATGATCTACCTAAAAAATACTTTTTTTAAAACCTCTCTGACAAGCGCTAAAACAAAATTTTAAATATAAAACCCCAAAAAAAGAACTTACATATCGCTTGGTAAACTTGGCCAAGTACACATTCCAAATGTCGTAGACCATTGGCCATCTGAACAATCCAATCCCCTTCTCATAGGCTTTGAACGACTCTTCGAAATAGTGATTTTCCTCGAGGAACCGAGCGTAGTTAATGACAATTTGAGGCGTTGCAATTCGAAGTTCTATGATTCGTTCGTAGACCTTTTTGCATGTTTCCACCGTGCCTAGACTCTCTTCGATATCAGCGTATAGTGACCAAATTCGTAGAGATTTGTAGACTCGATTTTGGACTTTTTCTGTTTCATCAAAGTATTGTACCTTCTTGCGCGGTTGTTCTGTGCAGCGTTTGAGAAGATAGACGGCGGCGTCGTAGTCTCTGACAATACATGACATTACTTTTGTAACATTGTGTTTCCTTTCTTGATAATATTTTAACTTAACATGCTGTTTTGACCACAAAAAAAGCCTTCTCTCCCTTAATTTTTTTCATACCTCAAGACTATATCTTTCCATACCTATATAACATTATTATATAAGTATATAACCTTATAAAACATAACCTTATCATAGGCATAACCACGTATTCAACTCACTTTTTAAACAACTCAAACTCGATATACTTGCACCAAACCTGAGCCAATTCATCGACCTTAGCAAATGGTACAACAACAGCTCGTTCGTAAATCTTCTTCGCGTCCTGGAACTTCTCAAGCTTGCCCAATAATTCAGCATAATGAATCCATAAATCACTTAACGATCCAGTTTGTAGCTTCGGATCAATAGTTTTGACAGCTTTTTCAAAAGTTTCTTGTTGTTCATCAAAGAACCCATCGAACAGCTGAATCCTCTCAATCCACTTCCTCACGTTGTTTGGATTCTGTCGTAAATGAACTGAATTAACCAGTAGTAAGCGTCTACTCATCAAGTGTTCCAAACGATTGATCAGAAGCTCCAACTCAAAGTTTAGTTCATCAATTTGGCTAGGTTTGGCTTTGGATAGTCCATTCAACTTTACTGATATCAAGCGTTCCATGAATGTGCCATATGAATCGAAAATCTGAGTAAAGTCTCGTACAGTAACGACTTTAACCAAGGCTTCTTCGTAGATGTCTCTAGCTCTTTCAAAGTTTGGCTTCCTATTGTAATATTCGGCCAAAGCCAACCATAACACGGCGACTTGATCCGAATAACGTTGGATTCCTTGACGAATAATCGGCTCTACATTCAAACTGAACACTTTTTTTGGGTTTTTCGATATCAGCTCACATAGCTCTGACCATAACTGAAATTATCTTTTTATATGATATTTAATAACATAAACAAATAATAGTGTCATAAATGATGTTGTCGTAGAATTACATTCCTTTTAGAATGATGTGTAATGTAAAGTTAAGATGGGGAATTAGAAGCAAAAGAATAAGAAGATGGACAGGTCTAGATGAAGTGGTGGTGAAGGCAACGGAAAGAAAGTGGAAGTTTGGAAGGAGTGTAGTCAAAATGCCTGAAGATAGATGGGAAAGGAAAATTACGACCTGGCAACCTGATGGCAAAAGACCGATTGGCAGACCTCGTACAAGGTGGCAGGATGAGATAAGGAAGAAGGTTGGAATAGACTGGATGGAGGCGGAAGATGGAAGATGGCAAGAAGCTCTCAGGCACTACACCGAAGAAATCAAAGATTATTGTCACATTTAATTTCAATGTTATGATTTTATTTGTATTTGATGGTTGAGCTAGTAAATAAAATGTAAACTGTTAGAAGCTTTAGTGTTTTTATCCGTAACTAAATCTTTCAAAAGAAATAAAACTCAAAACGATAACAAGCCTTACCTGAAAAGAGCTTTTACCATGTTCACTAACATCACGATCTTCGTTGACCAAAATGGCAAGCTGTTTAGCTGCTTCGTCCAACTTGTCAATGCCCTTCAAGTAATCAACAAAGTCTTCTCGAGCTGCTGGATTGATCTAAAACATCAAACATATTTTTCTAATTCAGAAGGTCTTCAATTAACTTAATTGAAAACCAGAAGAAATAAGTTTTTTATAACTTTATTTATATAGCACCTCGTATCATACAAAAAGAACCTTGTTTTATATATTAAACTATGCAACAGCCTAATTTGCAATCATTTCAAGACCTCGTATCTAAAAACAAAAATAAAAAATCAAAATTTACCTTCAAATACCGCCTATAAACCCGTATCGTGGTATCTGGTATGTTGTGAGACGTTACAAACTCAATATACATTGGCCATATCCGCATATGTTGTGTGACAGGTAGAGCACGTATCGCTCTGTCAAAAACACGTCGTGTGTCAGTTACCAGACCTCTTTTCACCATCAAATCACAATAATCAATCCAAATACGAGGCATCTGAAGTAAAGAAGTGTTTAGAGTAATATTGTAGTAGTTATTGATTGAATAAAAGGCAAAACTAGCAATATACACCTTGAAAAGGTCGGTATAAGCATTATATTCAAAGCCTTGTCCTTTACCTTCCTTTCGATTTAACTTAAAACTCAAATAAGCAATATTAAATTAACTTACTTTGTTCAAGAACACCAAACACCTTTCATACGCATCACAAAGATAACTATAAGCGATATCCGTAGGCGGTTTCTGTACAATAATCTTCCTCCTATACCTCAAATAATTGTACCATAACTTGTAGGATCTGTTGAAGACCTTCAGCGCTCGCTCGTAGATCACACGAACTTGTTTCGATGGAGCTTTGGTCTTGATCTTATGGTCAATATAACGTTGCCAACTCCGTAACGAATACTCGTTCCTCAAAATATCTTCTTCGTATGGTAAATCTTCATCCTCCTAAACGTAAAATTTAAGAATTTTAACAAGCATTTGTGAGGTTTTAAATTCTTTCAAGTAAACCAGTTAAAAGTAGATAAACATAGCTATTACAAGCAAACTTACAAAAACCAATGACTTCATTGACTGTGTCACTGATGATTCGGCCTTCTCTTGAGCATTAGAGTCCTTAACTTCATCTAATACCCCCATTTTGATCCCAAAAAGCACTAAAAATAGCGAATTTTACCAAAAATTTGGGAGAAATTGAGAAATATTTATTCGAGAAACACTCGACTCAAAAAGTTATATTCGCGCCAAGTGTCGTTTCATGTAAATAAATGCGCGGTAAAATAATGTTTTATGGTAAAATAAGGTAGCTTACAATTAATAGGTTATTAAAAACTTTAATAAAGTAAGGTAAATATTTAACCTTAATAAAGTAAGGTAAAATTAATAAAGTAAGGTAAATATAAGGAATTATTGTTTTTAGTTGTGTTTTAGTTCTCACATTGATCAAAGCCTAAAGCAACTTCTTTTTATTATAACTTTTTTATAAGAATAGTTAAAGATTTGAAATTTTGTGTCATTTTAAGTTATCATATGTGTCAACTAATGAAGTTGAAAACGGTTTCAAATTTGCATGGTTAATGACTTTATAGTAGGATCAGTTTAACTGTCCTGGTCAGGGAGTAGTCTATAAGAAAGATTTTCTATCAGTAAGTATTGTCTTCCCTCTGTCTTTCTTCGAAGTAGTTTTTCAATAGTATGCTATCTTTTGTTCTCATTTGCTTTGTACAACGATAAATCATTGTTATCATTGCTTTTTTCATCAATACCTCCATTACCATTCCACATTGAACTCCGCGAACGTACAAGTGCATAACCGAGGCCATTTTCTGTTTATGATGATAGTTGATTGACCCGGATCGAATATCCGGAACAGGCACTTTTTTGCGACAACAGTTGGGTTAAATATTGTTGTTTACCTGGTCAAGAACAACTGCCAAGTCTGCTGTTCATGTCTCATCAAGTTGACAACAAGCTGTTTGGAGAGGAGGGGGCAACATGTGGTATGATTTAGTTGGACAAATGGGGGTTGAAAGTCGAGATTTTGCATGACAAAACGTGATTTTTGTTCGAAAATTGCGGAGATACGTCATTGGCTTGAAAGTTTTCGCAAAATTTTGGATTAATGGCAGAATTTGGAAGAATAGTGGCAATTGTGAAGACAAAAGATAATGAAAATTATGATACGGGTATTAAAATTCGAAAAGTATTCATTTTCCACCTAAAAGTTATGTTTAGAGCAGTAAAACCAAGGGTTAAAGTAAGCGCTCCCCCTCATCTTCTTCGTACACTTGTATCTTAAAATTCTGGCCAAACATACGATTGTAAAGTACGAAAATAACATTTTTCTATATCTAAAAATGATGTTACAAATATCATCAATAACTTTTAACCATGGTTTAGCTGTTAAACATGCTTTATTGTAGATAATCCATTTTTAAGAGTTTAATCTTAATATTCATCCTTTAAACGGCCTTTATCAGCCTCAAAACAGTAAAAATGTGCACAAAAATTGTTTACAGTATCTTTTCTACATACCTCTTATCCACTGTAAACTATAAAATTATCTACTGCAATATAATTTTCAAACATTTTTATATTACCCGTAACTTTTAACCGATACATCATCTTTGAATGATGATATTTTCTTATAATATCACCTTTAAACCCATGTTAACATTGATAAATCCTTTAAAACCTGGCTCAATCTTTTTTATACAAAACAAAATCCTCAAACCTTTGGAAAATACTTTAATCGTTTCTCGTGAAAATAGAGATACAAAAATTGATTATCAAAATGGATTGTTTTCCATTAAAATACGCGATAAGAGATAGATATACAAGGGGGGTGTTGTCTCAAAGCCACCTATGAAAACATGAAAATGTGAAAATTGGTTTTAAAGCAGAGTGCCATTTTATAATCGAGAGATTTAACTGTAACACTAGGGTCTAATTAAGGTTTGAAAAGTTGGTAGAATGAATTGTTTCGCCTTTTTTTGGATTGACAAACGGGATATTATAGTAGGATCAGTTTACCGACATATACTAGGGTATATAGCGCCATTGTTTAAGCTATGGTTAGTACCATCACTTAAAGAATGACCTTTAGAAACCAAAGCATATGATCAATAAACAGAATATTAGACTAGACCAAGTCATACTAGATAATAAGAACTGTCCACTAAATGATACTAGAAAGTAAAGACTACCTACTATAACACACTTCTAGCCCACTACTATAATATGCCGTGATCAACGCGGATTTAAGAGGCTTGCTTCTCCAACTCGATGAGATGCTTCACACCGTCGTACATTTGCTTGACGGCTTCGAACTCGGTCAGACCGAGACGGGCCTTGTTGGAGATGTCGTAGACACCGCCGGCCGACTCGCTGTGTTCGCCGTGAATACCACGGATCTGCAACTTGAGGCCGTCGCAGATGGACTTGAAGTCGGGGCGGGCCGAGGTTTTTGGCAGTTTGATGTGGACGGAGGCGCGGACGGTGGTTCCCAAGTTGGTGGGGCAGAAGGTGAGCCAGCCGAGGCGCTCGTCACGGCTGAATGGTACCTGGGCTTGGATGGTCTTGACTCCCTTGATCAGGCGTTCGAGGACTTGGCCGACATTGCCGCCGTTCTGCATGGAGATGATACGGAGATGGTCCTCTTCGTTGGCCCACACCAAGAAGGTCTTGTCCTTGTTGTGGAAGATACCACGGCCGGCGGGCCAGTAGCGGCAGGCGTTGGCCTCTTGCAAGAAACGGTCACCTTCCTTGAACTGAAAAGAGTATTTTTATTATTTGAAATGGATTTTTAAAGGCTTAATATATATTTAGCAATAAGTTGATGTTGAAAAATTCGCTCCTCTTGCCAATTATTACCTAATTTACAAGTCTTACTTACCAAGAAGTGGTCAGCGATGAGTTGTTGTTGGATTTCCTTGGTCATGCCTTGGAGTGGGTAGTAGGTTCCTTGGAGTTCGGGGTCTTGAATCTCTTCGAACACCTTCTTCACCTTGCCTTCCATTTCGAGGTAGTTGGCCTCGGTGAGGCATGGGTTGAATGGGTATCCTGCAAAGACATGATGATTACCATGGTTAATATAATAATTATCTCTAAAAATTTGGTTAGGTTGTTCAAATAATTATGTGCCCCTCTTAAAGCAAATTTTCGCGGGGCTCAGAATTATATGAACAACAGTCCGCCTAAAGCTTTAACATAGCGTAAAGCAACCAACACTCTTACCCTGAAGGGAGCGACCGCAACGAACACGGGTGGAGTTGATGTATTTGCCTTCAGGGTCCAAGTCGGGCAACAAGTGGGTCTTGCCCTCTCCCAAGTCAGTTTCGGGCTGCTTTTGGTCGGGCTTGAAACCGTTGTGGTAGTCCTCGATCAGAGGGTCAAACAATGGCTTGAAGAGGGTGTAGGCCTCGGCGTCTGGAGCGTAGACACCAACACCCGAGTCCAGGTTGGCAACACCGGATTGGATCACGTCCAAGAGGGTGGCGCCGAGCTTGGTGCGCTTGTCCTTGCATTGGTCGACGACCTCGCGGGTGAGGTATTTCTTCAGCAGGGAGTGGCATTCAGGGGATTCCTGAAAGTTAAGGAGGGTTAGAGGTTTATAACAATATTTTTCTAGGTATACACCTTAGGATTCAAGTTATATTATGCTACCAGAGGTCCATAAAGAACTTTTGAATTAGAAAAGGTATCACAAGGTCCCTATAGCAGCAAAAAGCTATACACTTGCCCATCAGGACCACCATCTACTATAATATCATCCAAGTTACCTACAATAATATTATCTTTGGCTAGAAGACAACTATCTACTATAATATCATCCATCAAGACAACTATCTCCAATAACATCATCTCCAGTTATGTCAGTTAAGCCCAACATTACAAAAACTGAATATTAACCTATCCTGAAAGCTAATACAATATAAAATTTGCTTTACCTGGAGCTTCTTGTAGCCATCTTCGATCTTTTGGATAGTTTCTTGAGGAACAGCCATGGTTTCAGTTGGGTTTGCAAACTAAAAACATAAATCATCATTATTCAATGGTTTTAAATTGTTTTAAATATTCTTCACGATACATAAAAGGTACGGAACTAACACAACATCAACATGGATAATATTCTAAGGAGAAAAAATGAAGTCAAGAGCACAGAATTAAGTGAAGGTCTTAGTAGAAATACATACATAGGTCACAGATTGGTTCAATAAACAATTTTTTGTCTCCCACCGTCTGGCCTACCGCTTCTCCTAAAAATCGAAAAAACATAGGCATAGCAACGTTCATAAGAATAATTTTTTGTTTTTAAACTTTATTTGTTATACCTAAATCATTGTTCATCTTTCAGAACAGTACCTCCTCTCTCTCTCTGAGACGCTCAAAACCTTGGCTAACCTTCAGTATCCAATACTCAAATTCTGGACTACTATTCAGTGCCTAATGCTCAAAACCTAGCCTAACGTTCAGTACTTAATACTCAAAATCTATACTAATATTTAGCCCCTAATACTCAAAACCTAGGCTAACATTTAGTATTTAATACTATTATCAAGCATGCCATACTGCAAAATTCTTAGCCCAGCACAAGAACCACGTCCGTACTCATCACCTCCAACCCAGCACAACTCTTCCTCAACAGCCAACACAAACCAAACCCAACCGAATGCAACATCAACAGATCAAGACGAGGTGAACATGGGCAAGCATCAGCAAGACCGGGGTGTTCTCAACCCTCAAACATCCCCAACTGAAAAGAGTCCGAATCCAACTGTTTACCTCCGCCAGTTGGGGGGAACGGAGAGGGGCGTGTCCGCCCGACTTTCAAGGTGGCAAAACGTTTGTGGGGCGAGAACAACGTTCGCGGGGTCCGATTTCACGGGGGACGCGCCCTTTTGCTGCAAAACTTTTTTCAAGGGGCAAACGGCTAAGTCACTAACAAACAACCAGATTTCCACTCCCCAACCGCAGGCAGGACAGGTTCGGGTTTTGAAGATGAATAACAGTGTTTTATGATGAAAAACAAAATCTAGTGCTAGAAAGGTTTGATCGGACTACTGTATAGTATACAGATTGATCTGACAAACGTACAGCATACAGCTTGACCTGACAAATATATGAAATACAGCTTGATCTGACAAATATATGGAATAAAGCTTGATCTGACGTGTGTTTAGTACAATTTGCAAACATCTTTCAGAATATCTGATTGTTCAAATAATTCTGTGCCCCCTAACCACAAAAATGTGATTTGAGAGAAGCACAGTATTATTTGGACAACATAATAACCTTTTCATAATATAGTTAAAACCAGAATACCCAAATTTGAAACTTAGGCTCCGGTTCCAACTCCGGTTTTTATTTAAATTTTTAGCTCCGGCTCCAGCTCCTGGGGTCTTTCGTATTGAAATTTGACATCTTCTAGACACGGAGGTATTTCCAAAGCCAGAACATGTCAGATTTCAGAACTAAAGACGTGCCCCAGAGCCTGAGGCGCCAGAACCCTTGGTATTTCTGATTTTAGTAAAGACGTTTGTATAGATAGCAAAGAGTGTAAAACCAAGGTTATTACCAAACCTAAGCCGAAGTCAATGATAACATAAAATAACTAAGGACTAAGAGTCATTCAAAATTGTTCTATATATTTTCCGACAACACTAGTATTTCTGAGTTCACTAACATTACAGAGTTAAAAAATGAAAAGCCAAAGATAAAAGGAATAAAGTAACAAGACCAAAATTGAATTATAAAGTTTCTTGATAATGTAATAACAACCACAAATCAAATTTATAAACTACAGCTTTGTAAGATTCTTAAAAACTTTACAGCATTACAACAGAATCCTTCCAAAACCAGATAAACACAAACAACAATCAGAAAAAGCAAAAAAAAACACCCCCTCAAGCCTTAGAGTTCCAAGAAATACAAAAAATACCCTACCCACCTAACAAACAAGTTTTTAAGAATAAGTAAAGTAAGAAACAGTGAGCGAATTGAATACAGTGACAAGAAATTCAACACTGCGTATTGTTTCAGTGAATCCGATACCCACAACGTGTACAAAATTCAAAGGTTAAGCAAAGTAAACAAGATCAATATCAGAGTTGGTTCTAGAACAAGGACTTCCTTTATACACCAAGAAATTTGACAGATGAATTAGAGAGAATGATACCTTCAAGTTTTAGTGGAATTTGAGTCAAAAAATATGTGAACTATTTTTATTCAAAGCCATATTAAAACTTAAACTCATAGGGACCTACCCTACTATTATAGATGCAAAAGACCAATTATAACTATCTCACTACATTCGATTTGCCAAAAAAGCTTCACTATCCTTTAAAATGCAAAATATCATCATTATCTACACCATATAAATCCCTTTCCTTTCAGAACGTATCCTAACACTACAAATACTATCGAACACATCTCGATTCTAGTCCAAATTTATTGAATTTCCCCCGAAAAAAGCGCGCAGACTAACCAATTCAAGCGAAATTTCCCTCCAGTTCCGGTCAAACTAACGTCCATAAAGTTGGCTAGACAACAAAAACAAAACGTTGCTTTTTCTAAAACAGTTTTGGCTGAGAAAAGCACTAAATATTAAACTGGAAAACACTAAAATATTAAGCTGAAGAAGACTAATATATTAAGCAGTTGGGGCGCTTAAAACCGCTTGAAACCCCGGTTTGCGTCAGAAAAATTGGCATAAACCATGAAACAATTGTCGTTTCGGAAAAAGTTGTGTCCCCTGCGGCGAGAGAGGGATTTTGACGAAATGATGGGGGCAAGGCGGCCCCAAACAGTCGGGGCGAACACAGTGAAATAGGGGCAAACACAGTGAAACAGGGGCGAACACAGTGAATTTAAGGGAAATGCGAGGAAAAAAGGGAAAATATCGAAAAGGGGCCGTCCCGTTCGCTTTTTCCAAAACTGTTAGTGCAACAAAACAACAATAACAACCACGGCATGAATAACGAGGCGGTTTTGGTCTTTGCTCCGAACGACCCTGATCTCGAACACCAACCTGCTCTTGATCGAACCTGCTCTTCCGCCTTAATCGGAGGCTGTTTGAGGGGCGACTGTTGCAAGACCGCAATATTGTATTGTTTTAGAAGTGGGCTATTAAGGTTGTACGAAGTTGTTTTAGAGGTGGACTATTGAAGGTAGGGTTGTGTTGGAGTTGGGCTTTTACGCTTTGTATCCGATTGTTTTATAGGTAATGAGGCATAAATAGTTGCTGAGTTTTTGCACTGTATTTGCTATGATAGTTGAGTTATATCTTTCACTATTTAATACACATAATAAAATGTAGTTTTAAATGTATTTTAGAGTGGTTTCATCCTGCACATACGTATACCCATAATGATAAGGAATAACTCATAATATCCTAGCACAAGAACAGTACATTAGATGACTACCCTAGTACTGCTAAATACCTAAACTTAAAGCACAACACTTTCTAACAAGCATATCACAAGAACAGTACATTAGATGCCAAGCCTAGTAGAGCTAACTACCTAAAATTACAGCACAAAACTGAATAATGCAGTTAGAAAAGTTTACCCCAACAAAATCAAAAGGGAGTGTTTAAAACGTGTTGAGCACAGTGAAGCCGAGTGTTTACTCAAAATAGCAACAATGAAACATGCTCTTTTCAACTCTATTTACACTTCGAAAAGTGGATTAACTTCACAAATTAAGTCGCGCACTGCCTTCTTTACTTCAAAGGTGAGCACGTGGTCTAAAGACTCGAATTCTGGCCAAGAATTTGATCAGAACTTTTAGCATTTTTAACGTAAAAGAGCGTCATGATGACCATGGAAAAGCAAAAATTTACTTATTCTAACAGTGTTAAAATGCAAAAAGATTAAAGAATATGAGTTATATTTACCTTGTTTTAGCGAAAAAAGCAAAAAGTTAAACAATAAGTGCCATTCAACACTGTAAAGATACCATTCTCACCCAAAAACATTACTAAAAACAACTGACATCAAATACCCTCACGAAAAACACAGTAAGAACACTGTCAATATTCAAATGAGCAAACGACGACAAAAACAACACGACATCCGAGAGTCTGCACTTACACAAAAACATCCTTTTATTGCCGAACGGAAGGCCATAATCCGGAACTACGATAGAACAGATGTTAATTCCTAATCCCACAAACTTGACGACTTCATAAGCTTAAACATGTTGAACTACGTTCGCTGCCAAATACTTTACGGGGCATTAGTTTGTCCAAAAATACTTCATGTGCACTTAAGTTTTGCAGAAAAGGCTTGTTTTTGTGTATAAAACAATATCCACCTTGGTGGAGTTGATAGTAGTGGGTAAAGCTTAGTATCAAGATTAGAAAAATCCAGCTTTAAGTTCTTTACAGTACAGTAGAACCTAGTATTTTAAAGTAAAACTTTAATAAATTACCTCTCCTAGAACAATATCCAGCTTCAAAGCCAAAGAACACCAATCAAAACCAACACTGTAACAATCTTTACAGTACCTCACAGCTGATAGAACAATGAAATTAAGCGTAGCACAGCCCTACCGACTACTCAAAATGACAGCGTTTACCACCGGTAACTATAGAGACAATACATGTTAATCGTACCAAAACTCGTCGTAGAGATAAGTCTCGACATTATTACATCGCTTTTTAGAAACGAGTAATTCGTTGTTTTTCCAAAAAATAATTTGACATCTCGTGCATGAGCAGTATTAACTTTAGTCGTGTTACGTTTGTTTTGTTTAGTAATACAAATCTTTTTGGATTTTATATTAATATTGTTTCAAATTTAATTTTTATTTTTTGATAGGAATATTGTTATTTTTTTATTCTTATTTTTAATATTTGATGGTGGCAAAACCACCATAGAGAAGCTAAATGAACAAGTCGTATTTTACATAAAAAATAGTATCATACTGAAAAAAAACCGTGACAACTAGACTTGTAAACAGGCGAGCCGTCCCAACTTTTCCGCCCGGTCATTTTAAAAATTTT